TTCTACACACTAATTTTTTATTATTAATTTGTCGTTTGTGAATCAACCATTTCTAATTACTTCCGGATGTCTTCTGCAATATATGTTTTTCTTTTCTCCATACACATGGCCATGGAGTACACAACGTTGTTTACTGGTTTTATAATGTTCATTGTATTTTAAATATTACTTATAAGGATCCCATATTTTACAGTAAGAAAGCAACATCAATATACATTGAAATGTACCAATATTGAATTCTAATTTGTGTTTTTAATTTTGAAAATTATGGATGAAATTGAGTTAGAGGTTTAGCTACTTTAATCTTTTGAAGAAAAAATATTAATCCTGGCACCCCTGGCCATAGACAGCTTACATATATTGTGGTGGGGGGCAATAAAATATTACATGTACTCAGTCACAAGAAAGGCACCCCCAGCGAGTGAGGCTTGCAGGGGACAAAGCTCCTAAGGTTTGGAGCAAATTTTATTGCTAAAGAATGCTAAAAACTGGATCCATTGTAAGTTATTAAGGCAGACAGGAGTTGTAGTTTGCAATGAGAGAGATTGAAAATCCCACAAATGACAATCAGACTTAAGTAAACTGTATTGTTGATATGACCTCCAGTGTGTGTCAGACTTAATGTCTGCTTCCACATTGGGTGATAGACAAGGATATGACCTAAAACTTAGTCCTTTTTAATAAGTTCACATTCGAATGTGGTTGTATAATTTATTCAAAGTTAACAGTCAGTCCTTTGATTTTTTTGTGGCTCAAGATTGAAAATTATTAGTGGAGGCACAGCTGTAGTTTGTAGTTTGAAGTTTGCATGAGATTATAAGTTCTCAAATGACGATCCGAGACTTTTAAAACTATGTTGATATGACCTAAAACTCAATCATTTTTGTAATCTCGCATTGAAATGTGGTCATATATTGTTGTCAATGGGTTCGTCCGTCTGTCTGTTCGCTGTCTGTCTGTCCGTCCGTCCGTCTGTCTGTCCGTCACACTTTTTGGGACACAATAACTCTCTTTCTAATTGAGCTAGAATGTTCAAACTTGGTCTAGGTTTTTATTAGGTCGATGCCTTGATGGAGTTCAAAGATGAGCATTTTCGGCTTAGGGTAAGCAGAGATAAGCAATTTGATTGGTTGATGCTTTGGGACTCGATAACTTCAGTTCTAATTAAGTGAAGTTGAGGACACTTGGTGTATAGCTTTATTGCATCAATACCTTGACTAAGTTCGATAATGAACATTTTCTGCTCAGGGTAAGCAGAGCGATAAGCAATTTGATTGGTCGAGGCCTTGGAACACAATAACTTTCCTTCTAATTGAGTTACAATGTTCACACTTGGCATAGGCGTTCATCAGGTGAATGACTTAATGGAGTTCTATGATGAACATTGTCTGCTTACGGTAAGCAGAAATAAGCAATCTGATTGGTTGATGCTTTGAGGCACGATAACTTTGGTTATAATGAAGTGAGAGCGATGGAACTCCAAATATAGATTCATTATATCATTACCTTGACTAATTTCGATGGTGAGAATTTTCTGCTTAGGCTAATGAGTGATAAGCAATTTGATTGGTCAAGACTTTGGAACATAACAACTCTGCTTTTAACTGAGGTAGAATGTTTAGACTTGATGTAGATGTTCATTGGGTGAATGTCTTGACTGAGTTCAATGATTAACATTTCGAGCTGAAGCTAAGCAGAGCTAATCAATTTCATTGGTCAGTGCTTTGGGACAAGATAATCTTGATTCTATCTTATTAGAGAGTGATGGAACTTAGTGTATAGTTTGATTGCTTGATACTTTTGAAAAAAAAATGTGCGATTAATTAATGTGTGTCATCTATTTATTTTGGGATTTCAGCGGGGGACATCAGCCTCACTGTTGGCTTGTTTAGAACCTAATGTGCTAAAGTTGTTTTGATAACCATTAGATTTATTCACAATGTTTATATTCCTGATATGAGCTGATAATTACATGTACTTTCAGATTTATTGTTCTTCACTTTTTGAAAATCCTGTGACTCTCTTTTGGTTACCTACCCTTTTCATTATAATATTAATAATCAGCTATGGATGATGTATTGAACAACATTTGTAGAACTGCTCTAAAGTGTTCTGATATCAGGCAATATGGCTTTATTGTCTGATAAGGGGGGGGGGGGTTGGATGGCTGAACCGTTTGCAGGTGCGTGCTGTATCATAAGGTCTGTCATTGAGTCAACTGGCGTGGTTTCGAATCCCCGGTTGTACATGACAAGGAGTAGGGTCGCCTGTCCAACCTCGTGGGTTTTCTCCAGGTCCTCCGGTTTCCTCCCACTGCTAAAGACCCCTACGCGCAAGTGAATTCTAGAAATAAAATTGAACCATGTGTTAGTCCTGAAATGATTTAGTTTATGTCGAGTGGATGTTAAACCCTATCTCTCTCTCTCTCTCTCTCTCTCTCTCTGTGTACTATTGCCTGATATGTGTTTCTGAAAGTATCGTAAATAAAAAAGTCTGATCAGATGATCATATAAGCTTATAGCTTTAGTAAACTCATAACATTTACCATAACAATATTAGTTTACTACATTTGTCATATCGGTTAATGATTACAAATTACTCCATTACTATAATCATCTTTATCTTGTGACTCATTACAAGGAAGCTATTAATACCTTGCTAGGATATAATTATGTTATATATACTACCCATCCTCCTTTATGATTATTATCAATTGGTCAATCTTGTACTATTGTTGACCAGTTGCAGCCTCAGATGTTGTTTAAATGTTAAATGAAACGGGAGCCACAGTCTCTAAGTGGGTAAGTGTGTTCGATCCCTATCTAGTCTTTTGGATGGGGTGGAAAACCAAGGTCCTGTGTATACTTTGACGTGCGCGTAAAAGATACCTTGGCAGTTGGAATTCGATATTAGAGTAGGCCATAGTGGCGCTGTCTGGGCAAAATTTCCCTCGTAGCACACTGTATGGCATCTGCCCATCTTCATTAGCCCAGTCTGAGCAAAACAGTATGACATTATGAAACATGATGGGATTTTCTATATTACATTTTAAGGATAATCTAAATTAATCCATATGAAAATGAAACTATGCTTGTAAGATGTAATTAAACAAAGGTTCTATAATTAATAGACGAACTTAAATGAAGTCAAGGACACCGTAAGGTATTTATTTGAATCTTGTATTAATTTAACTAAAAGCTAAATATTTAAAAATTTAAATATGCCTGTATAATATGTGTTATGATTGCCATCTTTGGTGTAACCACTGACATGTATATCGTTATGTAGAGTGTTCATATGTTTCTTTTATATTATTTGAGTGACATCACAAAAGTTGTTGATAGTTAACTTTTACCTCTTAATTTTGATTTCAGCTTTTACAAACGCGTGTGACATTTTGCTGAATAAAAAATGCATGAAAAGGGTTTTTTTTATGGTTTCGGTAGTGAATATGACATGCTAAATATTTACCAAAATGGGAGTACCGTAAATTTTGAGGGTAAATGCCAGGTTTTTTAAGACAGTTTGCTTTAAAAGGTAAAACTTCAGACAAGCATAAAGCCGTCAATTTTTATGAGAAGCAAATGAAACTGACACCCTTCCATAGGTTGCCAGGGTCAGTCTTTCATATGAAATGGTTTTCATAGGTGTTTGATGCTCTCTTCTCTTGTGCCATTTCGGAGTCCTACCCTAAAAAAGCCTATGGCCGAGAACCCAAATGTATAATTGGGCATTACTTTGTACAGTTTTATTATAAAATAACAAATGTCTCTAAATTAATGTTTTTGGGGTAATTCTTTAGTGGTGTTAACTGGTCATTTATACCATTTGTTGGCCTTCGAGTGTACCCCAATTCCCACAACCTACGACTGAGAACCAAAATTTACGAATAGGCTTGACTCTGCATTGCGTTATCATGATATGATATAGCAAATTTGGTATCCGAAACAATGCTTTGGAGTCAATATTCATTTTAAGATATGCTCAGTTATCCCTTATACAACATTATAGTTTACATCAGATTTACTACATGTACATTCGTTTAATACATGCGACTGCTTTTTATGCTGCACATGCTATTTCACATAAGGGTGTTGTTTTTGTTTTTTTACTTTAATTATACTGTATAGTATTGGAAGTCCACTGTGTCTATAAATTTTGGTATGCTGCCCACACTATTTCGCATAAGGGTGTTGTTTTGGTTTTTTTACTTTAATTATACTGTATAGTATTGGAAGTCCACTGTGTCTATAAATTTTGGTATGCTGCACACGCTATTTCGCATAAGGGTGTTGTTTTTGTTTTTTTACTTTAATTATACTGTATTGGAAGTCCACTGTGTCTATAAATTTTGGTAATATTTTGTACAAATCTCTGTGTAATTGACTATCAAAGTCAGAAGAAAATCTAAACACACATTTGAGTTGGTCCGATTTCTATGCCTTTTGATTGTGCATGTGTGAAATAAAATGTAAATAAATGGATATGTCACTTTGAACACAGATTAGGTCAACTATTCAACTTCATTTTTTGAAAGGATGTGTGATATTTGTAATAAACACAAAAAAAAACAAAGAAATTTATTGACTTCCAATTGCATAATAAGGCCACAATAAATTAAACTAGATAATTATTACAGAGTGTCAACCACTATGCTTGCCACATTGTGTAATGACTCATAAATTGTGTGCAGATACCTTGAAATTGGCTATACTTTCCAAAAAATGGTTATGTACATGTATTATTTAGAATCCCGGCTGCTGAGTACATCTGTAAATGAGGTGACCTAAATGAAATATTAATGAGAACAACAAAGAACGATAAAATTTCAGTAATAATGTATCACTATATTTCATACATATGTAGTTAGGAATATGAATTACAGAATATAGTGATTGATATTGGTTTTATTGGAGCCGTGTAATTTAAACTGGTAGGTATACATGTATATAAACATATCAAGGATTTTATTCTAGCTTCAGTTTCAAATTAATTTTCAGAAGTGAAAGTATTAATGGTGTATTCATGAGAAAATTATGAACTAATCAACAATATGTCATTATCAAGAAGAGATAGTAACCTTGGAGGGCCCAAAAGGGCCTCATCTACAACATTCTTCTATGGACGTATTACTCGTGAAGAGGCCGAGAATATTTTGAAGATGAAGGGAATGCAGGATGGTCTTTTTTTATTACGAGAGAGCATCAGTCCATTAGGAAATTATGCAGTCAGTATTTGTAATAATGGAGGGTAAGTAGTTGTTTTTGGTAATAATACACATCTTGGTACTGCAATGTGCCCTTCTCTTCAGAATTTATAAATTACCGATATGAAATCTTTCACTCTCAAATCCAAAGCATAATTTGAAAAGAATGTGAAAATGCTAAAAATGAGTGACACATGCATGTAATTAAAATCTGACAAATTTAACTTAGTAGTGAACATTTGTTACATTACTTCCTTTTATCAGATTTTTTTGACTTACCAGTATTACACACTTCCTTGTTATGCACATAGATTTATTTAAATGCAGTTAATCAGCCCAATAGGGGCAGGGCAAGAGCTTACACATTTTTGACTTCTTCTTAAACAAGTGGTTGTGCATATTCAAATTTGTTCAAATGAAGCTGTTCATAAGAGTACAGTAGGACGTTAAACCCCATTTCATTTCATTTCATTTCTGTTCATAGTGGAGTGGGGGCACATTTCTTCACCATACTTTTTTAGCATATATTGCTTGGTGAGTGCTTATTCATGTCTGTTGATTTGCCAATAGATACAATCGAATTTGCCATATATTTTAATTATGTGCAGATTTGCACGATTAATGAATTTTTTTACTCAGTCACATGCTTCTGTAGTAAAGTCAAGAAGGGGTTGAAAATTAGGAAGTTTGTACTTTGTAGTATATATTTGTGAATGGAGAAATGTTATTGCACAAGGGCGTACGTACATAACTATTTTGTTCGGGGGGGGGGGGGTGTTTAGCACAAAAATGTAACTGACTGACTCACAGGCCCCCAATACGAATGACGCAGTCAGGAGCCGAGCACCCCAGGTGTGAGATTTGTAAGGGGGGGGCGGGTCCGGGGAATGCCCCCCTGAAAAATTTTTGAATCTAGAGTTTCTAAAATGCCATTTCCTGGTCTTTGGGGGAGGATTTTGAAGAATTCTGATGGTCAGAACACACTTATAACATGAGTAAAATACATTTGAATTTCTACTGGGATTGAATATGGCAGAAGTAAAAATTTGAAAGTTCAATAGATCGCCCTAACATTTCATAACTTAAAGATTTTTTTTACGTATTTCTGAAACAAACTCACCCTTTCTTTTACCAATCCAAAAGATAAAACTATGCTTTCGATAAATTCTTGCCAACGGTTTATCTAATATTATTCTTACATGTAGGACAATCAAAAATATATTTTGAAATATCAAAATCTTCATAACAAGCTCTCTCAATTTCTTAGACATAACATAATAAGAGGGATAATTTTGTTTTGAAACAAGACAAGTTGACTAGGTTATTTTATACTATACATGTACCATTGCAATTTAGGTGCACGGATTCACAAAAATACATATAAGTATTTGTGATTTTCCCTTCTGTTATGACATTGTTTGTTTACCTCATTAATTCATTTAGTCTGAGACTGATTGCAGTGAGCACTTATTTTCAGACTGACTGTTCTTTTCCCTGGGGGGAAAACATTTCTTAGACCAACATACTCACAACAGAGTAAGAGTGAAAAACATTTTTTGACTGCACTTATTTTGAGACCAACTATATTTCTCCATGGGGCTGGGGGGGATTTTTTCTTTAAATTATAAAGTTTGTTGTATAAATTTGAGGATTTGTAGAAGATTTGACATATTATTATTTCTTTGATTCAGTATCCATCATTATATTATTGAGAAAAAATCAGACGGTCAGTTCATGATACCACAAGGCAGAAAATTCCCTGGTCCAGTTGAACTTATTGAACATTATAAGAATAATTTAGATGGCTTTGTCACAGCACCTACAATACCATGTGAACGAGATGCAGATCAACAGGCCATAGCTTTTCGTGGAATGACCTATAGTGACTTGGAGAAAGAAATGACAGTTAGAGCTAAAGCTATAAAGGTAATTCCATCATAACCAAAATGGTACACTTTAATTACAAATGTGCAATAAATAAGGGAAGCTGTGGTGACTCAGTAAGACACTGGCTTGCTAACCAGGATGTGCATATTGGTTGAGAAAGCTTCTCTGGATTTTCCTGTGTGGTTCCCACTTGTCAGTGGTGCAAGATGGAGGATCTGGCAAGCAACATTGTTCAGTCGTTGGGATGGGACGAAAAACAGAGATCTTGTTTACACAATGGTGTGCACGTAAAGGAACCCTTTATAGGTTAAATTCAAAATAAGAGTAGACCATAACACCTCTTCCTGGGAACAATTTCCCTCATAGTACACTGCATTACTTATGCTTGTCTAATAAAGTGGTGTTTGCTTAAAGGGATTCTATATTTTGTTCCTTAGAAATATTCGAAAATCTATATTCACATGAAATATTATTATTTTTCTAGAATGTAGACATGTCAAAAGCATTTGGACCAATGAGAGACCATTTTATGAAAATGGTAGCAAGAGACTTACATTTAAAACAGCCATGGTTCCACGGTAAATTATCTCGCACAAATGCTGAATCAAGGATCACCAAAGATGGTACCGAACAGGGTAAATTTATGTAAGTATCAATAAACTTATGGCTATTAGTTTAGCTAACCTTGTACTTTATTGGAATAATAACGGTCTAAATTCTTACAAAAAAAACAAAACTTTAAAACATTCTTCCGAAATATAAATATAATAAAGGAATACTTGACAATAGTGGAACTTAGTATCAAGTTTAGAAGCAGATCAGAAATAAAATCATGATATATTATTTATGCGTGGCAAATACTTTAATGTCTCTACCAGCATAATTGTTTGATCCTTCAGCTAAACAGGTTGAGTCTCTGCTACAAGATTTTAACATTTCTTTTGTTTTCAGGGTGAGGGCACGTGATGATAAAAAGACATTTGCTTTGACATTATGCTATCAAAATTCAATAAAACATTACTTTATAAATATCAACTCAGAAGAAAAGCTGTCTATAGAAGATGGACCAAAGTTTGAATGTTTGATAATGGTACAAGCTGTTTACTTCATTTGTTTAATTTCAGTTCTAAACAGTGTAATACCCCAAAATTTGTCTGTATTGGTTTACTGACTATTTCCATTTCATATTTAGTATTATAGAGAAAACAAATTAAACATTTAATATAAGTAGACCTATTGATTATAGTGTTTACTTGCGTACCATAATTTTCTAAAATACCTGACTGACAGGTAAATTACTCACTTGGCCAATAAATACATCATTATTTTGCACCTTAAAGAACAACGTTGATGTCCACCAATATTACATACCAAATATAATTTTAACACACAGATCTTTGCTTCGGTCGATCTGGAACAATAATATGAAGAAACGGGAAGTGATGCCAAGAAATGTAAAATGCGTTATCCTTACTGGCTGAAGTAGAGACTGGTCACAGATACACAGTCGATTTTCAGAACATTGATATTTCCTTTGAAAACGAAAAATTGTTTTATGAGACCGTAAGGGGAGGCTGAATTTAAACTAATCCCAGTTTGGATTTTGCTAGATTCATTTCAATCAAATAATATTCTCTTTTATATGACAGTTGATTGATCATTACCATAATAAACAAGATGGTCTAGCCTGTAAATTAACAGTACCATGTAAAAACCCAAGTTTCAGTAAAGAAGATATGATAAGTAAGTTTAAATTCAAGTTATAGGGACCTAAGAGAAAACTTTAATTATGATTATTTTTTCTTCATCAGAATATTTGCAGAAATTAACCAAAAGAAGGGTGATTTTAAATATTTAGAGAATTTTAGGTGACACCCGTCTGTATTCACATGCAGTTAGCTAGCAACTTACTTGTTGAAGAGTACAATAAAATTCTACCAAACTCATGTAACTCACTGTATATGTATACACTTTCCTATGTTGTTGAGAAGTCGCTCCTATCTTCAAGACACATATGCTCACAAGCCAGAGGTGACCAGCCTGCAAGAGCTTTAAGTGTGACACTCTAGACCACTAGGCCATCCCAACCCCCCAAACTTTCCTATGTATGGTCACCCTTTACTATTATAGAAAGCCATATAGTGATGTTCTGGCCAATTTAAAAATTTATAAATATTTAAAGAGAGTTATGCTTTAATATCGAATGCTTTAAGAATTTCATTTCTTAATAATAAATAGCATTTAGATCATTTATGACATATTTTTTATTTTTTCAGAATATATGAGAACATGTAATGAAGCACTGTTTTCCAACCAATCTCGTCAATCGGTATATATTACTAATCTATTTATCTATATATATCTAGACTGTTTTACAATATAGAATCGATAAGAAACCTAAAATATGCTGTAAAATGATTAGCATTGCTTACATGTACAAAATTAGATCTTCCATTACCAGCTTTTTAAATGGCACATAAGATGGGTGAGAAAACGTTTTGGTATGTATAGTCAATGGTTACTATATCCACTTTACAGCAAGTTCACACCAATCTGATTAAAATTAATTCAGCTAGCTTTACTCAAAGTTGCAATAAGAGACCTCCCGTAAAAATGACTTTGCCAATTATCGAAAACACTCCTAATCCCCTCAGATGCCAGTGATGTCACAGTGACCGAATGCATATTTGGAATGTTTATTTCTTAATTACATATGTATGCAGCCGGCTTGTGTATTCATTAACGCCTGACTGATTCCTTAATCCCCTAATTAAATAAAACAATTGACTATGGAATAATTTGTTTTGTAATTTATTTTAATTTAATTAAAGATTCCATTTAGAATTTGTTTTATGATGTCATAACAAAGACAGTCGATGTAGCTGTATCCCTGTGTCATTTTAATGAGAATAAGCCGATAGTAAACCAACAATAATTGGCTTCCGATTAAAACAACAAGATTGTTGTGAAATTGGTATCGACGGCGCTACGAAAATCTATGAAACCAATACAAATAATTAAATGTGGGTTTTTAAGAGGTGAAATGGTTTCAAGTAATAATCATATAAATTTAGAGTATCGAGAAGATGACCTGCCCTCACTTCTCACGACAGCTATTTTAAAACTGTGTTTTATAGTCCCTCTACCATCGTGTGCAGTTCAAACAATTCGAGATACATTTCTGTCAGAAGAGTATTGTGGTTCTAATCAGGGCTGTCGGTAATTTTTCACAGTTGATTAGCAGTTTTTCAGTTTCAATGTAAATACCTAGATATTACTTTAATTCATAACAAATATGATTAGATTCCATTCTGACTATTCTTAGATTTTTTTTAGCACTGCCACAAGTACTTGTGACAGTTTATAAATGTGATGTAGACATTTAGTTAGGTCTTATGTCTGAAGCCAATTCTTGACAGTGACTTCCGAAGCCCCACTCATTTTAATTGTTATTTTTTTGTTACGTTAGAAATCTTCGTTAGAAAACGATCTCGTCTGCTTTTTATCGTGTATTACTATTTTTGTTCAATCGGGCGCACCTCGATTAACTAGACACATGCGATATAAACAATAATATTTTACGGGAATTTTTACTTTGATTTATCATTTTACAATACGTTAACATGTATTTATTTTTTTATATTTTATTTACAATACGTGCGATACACTGGAGTTATTTATTTCAAAATGAATATGATATAATTACTTGATGTCTCGCAACGTGAGTGCGACTACTTGATTCCCTATTTCCGGTTTAATAGTCCCTATTCATAGAGTTATGTCCCTGTGTTATATAGTATTGTGTCTGGGTAGTTCGAGAAGAAAATGTCACACGGAGAATTCAGTTTTGTTTATAAAATTTTATTCAACATTTTATACACGTTGAAAGTGTTGAGTAAGCCTTCTAGTCTTCAAAATGTGGATTATTCTTGTGACAATATCCAAAATGACAGGCACATTAATGATTCGCAGTAACTGCGAATCAAAAACGTCAGATTTTAATTTTTGTATCGCAAATTGCGCTGCGATACTGGTTGTCGGCAGCCCTGGTTCTAATTCTCCCAAGTAAATGAGCACAGGAGTAAAAGATGTGGTCATGCAAAATGTATCATAAAAGTCAAACACGATTAAAACACAATTTGTAAATGACGATCCGTTACCAGAGTAGCCAACTGTTTCTCGTTTTCTTGTAGCCATCATACGGCGCCTTTCTTTCTCCATGTGGATTTGACTTCATTACTCTGAAATAGACCGTAAAAATGAAATATGGAAAAATATCTCAATATACGTTATAATAACCAGCGCAAATAAATTTGACCTAATTAATTTTGTTGGTAACCATCTAAATCAAATAACAGATTGAGGAGAGGCATCTAACTATCGTTGTGTATTAATATTAATATGGCCTGTGCAGTGTCGTTAATATCTGTCATTAATCAATCCAACTAAAGTTGCACAGATGTGGGGTCATAAATTAATTTACCCCATGATGTTGTGGTATTAAGAAGCTGATTAGGTAATTATCTTTTTACGCCGGCCAGATCAAAGACATCACTCTAGGTGGAAGAGGGCCTAATACCCCACGAATGAACGAAAAAAGTTACAGGGGAACTTTTCTACATCTATAACAATGCAAGACGATAATTTGGAGATTATGATTAGGTTATATGATAATTGGACCGTCAATAAACACTTGTCAACTGGTGGTGTGTAAAGACTGTGATATATTGTATAGACAGTGATATATTGTATAGATAGTGTGTATATGTGTAGTCCCTGTGACGTCACCAGCCAATCAACCGGATTAAGGGTGTAATTGAAAATCATTTTTGGTTGTCCGATACTTAAACGTTAATATGTCAAATAATTTTAACCGGATTGATGTGAACTTGCCATAATGTGTATATAGTAACCACTGGCTATAAGTACATAAAATCTAGTTTTATCACCTTATGTGGTCTTTAAGCATTACCAGTAAACAAGTAGTCCCAAATTTCACAGAGTATCCTTTGATGCGATTCACTTTAAATTTGTAATTCAAAGACAAATATGTAAAGAAATAAACTATTTACCCTGTGTGAAAATTTCAGCTCTAATGAGTATTTGGAACATTTTTTATTGGGTTATAGTTGTATGAATAATCTAGCCTATTATTTACATCTAATGAATGGCCTGATACACACAAGTCTTTATTTAACAAGATACCTTAAAGACCTAGATATGTTAAAACTTATTATTTGTGGATTAGAGAGGTCAATCAACCTGTCATCCAGGGCTCATGCTGTCAGTCACTAAATTTCTATCATTCTGTCAGGGATTCAGATTCTGATACCATTACGGTACCTAAAAATAACAAAAGGCCTATTGTACATGCAAAACATAAATTTTAAAAAAATGAGTAATTCTTGGATGCGATTCGATGTGTAAATACTGAAAATATAGTGTTCAACAGAGTGTGCGAAAAGACCTAAGTCACCAAAAATAAAATCTGATCTGAGTAAGTCATCTCAAAACTGGGCTAATGTATTATGTAAAGATGGATTTTGTAAGTTGTTGTATATTGTATAAACAGGTAATTGTTTAATAATAGGCCTGCCTCAGAAATAAATTGTTACATGTCTTTTTTTATCACAAATTTTTAGCATTGTGAGCCCTGTTGTCAGCTAACCTTTAACAGTCAGTCAGTTCTCATCTAAGTAAAAACGGTAATTTTGAAATATACAAGCTTGATAATTATTCATATCTGATTTCAATGAAACTTGAAATATAGGTTTATCACCCTAAGATCTTGGTTCCTTTCGATATTGGCATGTATCGGACTGTAACTTCCTGGATTTTGGCCCCTGATTGTACAAAAAATCACGTTTTTAGCTTGTGAACACTGTAGAGGTCACAATTTTTATCCGATTTGGTTTAAACTTGAAATATATGCTTATAACCCAAAGATCTTGGTTCCTTTCGATATTCGCGCATATCAGAACGTAACTTCCTGAATTATGGCCCCTGATTGTACGAAAAATCACATTTTTAGCTTGTGGACCCTATAGAGGTCATAATTTTTATCCGATTTAAAAAAACGTATTACTATATCACCGTTCCACCCTAAGGACGGCTGAGTTCGAAGTTCGTGAAAATCAGTCCAAAACTGACAGACAAAATGACCGCCCCTCGTTCTCAAATAGCGTAAAAAAATATGGTATATTGTGGACCCTATAGAGGTCACAATTTTTATCCGATTTTGTTGAAACTTGAAATGTAAGTTTATGACCCAAAGATCTTGGTTCTTTTCGATATTTGCGCATATCGAATTGTAATTTTCTGAATTATGGCCCTTGATTGTAGGAAAAATCACTTTCTTTTTAGCTTGTTCTCTATCCATCTCTCGAAAATGTGGGCGTATCCTGCCTGGCAGCCGCTGGTTTAAGAATATTACTGACATGAATTTGAACTCATACAAGAATTAGATATGAAAAACAGCAAGGTTCACCTATTTTTTTCCAGACTGGATATACTACATAACATACAAAATGTTAAAGGGAATGGAAGCCTGTTGACCCTATTTCCTAAAGCTGACAACTTCTGGTGACCTAATTCTGTCCTCTATTAACCCCAATTAAAAATGTCCCCGCTTACAGTAATTACTAATTTTTGCATGAGGGTAGGATAAACAAAAGTAACTAGTTATGTTCAGTAATATATATATGGTATATATGGTTCCTTATAATAAATAATTTCACTGTTGTAAATGTATTTCATTAGATGTCAAGAGTTGTACCCATTCCTCCTGAACGGGTATTCCGTACTGCTTCCATGAGATCTCAGATGCCTGTACCACCTATTCCATCCCCAGAAGTTATAGACACTGATGATCCTGCTGGTAAGATTTAATTACTAATATGGTCTATGTCATGAAACGAATAATGGAAACAGTGATGTCAATAGATTTTTTTTTTTTAATTTTCTTTGGTAAAGATGCATTATGTGAAAGCTAAATCTGCCTTTTACAGGTTTTTATTTTGACTTCAAATGTTATATAAATTATTATTTAGACATCTATTCAAATGACAAGCCTATAATCAACTCTCTAGACCATCGAGTGGCCACTTAATATTTTATTTAAGAATGGAAAAACAAGGCTGATTTTTGATTAACAAGTAACGTTGCTATGATAATAACCAATCTATGTCAAAACTTCAAACTGTGAAAAGGTCGCTCAGAATAAAGTAATTTGAATGAAATTTTCAATATATTTTGAATTATCTATTTTTGAACAGTTATAACAAGAAAGGCCAGCTCTTTATCTATATCTTACATAATGCATCTTTAATTAAGTTTTGTAACAGTAATCCAGGAAGCATCATTGCATTCAACAAGAAAATAAATGTGCTGGGTAATTAAATTTTATATGCCCCATCGTCCCCAAAGATTAAGAAGTTATTTTTGATCAGTGATACTGTACAATTGGGTGTGTTCAAATAAGATGGTGTCTTTCATTTTAAACAAATCTGCCTATCTATTCTTGAGGTATAGACATTTTAAAACGCATTTTTATACACCCACATGGAAATGTGGACGTATATTGCCATCGGCCCCGTCCGTCTGTCTATCCGTCCGTCTGTTGGTCCGTCGTCCACAAATTCTTGTCGACACTCTTAACACCAAAAGTTATGATCCGATTGTTTTCATATTGATATATGTTGTTGACATTAGTGAGATGAAAAAGCCTATTTAATTTCAATAATTTCCATTTATTATGTCTAGCGTTATGGCCCTTGTTTTACTTTGTTGGACCTTGTGAATGCTCTAACGTCAAAAGTTATCATCCGATCTTTGTGAAATTTATATGCAATATTTGAATTAGTAAAACAAAGAAGCCTTTAAAATTTCAGCAATTTCTGTTTATTTCGTCTAGAGTTATGGCCCTTGATTCACTTTATTGAACCTTGTGAACGCTCTAACGCCAAAAGTTATCATCTGATCTTTGTGAAATTTATATGCATTATTTGACTTAGTGAAACGAAGAAGCCTATTGAATTTCAGCAATTTCCCTTAATTACTTCTAGAGTTATGGCTCTTGTTTCACTTTGTTGTACCTTGTGAACACTCTTAACGGCCAAAGTTATCTTTTGATCTGTATGAAATTTATATGCATCATTTAGATTTGGGAAACCACAAAGCCTATTGAATTTCAGCAATTTACAATAATTACTTCAAGAGATATGGCCCTTGTTTCACTTTGTTCAACCTTGTTAATGCTCAATTGATGAAAGTTATCATCCGATATTTATGCGGTCAAATGGAGGTCTATTGAATTTCAGCAATTTCCGGCAATTATTTCTAGAGTAATGGTCCTTGTTTTACTTTGTGAACCTTGTGAACGTTCAAATGACAAAAGTTATCATGCAATCTGTATGAAATTAATATGCATTATTTAGATTAGTAAAATGAAAAAGCCTGTCAAATTTCAAAATTTTCTGTAAATTACTTCCAGAGTTAAGGCCCTTGTTTCAGTTTGTAGAACCTTGTGTACCCTCAAATGACAAAAACTATAATCTGATCTGTATGAAATTGTCTTGTAAATGCCCCCAATTACCTGCAAAAGAATAAATATGTGTCAACCCTTGTCGACTGCTCGGACGATTTAGCGGCTGGGGGCGTATGTTTCGTTGCCTGGCAACCTATCTTAATTTATTTGATCAAAATTGATAGTCTTGGATTTTTTTTAGATTAGGGTAACTATGAATGATATTACATATGACATTAAGCATTCACCGGATCATAGGGGATCACGTGGCTAAGTGGGTATGACGCTGGCTCGCTAGCCTGAAGGTCGGTTGTTCGATCCCTGCATTGGCCGAGAAAGTTCATCCAGATTTTCCGGCGTGGTTTCCCCTTGTCAGTGATACAGGACGGAGGGCTTGACAAGGACAGCTGTCTAGTCCTTTGGATGAGACGATAAACCGAGGTCCCGTGTATATATTGGAATGCATGTAAAAGATCCCCTGGCAGTTGGAATTCGATATAAGAGTAGGCGATAGTGCCGCTGCCCGGGCAAAATTTCCCTCATAGCACACTGTATGGCGTATGCCTGTCTTCATTAGCCCAGTATAGGAGCAGAACAGTAGGACGTTAAACCCCATTTCATTTCATTTCATTTCACCGGATCATAGACAATCTACATACTTTTAAGTCATTGAGTCAACTGGCGGGGTTTCGATTCCCCGGTTGTACGTGACAATGAGTAGGGTCGCCTGTCCAACCTCGTGGGTTTTCTCCGGGTCCTCCGGTTTCCTCCCACTGCTAAAGACCCCACCGCGCAAGCAAATTATTGAAATAAAACTGAACCATGTGTTAGTCCCGAAATGACCTAGTTTGTGTCGAGTGGACGTTAAACCCCATTTCTCTCTCTCTCCCTCTCTACATACTTTTAAATAATGGTGGTTTGTGTTGTACCTACTACATAATTCAATAATTTTCTTTTCTAAAGGGGTTTTTAGCAATGGGAGGAAACCGGAGCACCAACATAAAACCCACAATGTTAGACAGTCGCAGACGACCAAACTCTTTGTCATGTACAACCTCGGTATCAAAACCATACCATTTGACTTAATGACAGACTTTATGATCTAAAGTGCATGTGTTAAACCATTATGCCACCCAACCCCATACACTACATAACCTTAAAATTTTTATACGCCCACATTTAAATGTGGACGTATTATGCTGTCGCTCCTGTCCGTCCGGACGTCTGTCTGTCCGTCCACAATTTGTTTGTGGACACTCTAGAGGTCACAATTCTTATCCGATTTTGTTGAAACTTGAAATGTAAGTTTATAACCCAAAGATCTCGGTTCCTTTCGATATTCGCGCATATCGGACCATAACTTCGTGAATTATGGCCCCTGATTGCACGAAAAATCATGTTTTTAGCTTGTGGACCCTATAGAAGTCATAATTTTTATCCGATTTAAAAAAAACGTATTATTATATCACCGTTACACCCTAAGGACGACTGAGTTTGAATTTGGTGAAAATCGGCCCAAAATTGACAAAATGGCCACGGTTCGTTCTCAAATAGCGTAAAAATATGGTATATCAAGGTTGTGGACCCTATAGAGGTCACAATTTTTATCCGATTTTGTTGAAACTTGAAATGTAAGTTTATAACCCGAAGATCTCGGTTCCTTTCGATATTCGCGCATATCGTACCGTAACTTCCTGAATTATGGCCCCTGATTGTACGAAAAATCGCATTTTTAGCTTGTGGACCCTATAGAGGTCATAATTTTTATCCGATTTAAAAAAACGTATTATTATATCACCGTCACACCCTAAGGACAGCTGAGGTAGAATTTCGTGACAATCGGCTCAAAATTGACAGACAAAATGGCCGCCGTTCGTTCTCAAATAGCGTAAAAATATGGTATATCAAGGTTGTGGACCCTATAGAGGTCACAATTTTTATCCGATTCTGTATCATGACCATTGATTGGAAAACAACTTTTTAATTTCTTGATGGTTTATCAGGCAATCTAAGTCTACAAAGTGACTTTTTCTGGTCAATACAAATAAGTTGAAAGGGTAGGACAGATGACCGAATTCTGCTCAAAGGAACACATCTTTAATAACCAATTGAATTGTGTATAAGTTTTGTTATATTATAGCTTGGTGAAGGTAGGAGAATATCAGCTGTATTTTGACTGTATAATTTTTCTTTTTAAAGGTGCAGATGAAGCAGCACCAGATATCAAAGATGTGAATTCCGAAAGTCTAGAAAGTGAATACATGCAAGTACGACGTAGAGAAAAACGATTTGAATTGGAACCTCATAGACTTACATTACAGGATGACCTAGGTATGATAAACTTCTTTAAACCACATGGTCCGTTATTTCTTCTAATCTTTGAAGTGTTTTTTTCATTCTTTATATATAATAATAATGTATTTTATACCTCAATCTATAAACTTTTTAATATTTAATATATAAAAATACTGTATTTTACACCTCAATCTGTAAATTCCAATTATACACCAATCTGTAAACTTCTTAATATGCAATACAATAATACTGTATTTTATGTATATTGTTTTGTAGGATCTGGTCAGTTTGGGTCAGTAGTTAAAGGTTTATGCCGAATGGATTCTAAAGATATTCCTGTAGCTATTAAAACATTGAAAAATGAGGAATTAGTTCCTGGTGTTGAGGTATGTAAATTAACATTGCAGATTTACAGCCTGCATTTATACATCTATATGTACCGAGACACCATGAAAATTTTATCCAATTTAAAAAAACGTTTAAATTTATCACCGTTACACTCTAATGACAGCTGAGTTCTAATTTTGTGAAAATCGGACCAAAACTGCCTGACAAAATGGCGGCTCCTTGTACACAAATAGTGTAAAACTATGTCATACAAAGGTTGTGGACCCTCTAGAAGTTACAATTGTTATCAGATATGATGTGATGCCGAAATGGCTGACTTTTGAGATAAAAATGTCGAGATTGTCTGGATTTCTGGATTTAACTTGACGTTTTGTTCTCTGCTACATTCCAGAACACGTTTCGCCTACCAGTATTTCAGCATCTATATAATGTTGTTTATATATTTCAATGTAATTAATTTTTTTTTTTTATTTTTTTTTTTTTAGCCAGAGCTTTTTAAAGAAGCTAAAGTGATGCAGGAATTTGATCATAAGAATATCGTTAGATTGATTGGTAAGCTTGTAATGAAAATACTATGTAGACCTAGTGATATTAATATATTAATGTAGTTGACAAAGAATACATATATTGAAGTTATGCAACCATGGTAATACATGCTCTTCTTCTAAATTTTGTGACTGTCATCTGAAAACTAATTGTATAAGTGGCAGACCTATATCGGATAAAATCCCAGGAATCAAACGTGGACATCCCGGTTAATGAGCTAGCGCCTTACTCACTGGGCCACTGCAGGTTTTTTTTTGACAATGCTACTGATTTTACATGGTTTCTGTATACTTTAGTTTGATATGTACAAATGTGAATGAATTAAGACACAATAGAAACAACAATTTCTAGCTCACAGTAATTTCTTGTTTTAATGTATTTATGTCAATAGCATACTATTTCATTATGACTTCCAAATTTTCATTATTATTGAAAAATTCTGATGCCTCATTGTTATTACTTACATACAGATCAAAATCTTTAGTAAAATAGATCTGGCATAACACATTGTTTATGAACTTTTCCACATTTTAAATTGTTTTGACAGGTATTTGTAAATCAGATAGCATTATGCTTGTGTTAGAATTAGCACCACTTGGACCTCTACACAAATTTCTTCCAAGGAATAAGTAAGAACTATATTTCAATTCTTCTCTTGTTTCTGTATTTTAATTCATTCTCCATGCCCCTGCATTTTTCTTTTTTTATACGCTCACATTTTCATGTGGACGTATATTGTCGTCGCCCCTGTCCGTGTGTCCGTCCGTCCGTTCACATTTGTTTGTGGACACTGTACAGTTCACAAATATAGATCTATCTCCTAAAGATCTTAGTGCCTTTCGATATTGGCATGTATCGGACCATAACATCATGGATTATGGCCCCTGATTGTACGAAAAATCACAGGGTTTTTTTTCATCTGATTTTAATGAAACTTGGAATGCCTGACAAAATGGTCGCCCCTCATATGCAAATAGTGTAAATTTTATTTTCATGTGGACGTATATTGTCGTCGCCCCTGTCCGTGTGTCCGTCCGTCCGTTCACATTTGTTTGTGGACACTGTACAGTTCACAAATATAGATCTATCTCCTAAAGATCTTAGTGCCTTTCGATATTGGCATGTATCGGACCATAACATCATGGATTATGGCCCCTGATTGTACGAAAAATCACAGGTTTTTTTTCATCTGATTTTAATGAAACTTGGAATGCCTGACAAAATGGTCCCCCCTCATATGCAAATAGTGTAAATTTTATCAAGGTTGTGGACCCTCTAGAGGCCACAATTTTGATTTGATTTTCATGAAACTTTAAATCTATGTTTATATCACAAAGATTTTGGTTCCTTTCAATAATCACACATATCCGAATGTAACGTCCTGGATTATGGCCCCTGTTTGTACGAAAAATCACGTTTTTAGCTTGTGGACCCTCCAGAGGTCACAATTTTTATCCAATTTTAAAAAACGTTTAAATTTATCACCGTTACACCCTAATGACAGTTGAGTTTCAATTTCGTGAAAATTGGATCAAAACTGCCTGACAAAATGGCTGCTCTTTGTATGCAAATAGTGTAAAGTATGTCATACCAAGGTTGTGGACCCTCGAGAAGTCACAATTGTTATCAGATTTTGATGAAACTTAAAATATATATTTATGTCCCAAAGATCTTGGTTCCTTTCACTATTTGCACATATCAGAGCGTAACTTCCTGGATTATGGCCCCTGATTGTAAGAAAATTTGTGTTTTTTAAGCTTGTGGATTGTCTAGAGGTCCCAACAATTAAATATATCACCAATCCACCATATTAAAGGTTGAATTTGAATTTTGGGAAAATTGAAACGAAACTGCCCGATAAAATGGCTGGCTGCTCTTTGTACTCAAATTGTATAAAAGTATATAATACGAAGGTCGTGGCCCCTCTAGAGGTCACAATTTTTATCCGATTTTGATGAAACTTAAAATATATGTTTATGTCCCAAAGATCTCTGTCCCTTTCCATATTTGCGCACTTCAGACCATAACTTTCTGGATTATGGCTCCTGATTTTTACCTTGTTCTCTATGCATCTCTTGCAAAATGTGGGTGTATCTTGCCTGGTAACAGCTGGTTGTCTAAACATATATAAATCAAAAACAAGCACAGAACAAATTATTTCTGTAGAACACCAGATATCATTTATTAGCTAGATCAGTACATTATGGTGCATATTTTAAAAAAGATAAGTGTTTATATAGAACACCAGAAACCATTTAATATTGATGAGTTAACATAGTTGAAGATTTCATGTTAGCTGTTGAAGTTCTGTTCTCAAACTGGAAAGATAATTTCATGAAAAAATGACTTTGCTTCCTACCTACACCACACTATTGAGATCTACATGGGTCGAATATTTTTAATCAAGTTATACTATAGGTATACAAAGACTTCTCTCTTAATCTGACATTCATCCTTGTATGTATCATCATCACCAATAATTATTGTGATAAAACATGTTCTATATTTTAGAGATATGAAGGAGGTAGAGATTATCAGATTGATGTTACAAGTGGCGAAAGGAATGGCTTATCTAGAAAACAAGAAATTTGTTCATAGAGATTTAGCAGCTCGAAATGTATTATTAGTCGACAGAGCATTTGCTAAAATCAGTGATTTTGGAATGTCGAAAGCTTTAAGTCGAGACAATAATTACTATGAGGTATAGTTTATGTTTGTATTTATTATTATATTAATTAGGCTGCACCAATTTGAATTTCTGTTCTTTGGTAACAATTTTGGTTCTTATTTCTTAAAAAGTTATTGGTTTGTATTCTCAAATGATTCAGCTTCATATTTTTAGGATTGAAACTTTAAATAAAATATTGTTCATGAGAACCAAAAGGAAATTTATTAATCAGGATCCCCTTGAAAAACTAAAAATTTAATTTGGTTTTATCCTTCTGTTGTCAAACTTAATCCTTGTTTTAAAGATTTATTCCTTTTACAACCAAATCTACATATAAGTTTTCAAGTTACTGATCATTTATTTTTATACACACACTTTGAAATGTGGTTGTATATTGTTGTCGCCTTCATCTGTCTATCTAGCATCCACCTCTAGGGTCTTAAATTAATATTCAATTGACATTACATTTATATGCAGTGTTTAAGGTCATACAACGAAGAAGAAGTCTTTTGATTTGGAAGGATTTCCAATAATTATGGCCTTTGATCACTTTAAAATATCTTGTGGACGCTCTAGAGACTAAAGTTAATGTGAATAAAGTCATGAGAGGCTCTACAGGTCAAAGTTTATGAACAAGTCTATTGATTTCCAATGATTTTTGATATATACCACTTTCACACCACAATGACAGAGATGACAGAGGAGTTTGAATTTCGTGAAAATTGGACCGAAACTGCCTGACTTAATCGAACCAAAACTGCCTGACAAATTATGAAATGGACCCTCTATAGGTCACAAATTTACCCGATTTTGATGAAACTTGAAATATAGGTTTATATCCCAAAGATCTTGGTTCCTTTTGATGTTGGCATGGATCGGACTGTAGCTTCATGGATTATGGCCCCTGATTGTACAAAAAATCACATTTTTAGCTTGTGGACACTCTAGAGGTCACAATTTTTATCCCAATTTTATAAATCGTTTGAATATATCACTGTTACACCTTAATGACGGTTAATGTTGAAGCATATAGTTTTCAAGGTCACAATTATCTGATTTTGACGAAACTTGAAATATAGGTTTATATCCCAAGATCATATGGTTGTCGGTTCCTTTCCATGTTGGCATGGTTTGGACCGTAACTTCATTAATTATGGCCCCTGATTTTATGTATAAATGGTGTCCTTAGCTTGTGGACACTCTAGATGTCACAAATTTTATAATCCAATTATGATCTCTGTTCCTTGTGATATTGACATATGTCTGACCGTAACATGGCCCTTTATTGTACGAAAATATCCCCTTATTGTGCATATCTTGCATGGCAACTGCTTGTTGGACTTGTATTCCCTTTCGAGAACCAACTTCCACAATATTCAAAATCCCACAAATGACTGTCGGCATCTTTAAGAATAGTTATCATTACAAAATTCAAAAATGTTCATATAGTTCTTGAATGGTGTATACAGTTGTTTGATTATGCTTATAAAATGTGGAGAAGTGTATTTTCACTGTTGATTGTTAAACTAAATTCTAAAATTGGTAGGCTGAGAAAGCAGGAAAATGGCCCTTGAAATGGTATGCAATGGAGTGTATATTTTACTGGAAGTTTGATTCCAAATCTGATGTGTGGAGTTATGGTGTTACAATGTGGGAGGCACTAACTTATGGCGGCAAGCCCTATTATGTAAGTATAAGAATAAAATTATAATTTGCCGTGAGATCTTACCCATCTTTGTCTATAGATAAGTCGAAACTTTGTATTAGGTTTATGCTTGTAAGCTCTGTGCCAATCTAGTATTGAGTGTTATTGTAGTCTATTTTATCCCAAACATACAGAATGTCAAATCAATAGCTATAATATTAATTAACTTAATACTACTTAAAGTAACCATTAGATTGGCTCTCAAAATTTAAAAAAAAAACTTAGGGTGAAGAATTATAGATGTATTGAGTTTAATCTGATGTCTTGAACTCTCTACTTCTATATCCTGACTTTTCTATAAATATAGACTTAAATGTAGATCAATGTATCAGAAACTGGCCGATTTCCTGATGAGTACACATCCTGTTCATACAGAAATAAAGCAGATCTGGATGATCGAGGAAGAAGCCTTTCACTAATTAGTTCAAATTCTGTCTCTTTTAATAATAAGAATAATTTGTTTATTCGTATGTAAATAAGTACACTTAAAAATATTCAAATAAGAATATATAAATATACAAGTATGTACAGTGAACAGTAATCATACAATCACTATTCTGGGCAGTAGTCCTATACTACGCTTCTCACTAATTTCATTCAGACATCCAGGAGATTTAGTAACTTCCCTAGATGGTGTCCATTTTACTTTACCCAACCCTAGTATTTTATGCACCCACATTTTTATTTGGACATATATTGTCGTTGCCCCTGTCTGTCCACAATCTGTTTGTGGACACTCTACAGGTCACAATTTTTATCTGATTTTGATGAAACTCGAAATGTATCTTTATAAGCCAAAGATCATGAATTTCTTTCGACATTGACGCATATCGGACTGTAAATTCCTGGATTATGGTCACTCTGTTTGTGGACACTCTACAGGTAACAATTTTTATCTGATTTTGATGAAACTTGAAATATAGGCTTATCTCCCAAAGATCTCGGTTCCTTTTGATATTCTCATGTACCGGACCATAGCTTCAGGTATTATGGCCCCAGATTGTACGAAAAATCATTATTTTAGCTTATGGACACTCTAGAGGTCACAATTTTTATCCATTTTGATGAAACTCGAAATGTATCTTTATAAGCCAAAGATCATGAATTTCTTTCGACATTGACGCATATCGGACTGTAAACGTATATAATACCATGGTTGCAGACACTCTCTAGGGGTCACAATTTATCCTTTTTTGATGAGACTTAAATTATATGTTTATAATTATATCCTAAAGATCTGGGTTCCTTTCAACATTTGCGCATATCGGATCCTAACTTCCTGGATTATGCAACAAAATGGCAAATAGTGTGAAAGTATTATATACCAAGGTTATTTTCCCTTCCAGAACCTGTCTGTTGTCTAGGCACTGAGATGGTAATCTCTCTGGCATCCAATGGAATCTGGCTTAAAAGTTTGCCATGATTTCTTTTATAAAACCTATGAAAAACATGCACAAAACTAGTGTATTTATGACCCTGAACCTGTGCAATTACTAATATGATTGGTGCCTTAAACTAAATGATGCAATAGGTAAATTTCCAATCACATGTAATTTTGTTGACACACAAAACCAGCTATGTTTTGGCTCTATAACTCTTTTTATGTGTCCATCTGTCACTCACTCGCTAACCTGATTTAAGAACAAATATGTGAATCCACTAACTAGGCAGAGATATTAATTAATACAATATAATGCTATCATTAATTATAAGAGCAAACATTCTAGCAATATTAATACAAATGTGGGCATATCTTGCATGGCAACCACTTGTTCTTAATTTCTGTTGTCTATCTGGTTTTAAAGTTGTTCACCCAGTTTGAGATGATTTTATTAAATTGCAAACAAATTACTTTTATTTCCTTTGTTTAATTTAAAATTTATTTCTAGAAAATGAAATGTCAAGATATTGTTGAATTTCTACAAGCTGGAAAGAGATTAAGGAAACCAGATGGATGTAGTGAAGCAGCATATAATATTATGATGTCTTGTTGGAAAGAAAAGTAAGTTAATAGCAGTTTTATAATTATGATGAGTTTGAAAAATATTAACAAAACTGGAGTTATATGCTTGGATGGACTATTTTTATATGCCCACTTTCTCATGTAGACATATATTGTTGTCGCCCCTGCCCGTCCGTCTGTTCACAGTTTGTTTGTGGACACTCTACAGGCCACAATTTTTATTCAATTTTGATGAAACTTAAAATATATGTTTATATCCGAAAGATCACGGTTCGTTTTGGTATTCTTGCATATTGGACCGTAACTTCCTGGATTGTACAAAAAATCACATTTTTAGCTTGTGGACATTCTAGAGGTCACAATTTTTATTTGATTTTATTTCGAAATGGCCGCTCCCCTGTTCGCAAATAGTGTTGAAGTATGTGGAGTGGCTGTTATTGATTATGAACACTGGAGGTCTTATCTTATATTTGATTACTGATAGCTATTGTGTTTTTCCTTTCAGTAAACATGAACGACCTACTTTTTCAGAATTGGCATCAAAAATGGAATTACTACATCAAAATTTATTATTGGGATAAAATCATATGTTTTAAGCTATGTTCAACTAAATTACTCACTACTGAAATAGTAGCATTTTTTAAATCTTTTAATTTATAGAAGACTGCTATCAAATAGAGGGTATATAGAATGCCACGCCCAGGATAAGAATACAGATTTCCAAGGGAATTCTGTATGTAAATGAGATTTAATTTTGATCTGTTATGATTTAAAATAAATATTGTTTGTCAGAAATACGATCCACTTAAAATTGAGAAGGCAGCTCTTGTAAAAACATTCTGTAGTAATTATTTTCCCTTGAAGTACAGTTGAAATTTAATCTGTAAAATTGTAATCTCTCATGTAGATATTATTATAGTATTAGACATACAATATGAAATTACTTATACATCTAAATTCTTTGAGGGTTTTTTTATGATATGAATTATTTATATAATATACAAAATAATTAATTGTATTCTAGTTGTGAGTATTGTGATTTAAAAGTTTATGGTTACCATTTCTGTTTCTAATTGGAACTGTGGTATATTAAACAAGATATGATATAGTATATCATCAGTTATGGATTATTTTTGGTTTGTGTTATTTTTCGGCTGTATATATAACATTGCTTTATTTACATCGAATTTAGAATATCAACCCTTATTTGACATAAATTGAACTCTCCTTATTTCCAAAATATCATAGAATTTACATAACTTGAGTAAAAGTATAATTTAGCGTGAGATTTCTTTGAACTCCTTGAAGACCTCTAAAACACTTGAAAACTTTTTATCAGTGATTGCTTTGAAGATTAAATACAATCTGTACGATATAACTATGATTTCAAATCTTATCAAACCAATAAATATTATTTTACCTATAGCTACAAACCTCCAAAGCACTGATGCCTCTTTAAATTCCAGGAATATTTTCTTAATTGCTTTAATCAGGATTTTTGTGAAATGTAATTTTTTCTTGTAATATTATTTTTAGATGTGAACACTATTTTGTACATATGTAAAAAAAATATTTTTGTACTTAAAATTTCAAATTCATGTTTGTATATAAAAATGTTTATAAAAATTGAAGTTTTAGGTAGTGTTCATATTATTTATTTTGCCAATTAATGCTATTTCAGAGACATTCCAGGTCAAAATTAAAAATGAATGTAAGAAAGTATATAATGCAGGACTACGTTTATTGTAAAGCTAAAAGTCTGATGGAAATTAATCTGAATATTGGAGCGGGTTTTCTTTTGATATTTGTTTAATATTTACATTACAGCACTTACTTCATGAAGAAGTGCCAAACTTAAAGGTCACCGGAAAAGCATCAATTTTTTTAAAAATAATGCAAGTAATTATGTCAACATATACTTTCCATAAGTATAGCCCGAACCCGAATGTCAATATTACCTGCAACAGGTAAATTTCAACATTAGTAATTTCTGCCGTTCTCCACGGGTAGTCGGAACTTTCCGTCAATAAGCAATCCGTGACGTCATTTTAATCCTTTTGCACATAGAAATATAGACTAGAATATGAGCAGAAGGACTAAAATGATGTCACAGATTGTTTATTTACGGAAAGTTACGACTGCCCACGGAGAATGGCGGAAATTACTAATGTTGAAATTTACCTGTTGCTGGTAATAATGACATTCGGATTCGTGTTATACTTATGGAAAGGATATGTTGACATAATTACTTGCATTATTTAAAACATTTATGAACCTTTTCCGGTGACCTTTAAAAAAGAATAGGCAACTTTTAAAATTAGCTTGATCTTCATGTAGCATTTGTTAAACTGCTCATAGTAAACCAATAAACATGTATATCTCAGAATAGGCATGCCATATTCTTCTCATATTTTGCATACAATATATCTACATTATCACATCAAATCAAAAATTATTTTTGTACCAGTGCTGAAGATTATTAAATTTAACTATTTTTGAATATTTTTTTTGTTTTTGAAATTTTGCATAATAATTGTTGTTTTGTTTTAAAATTTTGTTAATTTTATGAAATGATTTTTTGTTTTAGCTTAAAGTTACTCTTACGCATGATGTATATACTTATTAATTTTTTTGCTTAAATATGACATATGAATTTTATTTGTATTAGAAAAATTTCATTCAATCTTCTCTTTACAAGATGCTTGAAACCACCATGGCCCTGTTCTTATTTTTAATAATATATCACCATGTTAGTCCAAGAAAATGACCACAGTGAATATGAAATGAAACAATAGAAAACCAGAGTGATAGCATAAAGGAAGTAAGATCGTTTCATCTTCTTCTTTGGGTTACTAAATGGCACACCTTTAAACCACATCTAGAAAATATTTTGGTTATTTTTAGAACTAAAATAAAATTTAGATTAATCTTGATATAGATATTAATTGACTACTTTACTCTTTCATTTTGCAATTTGTGTTTTATTGTCAAAAAAACACCAAATCAGACATTTTTAGCCCCAATAAATCACCAATTTTTGTTTTTTCATATTTTAAAACCGATATTGATGGATAGATAGTTTGATATCATGTCATTCAATATTCAGTTATTCTGCTGACGATAAACATGTTTTCTGAATTGGTTTAAATTATACCATTAGGACGCAAGAAAGGGTGTGTAGTAGAAAGAGACACTTAAGAATTTTCTTATTTACCTAAATCTACCTACATATTATTCTTTTCTGAGTTAGTTGTGTTCTAATTGTTATATTAACTATTTTACATGTAACTTCGGAATATAAGTTATGGTCTTTATGATTTTGATGTATTTACCGGTATTTTTGTAAGGTCTTTGCTCAATCTGTTTTTCATAATGTTTAAATTTGTATTTAGATTTTATTACTTTCTATTTAGATGTCGATTGGCATAAAAAAAAACTTGGATGGAATTTATTCTCATCCATGTCTATGTGTATATACATGATATATCTGTGCTATATAATGAAGCTTTTACCAGGTAAGGGAACTCATATTGTTAATTTTGCATTCTAATGAATAAGAAATGAATGATAATAGATTCACTGTGTATTCACAGAACAGTGTGTTTATAGTATTAAGTTTAGTTTGGTCTAGCATATACTATTTGACCGAAATATTCTTTTTGTCCTAATGGATCATGTTGGCCAATACTTTGTCTAGAATCTGTTCATTATATATTTATTTTGTGTCCATATTTCAAAAAATGGTTTAAATGCTTTAATGTTAAACTAACTATTGTATATATTAGTGAAGTGCCTTATTAATGACATATGTTATTTGATTAAGTTCAAATAAAAAAAATGTACCTTAATTTTTATGTAGTAAAAGTGACCCTATGCTATTATTATCAGCAGTTGACTTACAATTTCAACACTATAGATACAATGACTTGCAGTCATAGCATTCTCCAGTTACTAGTAGAGCAGTTGATTTATGACAAGAGTTAAAACAGTTACAACAACTCTTATTTATCTATATAATTACAATTGATTTTAAAGTAGCTAAGTCTTTAAAATCTCCGACATGTTGTGATCTTATCCGAAAAGATGGGCTTCTGATATCCAATAATTAAGACAAAATAAACATTTTACTATTTGTACACAAATCGTAAACCATATTGCGTTTCAGCGCCATTTGTAACAAGGGACTCGAAGAATGAGGCTAGATATTTTTCACAAGTCATGTCAAACAGTGAGCCATATACTTATCTGGAGAGCATGCACAATAAATACTATCGGTGTAGACTGGCAAATGCTAGAGATTGCCATTCGGTGTAGTTTGCCGAACATAACTGATTAGAAATTACAGTAAAAACAGATACGATTGAATGTAAATCAGTTTATATACATTCATATTACATTATTATATGCTTTGCGACCCATTCGTGTCAATTTCTAGGTCCAAAATATTAGCGATTTAGCTCCTTTATATCTTATCTCTATAAATTACAATTGACTTACAATCTCATATCTGTATAATTACAATTGACTTACAATCAGATCTCTATAGTTACAGTTGACTTCTTATCTCTATATAATTACAACTGACTTACAATCTTATCTCTTTAATTACAACTGACTTACAATCTTATCTCTATAATTACAACTGACTTACAATCTTATCTCTATAGTTACTGTTGGCTTAAGTATCACTATAGTTACCGTCTTATCTCTATAATTACAACTGACTTACAATCTTATCTCTATAGTTACTGTTGGCTTATAGAGTTATAATTTAGGTATCACTATAGTTAAATTTGACTTACAATCTTATCTCTATAGTTACAGTTGTCTTGCAATCTTATTTCTGTTGTTACTGTTGTTACAAATGACTTACAATCTTATCCCTATATAGTTACAACTGATGTTACAAGGATTTGGGTTAGGGGGTCTGGCTACATGTTATTATATGTTAAAATTAATTACCTTTTCAATCATTAATTTCTTCCCGTTAAGACTAAATATATTTTTTTCTTCATTGATAGTGGGAGTATTTATCTTTGCCTGTTAATACTATGTTTTAACAAGAAATAATTATTTTTATATGTTGCTTTTCTACTGTAAACCTATTAAGTTTAATAAACAATCTTTATGCAGCAGAATTTTTATTAGTATTAGAAAATTGAAATTGGGTTTAATGTCTTGGGTTTAATGTCTATGTGCTATAAGAAAAAAGTACTGTGTAGACTGGAATAACCAGACACTAGAGATTAGCATTCGATTGAGATTGAGACTTCTGGCGTATTTCGCCAAACATAACTGATGATTTGAAATTATGAGTAAAAACGGAAACGATAATGTAAATCGGTTTATATACATTTATATTACATTATTATATGCGTTGAAACCCATTTGGGTCAATTTCTTGGCCCCAAATATTAGTGTTTTAGCTCCTTTAAATACACTTGTCATTCCAATAATGGTCTGAATGAGCCCATGGACCTTAAATTGATGAGTCCTATCTGTTCAGAAAGAGTCAAGAATCTGGTCCAAATCTGGCCCGAATGAGCCAGGTCTGAATCAGCACGATCACCCGTGAAAGATGCCTGTCTTAATTGAAGTTATTCCCCTTATTTTAAATCAGATATTATAATGCATCACCATGTGAAACAGTTGCTGTAACTTCCATACTCATGCTACAATAAATGTAGTTGTTATTTGAGATTATTTTGTTGTGTATGAATACAATGTTAATAAAATAGTCTGCGTCATGTACTATGAAAATGGTTGATTAAAATATAATGCGCTGTGTTTATGGCAGTGGCTATTTGCCACATGTGATAAGCAAGAATTTCAAAATAGCCTTACGACTACAGACCACAATTGTTACCCGATTTTAATGAAACTTGCAGATTATGATAACATTGATAACATCTCTGAGTAGCCAAACTTTTGGCCACTTCCGGTTTGCGAGATATGGGGGTTACCAAACATCTCATGTGGCACATCTACAGACCGCAATTATGAACCGATATCCATGAAAGTTACAGAATATGATAACATTAATAATATCTCAGAGTAGGCAAAATTCAATCACTTCCGGTTAACGGTTTCCGAGATATCAGGTTACCACACATTTCATGTGGCACCGCCACAGACCACAATTATCAACCGATATCCATGACACTTACAGAAAATGATAACATTAATAATATCTCAAAGTAGCCAAAATTTCGACCACTTCCTGTTAGCGGTTTCCGAGATATCAGGTTACCACAGATTTCATGCGGCACGGCTACAGACCGCAATTATCAACCGATTTCAATGAAACTTGCAGATTATAATTACATTAATAATATCTCAGAGTAGGCAAAGTTTCGGCCACTTCCGGTTAGCGGTTTTCGAGATATCAGATTACCACACATTTGATGTGGCACGGCTACAGACCGCAATTACCAACCGATTTCAATGAAACTTGCAGATTATAATTACATTAATAATATCTCAGAGAATGCAAAATTTCGACCACTTCCGGTTAGCAGTTTCCGAGATATCAGGTTACCACACATTTCATGTGGCAACGGCTAGTGACCGCAATTACCAACCGATTTCAATGAAACTTGCAGATTATAATGACATTAATAATATCTCAGAGTAGGGAACATTTCGACCACTTCCGGTTAGCGGTTTCGGAGATATCAGGTTATCACACATTTCATGTGGCACGGCTACAGACCACAATTATCAACCGATAACCATGAAACTTACAGAATATGATAATATTAATAATATCTGACCCGAACCATTGGTTATGACCGAACTTCCTACATAACCGCTGAGCCACGCTAATGTAGATTTCTATGGGCCGTTTCCCTCTGGCGAATCACTCCTTGTCGCCACGGAAATTGAAATCGTCAAATCAACAGCAGCTTAAAGTATCATACCAAAACCAGATAAGATGTTTCCCCACTCAGCGGGGGGATCACTTGGCTAAGTGGGTAAGACACTGGCTCGCTAGCCTGAAGTCGGGTGTTCGATCCCTGCATTGGCCGAGGAAGTTCATTCAAATTTTCTGGCGTGGTTTCCCTTTGTCAGGGATGCAGGGTGGAGGGCCTGACAAGAAGAACTGTCTAGTCATTCGGATGGGACGAAAAACCGAGGTCCCGTGTACACATTGGTGTGTACGTAAAAGATCCCTTGGCAGTTGGAATTCGATATAAGAGTAGGCTGTAGCGCCGCTGTCCGGGCAAAATTTCCCTCATAGCACACTGTATGGCGTCTGTCCGTCTTCATTAGCCCAGGTTAGGAGCAGAACAGTAGGACGTTAAACCCCCATTTCATTTCATTTCATTTCATTTCGCATTCAGTCGACGTGGCTTTGCACAATATGTTGTGTTCAAAGGTTTCAAATATCGTAAGGTCACGCCTTATTGGCGTAAGGTCAATGGAGAAGCTGAACGTTTTATGCGCACTGGTGAAAATTTGATTCGTTCATTTTTCATTGAAGGGAAAGGGTGAAAGAGAGAACACTATAAATTTGTACATTAATATAGGGCAACAACCCACTCAAGTATAGGTGTATCTCCAGCTGAAGTATTATTTAACCGCGGTATTAAAACCAAAGGACCTGAGAATCCAAATCCCGCTCGCAAAAAATGATAAAAGGTCTAAAAGGAAGATGAAGGCACATGTTGATAAAATCAACAGAGAAACCCCATCTTCTTTGAGTCAAGGTGATTTTGTGTTCTTCAAACAACCAACAACAACCAAATTATTAACGTCGTTTACTCGAATCAGCATGCTTCTGCTGTGATAGATACCACAGGACCAATGGCCATACTTAAAGCTCCAAATGGTAAAATATTTGCAAAAAACAGCTCAAGCGAATAGTCCGAAAACACACCAAACGTTGATTGCGTTGAATTGGACGATAATGGTGATCCAGCACACCCGCATCTACTCTGCAGAAAACTAAGAAGACACCATGTTACCTGAATGACTATGTGTTGTCATTAGTAGTGTGTTCAACATTTGAACAATGCGTTTTTAGAGTGTAATATGAATAAGTGTATTTTGGATTAACAACACTATGCTTTTCATTATGTATTCACGTGTTTAATCAAAATAAAATGTTATCTTTTATTGAATCGGTCGGAAGGTAGGCTTACAGAATAACCTCGCAATATATAAATAAATGTAATTTACTTTGGCCCGAGCGAAATTGTAAACATACATTTTTTAGTACATAGGTCCATTCAGGGGCGGATCCAGGAATTTTTGCAGGAGGGGGTTTGCCAGGTTCCTGAGACAATGTATCCCCCCCCCCCCCCCCCCCGTCCCGCAATGCATCTATCGTCATTTTGGCGTATATACAGGGGCGGATTGGGGCTGGAAACCGGCCCGGGCTCCAGTGTCAGAGCGGCCCCTATTACTGGTGGCACATCTGATAATCTCTGTCAAATAATATATCTCATAAATCGATTAATTTAGGCCAAAACCCTGACCTGCAAGTAATTTACAACCATCAACCTGTGAAATTATCATATTGTCATATTATTAATTAACGTATTATCATTGTGTCGTCAAGGGTCAAGAGTCAAGAGAATTTAACTGGTTAAAAAATGGGACTAGTTGAGAAAATTTTGACCATTTGATTAACCAGCTAGGAATATTGAATAAGTAGGAATTTTTTTCATTGAAAAATGTCCCATTTTTGTTCCGGGAGCGCTAGTTGATTCCTCCTGTGATGTAAGGCCATGAGTCACATTGGCAGACGTTTCTGACGTATCCCCACAAACAGGTTGCAGGTGACTTGCAGCACACCCGGCCCAGAAAGTCTATTATACCAGCCCATTCCAGACTCAAGTGATGGCGTGGCGGTCCGTTTAAGCCATCGGCCACATACAACATGATCATCATTGCTCAATGGCCGGTCCATTACCCCTTCCCCCGCCCCATATAATATTCAGCAGAAAAAAGTTTTTTAGGCGAACTGAACAAAATTATTTTTTTCATTTTTTGTACGACCGGCCCTTCGGGCGTTCGCCCGATGGCCCAATCCGCCCCTGCGTATCGCCCCTGCGTATATACATACTCACTGAGCTTTTTAAACAGAGAAATTCAACATCTCGTTTGACGTCAATTTTTATTATGAATTAATACAATGACATTGTGATTCAATTTCATGGATGCAAAGCATCAATTGTGATATCACATAATGTATATATCATTATCTCCTGCATGCTTTGAGTGCCCATCCTGTCTCACATCTGACGATAAAGGATAAAGCACATGGCCGAGAAACTTTTTCTCATAAAAAGTTTTGATTTACGAAAAAAATTAAGTAGCTGAGCAGGGGGGTTGACCCCCCACCCCCCTCTAGATCCGCCCCTGCCATTGTTTGGAATAACGCAGTGACCGGTTTGTCATCAACTATCCCGTGAAATGTAGCAACCAATTGAAAAGATAAGCAGTCCTAATCTTTAATTGGTTTTAAAGGAGCTAAATCGCTTACATTTGGGACCTAGAAATTGACAAAAGTAGGTCGCAACGCATATAATACTGTAATATGAATGTATATAAACTGATTTACATTCAATGGTTTCTGTTTTACTCCAATTTCAAATCAGTTATGTTCGGTGAAATAGGCCAGCAGTCTCAAGCGAGTGCAAATTTCTAGCATCTGGTTATTCCAGTCTACATGCGCTGTTTGATTTGGTGCCATGTGTCTAGCCTCGTCCCTCGAGTCTCTTGATACAACTGGGGCTGAAGCGCATTATGGTACACGATTCGTGTATTCGTGTACCAATGGTAAAATGTTTATTTTGCCTTAAATATTGGATATCAAAAGCTCATCTTTTTCCGGAAAGATCACAACATGAATGTTGATTTAATTTGACAAATAAATCGTGTTTTCAATGTTGAAGATTTTGGATGATATTGAGTTAGAGACTTGGCTACTTTAAAATCAGGGGACTTTTCCCGCTGGTAAAAATAGTCTTGAGCTTGGGTCGATTTTATCTTTGCATTTTATAATGAGAGAACTGAGAAAAATGCGTGATCATGATGACTACAGCCTCTGACTCAAAAGTGTACCGTTAATTGTTCTTCCTCATTCAGATTGAGAGTTTTCATATTATATTATAACACAGATTGGATGAAATGTTCTTAAACATTCGACACGCTCGTATATAGATGGTTTTACATACAGGTAAAGGTTTCGTTTCATTTTATTTCACTATTACTGGATCTTTTATAAATTGTGGATTAAATATCTATCTAAACTACCAGGCAAAAGAAAGTTGACACTCCGTGTACATGTTCGATAAAAAAAAAGTCATAGAGAGTTTTTTATTGAGGGGAATAAGTTTCTGATGGCTGGAGCAAAAATCAAAATATTAACAGTCAATTATACTGACCACAAGTCAGGGTTAAAGATCAATGGGGTCTAATTAAATAATTACACACACATGCGTCAAGGTTAAGTCCTCGAATAAGTCCTTTTACAGTCTGATCACTAAATTGACAAGACACGGCATTAATCACAAAATTCTACTTGAAAGTAGTGTTGAATTATTATAAATTTCTGTCAGATGTGGCGAGAAATGATTCCTTTTGGCAAACAAAGAATCACGGTGAAAGACAGTCGGTAAGGATTCCAAAATAGCCCCAGCATGGGAAAGAGCGTTATTTTCATATTGTAGCTATAAATAGGGACGGATAGGAACGGTCAGCGGTCATCGTCCGATCAGAGACCGTTCCAAAAGGAACTACGTCAGGAACTATATTCTTATTACCAACGTTTTGCTGTCATTTTTGATTTTTTTTTGTCGTATTAACGAAGACTTGGGAGTAATATTACTGACGTGATTTTGAAGCACTACTCGTCCACGTATTTTTTTCGGAATGTTACTGACATGAATTTGAATACCATATGTGAATTAAAAAATGAAAAATAGCGACGTGTTATAACATGCCTAAACAATGTTTGTAGTTGAAGATTAAAGGGACCGAATGGATCCTTACATTGAATACAAAATATTTAACTCTGGAATCCAGGGCCATATAGAATTATAGACAGCTTATATGTAGATTGGGGGCACAACATTTGCAATTCAAATGGTTTTGGCAAAAGATCATAAAAAAGATTCTAGGGGTTGTAAGGGGGTGGGGGAAAGCTCCTGAAAAGGTTTGACTTTTTATTGCTTAAGATGCTAAAAAATGGATCGATTGTAAGTTATAACGGCAGACAGGAGTTGTAAATGAGAGAGATTAAAAATCACTCAAATGACAATCAGACTTAAGTATACTGTATATATGACCTCCAGTGTGTGTCAGACTTAAAGGGACTATCCCGATATGAACAGAGTCTCAAAAATAAAAGTCCGAGTACGTATGAAATTTAAGCGCCAAAATATAGAGGAATAGTGTATTTACCTTGTCTCAAAATTTCAGCTCAAAATATTGAGTTGTTTGGACGTGAAAGTCAAAAATGCTTATCCGGACACGTAACCCTTTTAAAATTTCGTCGCAATGTTTTCATTGGGTGACCTGATAATCGATTTCCGTTCCTTTAGAGGTCTACACAGTGAATGACCCATGTCATGTACTTGACAACGAAATGTAAATTTCACCTACACATTAATTTTATAAAATAAAAGTCTGGTTTTATCCAGAACCCGCATAATACAGCTTGGGACACCGGTCTCCATTTCCAGATGAAGATAGACGGGTTTAAGTTGTTTGAAAACTTATCACAAATATTGAGTTAGTTGCTCGGCCCTTAAGTAGAGCATTCTAAGGGATTTTAACACAAAATTAAGCAGTTTTATTCTCCAATATATTATCGGGATTGGCCCTTTAATGTCTGCTTCCACCTAGGGTGATAGACAAGGATATGACCTAAAACTCAGTCCTTTCTAATAAGCTCACAGTCAAATGTGGTCAAATAATTTATTTAAAGTTGACAGTCAGTCCTTTGATTTTATTGTGACTCAAGATTGTAAATTATTAGTGGAGGTGCAGTTGTAGTTTGAAATTATAAATTCACAAATGATGATCAAATAAAAGTCTTATGTTGATATGACCTAAAACTCAGTCATTTTTATGTATACGCTTACGCTCCGCCCCAGTCTTGAACATTTTTGAGAAATACATGGTATTTATCGTCATTTTGGTGAATATACCTACACACTGAGCTTTTTTAAAGAGAGAAATCCAACGTCAATTTTTATTATGATAAATAGGATCACATTGTGATTCAATTTCATTGATGCATAGCATCAATTGTGATATCACATATGTCCTTTCATTATCTCACACTTTGAATGTCCATCTCATCCCACCATCTGATGATAAAAGATAAAGCACACGACTGTGACACTTTTCTCATAAAAAGTGTTGTTTTAGAAATTTCTTATATAGGTGGGCAAGGGGGGGGGGGAGACCCACCAACCCCCTCCCCTGGATCCGCCCCTGGCTCACATTGAAATGTGGTTGTATATTGTTGCTGTGACTATTGCCTGTGGATGCGCTATAGGCTAAAGTGATCATCCAAATGACTTGAAATTCAGTCACAATGTTTAAATGAGACAAAGTGTAGCCTATTGATTTACAAGAATTTCTTATAAGGTCCATGTGAAATGGACCAATTCTCAGATGCATGAATCTAAAATTGTATCTTAAATTAAAAAGATAGATTAGATGATCATATATATAGCTTTGATAAACGCATAACAATATTAATTTACATCCTTTATATTACATAGATTAAAACTATCAGTTAATAATTATAAATTACTGCATTACTTCAATCATCTTAACTTATCATAGGGTAAATCATGTATCTTTATCCCATGACTCATTACAAAGAAACTATTAATACCTTGCTAGGATATAATATATATTATAATACCCATCTTCCTACATGACTATTATCAATTGTTCAATTCTGCAGCCTCAGATGAATCAAGATGGGATTTTCTATATTAAATTTTAATGAAAAGCAAAATTGATCCATGCGAAAATGAAACTACGCTAATGGGTGGTTAATAGATGAACTGAATTGAAGTCAAGGAGAACATACATTATGTATTTCAATAATGTATTAATTGTACTCGAAATTGAATTTTACAGACCTTAAGACTCTTCTTGTTACAATATATATAAGACGAACATATCAACATTCGTTAAAATATCATTAGCAACGATTCCATTCTAGCTTCAGTTTCAAATTAATTTTCAGAAGTGAAAGTATTAATGGTGTATTCATGAGATAATTATGAACTAATCAACAATATGTCATTATCAAGAAGAGATAGTAACCTTGGAGGGCCCAAAAGGGCCTCATCTACAACATTCTTCTATGGACGTATTACTCGTGAAGAGGCCGAGAAGATTTTGAAGATAAAGGGTATGCAGGATGGTCTTTTTTTATTACGAGAGAGTATCAGTCCATTAGGAAACTATGCAGTCAGTATTTGTAGTAATGGAGAGTAAGTAATTGTTTTAGTTGATGTATTCCTTTTGGTAATAATACACATCTTGGTACTGCAATGTGCCCTTCTCTTCAGAATTTATAAATTACCGATATGAAATCTTTTACTCTCAAATCCAAAGCAAAATTTGAAAAGAATGTGAAAATGCTAAAACTGAGTACTAGTATTAGGTACTTCCTTGTTATGCACATAGATTTATTCTAATGCAGTTAATCAGGCCGATAGGGGCGGGGCAAGTCCTTACCCATTTTTGACTTCTTCTCAAACCAGTGGTTGTGCATATTCAAATTTGTTCAAATGAAGCTGTTGGATGGGGTGAGGTGGGGTTTGGCACATTTTAGGAGCAAATTAGTTTCATACTTTTTTAACTTCTTCACCATACTTTTTTTTTATCATCTATTGCTTGACGATTGCTTTGGCCAATAGATACAACCAAATTTGGCATATATTTTGTTTATGTTTTGATTTTTCATATTTGCACAGTTAATGAATTTTCATACTAAATCACATGCTTCCATGAAGTCAGGAAGGGGATGTCAGATTTGGAATTAAATTATAAAGTTTGTTGTATAAATTTGTGGATTTGTAGAAGATTTGACATATTATTATTTCTTTTATTCAGTATCCATCATTATATTATTGAGAAAAAGGCAGACGGTCAGTTTGTGATACCCCAAGGCAGAAAATTCCCTGGTCCAGTTGAACTTATTGAACATTATAAGAATTATTTAGAAGGCTTTGTCACAGCACCTACAATACCATGTGAACGAGATCCAAGTCAACAGGCCATAGCTTTTCGTGGAATGACCTATAGTGACTTGGAGAAAGAAATGACAGTTAGAGCTAAAGCTATAAAGGTAATTCCATCATAACCAGAACAGCGTGGTGGCTCGGTGAGTAAGACACTGGCTTACTAACAAGCAGTTCCCAGGTTAGCTGTGAAAGTTCATCTGGATTTTCCAGTGTGGTTCCCACTTGTCAGATGGGAAAATTTGAAAAAGGAGTAGACAGTAATGCCTCTACCGAGGCACAATTTCCCTCATAGCACACTGCTTATGCTTGTCTTCATTAGCCCGGTTGGTGCAGAACAGTAGTACGTTAAACCTGATTTAATCTTCACAAAAGGAGTGGAAAGAAATGAAGATAAAATGTCAAGCCAGCCAGAAATCATTTGTTTTAACTAATTGAAGGGAGAGAGAACACGGTTCCTGGAAAACACTTTATATCCAGATCTAAAATTACATTAATTTAGTTAAGGTCTTGTTAAATACTTGTAGCAAAGCCAAGCTTAGGCGTGGGCAAAATGAGCCCAGGATGGACCACAGTTCATGGCAAGAAAACTATTAAATTCAAGATTAAAGTTTCACTCATCGATCTAGCGATGCAATATGGTGGAGGCTGGGTGAGTCTGCGATCCCTCAACCTTGTCTGTGATTGGTCGAAACCTGTGACGCAGGCGATCGCAAATGCTTTTTATAGGGTGTTATGCATGCATGCCATTCAAAAGGCCATTCGTGCCATTCGAAAGGATATTAAATAATCTTTTCGTAGTGGTAGGGGCCCTGCAGCTCTAGTTTGACGTGTTTACAATGTGTAGGGAACCTATATAGCTTGCTGTATATTTTTCTAAATGTTATTTCTTTATAAAAAAAATATGGTGTTTGTATGTAGTTCCCTTGGAATTTGTTCCAAAATCTACATTCAAATGTAATATTATATAACTTTTATAGAAAGTAGCATTTGGACCAATGAGAGACCATTTAATGAAATTGGTAGCAAAAGAATTACATTTAAAACAGCCATGGTTCCACGGTAAATTATCTCGCTCAAATGCTGAATCAAGGATGACCAAAGATGGTACCGAACAGGGTAAATTTATGTAAGTGTCAATAAACTTATGGCTATAAGTTTAGCTAACCTTGTACTTTATTGGAATAATAACGGTCTATACAAATCTTTATAAAAAAAAAGTTCTTGCGAAATAATAAAACGAAAACCCATACCAAAATGGTGACTATGTGACTATAGTCGAGCTTACACCCTTAAAAATCAAATTTTAGTATAAAGTTTAGAAGCAGATCAGAAATAAAATCATGATATATTATTTATGTCTAGCAAATGTTTTAATGTCTCAACCAGCATCATCGTTTGATCCATCAGCTACACAGATTTACAAGCCTGTCCACATCTTTCAAATTAAAATGGGTCTGTCTCCGTCCGTTCGTCCATATGTCACACTTTGTGGGACACAATATCTCTGCTTCTAATTGAGCTAGAATTTTCAAACTTGGTGTAGGTGTTTATTCTGTGAATGCCTTGACTGAGTTCGATGATGAGCAATTTCTGCTAATGCTAAGCAGAGATACGTAGTTTGATTGGTCAATGCTTTGGGGCACGATAATTTTGCTTCTAATTAAGTCAGGGTGATGAAAGTTGGTGTATAGTTTCATGCCTTGAATAAGTTCGATAATGAGGATTTTCGGCTTAGGTTAAGCAGAGTGATAAGTAATTTGATTGGTTGCGACTTTGTAGCTTGACTACTTTGATTCTAATTGAGTGAGAATGGTGAGACTTGGCGTATACATGTATCATTACATCAATACTTTGACTGCGTTCGATAATGTGATTTCCTATAGTACCTTGACTAAGTTCAAAAATGAACATTTTCTGTGTGGATGTGTTGGGACATGATAACTTTTGATTCCATGTGAATGAGATAGTGAAACTTGCTGTATAGTTTCAGTTGGAATACCTTCCTTGAATATAAGTTCGATAATGAGCAATTTAATTGGTCGAGACTGGAGCTCGACAACAATTCTAATTGTGTGAGATTGGTAAAACTTGGCATATATCTTTACATCAATACCATGACTAAGTTTGATAATGCGCATTACATCAATACCTGCGTTGATGTTTTGGAAAATGATAACCTTGATTCTAATTGATTGAGAGTAGTGTAACTTGGAGTATAGTTTCAGTACATCATACTCGGAGAAAAATGTGTGTCATAAAATTACTTTTTTAATTTGGTGGGTGACATCAGCCTCTGCGCGGGCTTCTTTAAATTAGTAAGAGTTTAAGCATCATTGCCAGGTAATCCTTTTCTATTGCATTTTTTAAACATAATTAATGTGTTTGCCATAGTAGTGTCAATTTTAATATTTCTTTGTTTTCAGGGTGAGGGCACATGATGATAAAAAGACATTTGCTTTGACATTATGCCATGAAAATTCAATAAAGCATTACTTTATAAATATCAACTCAGAAGAAAAGCTGTCTATAGAAGATGGACCAAAGTTTGAATGTTTGATAATGGTACAAGCTGTTTACTTCATTTGTTTAATTTCAGTTCTAAACAGTGTAATACCCCCAAATTTGTCTGTATTGGTTTACTGTCAATGATTTAACCTCATAAGAGTTTCTGGCTGTGCTTTCCATTTCATATTTAGTATTATAGAGAAAACAAATTAAACATCTAATATAAGTAGACCTATTGATTATAGTGTTTACTTTTGTACGATAAGTTTTCTAAAATACCTGATTAAAAAAATGCATCATTATTATATGGAAGGATAATGTTGCCAATATTATTTCAATGTTCACAGTGCAAACTGCATAATGTCAGCAGTTCAAAAAACTTCTTTTAGTTTTACAATTTGCAATTTCTATTGCTCCACAATACCAATCTCGCGGTGTTAGAATACAGAATGCACTTTTCAATAATACAATATACAGTATAATAGTAATTTTGCACATTACACTTCTCCATTCTGCATTTTGCACACTAGACAACTGCATAATAGAACATAGAGAACCTATACCTTTTATGGGATCTACGACGTCTTACCCACTAAGCCAACCTACTTTGAAGAAAAGGATAAAAAGATTCAAGTTGAAGTAAAAGGGGTGCAGGGTTGATTTGCCCTTATTGAATGGTAAGCCGACTTATTGTATGGTGACTTATTGTTTGACAGCTTGATCTCTGCCCCTTTTACTGACCTTGACCTTGTAGATTGATCGCAGAAATTATTAATTTCCGTCCTAGTCCAAACTTTTTTCCGTATGCAAATGAGCTTTGTCGTAGATCACATATAAGGTATAGGTTCTCTATGTTCTATTATGCAGTTGTCTAGTGTGCAAAATGCAGAATGGAGAAGTGTAATGTGCAAAATAACTATTAGACTGTATTTTGTATTATTGAATAGTGTATTCTGTATTTTAACACTGTGACATTGGTATTGTGAAACAATGGAAATTGCAAATTGTAAAACTAAAATACATATTTTGAACTGTTAACATATGCAGTTTGCACCATGAACATTGAAATAATATTGGCAACATTATCCTTCCATATTATTTTGCACCTTAAAGGAAAATGTTGGTGTCCACGTACCAATACTACATATGTGATAGAACTGGTTTAACATATTCCAAATATGATTTTACCACAGAGATCTTTGCTTCAGTTGAAGAAACATGTAGTGACACAAAAAGAGGAAAACATGAGTTAATTGTACTGGCTGAAGTAGATTGTGAATTTTCAGGTCACTGATAATTCTGTTTAACACGAAAAGTTGTTATATGAAACTGTAAGGGGATCTATTTGAAACTAACTATTTATAAAAAGAATTGCCTTTTTCACAAGATAAGTGAAAGGGAGGAAAATTACAGTTTAGATTTTGCCAGATCATCACTTCAATCAAATAATATTCTCTTTTATGACAGTTGATTGATCATTACCATAATAAACAAGATGGTCTAGCCTGTAAATTAACAGTACCATGTAAAAACCCAAGTTTCAGTAAAGAAGATATGATAAGTAAGTTTAAATTCAAGTTAAAGGGACATAAGAGAAAACTTTGATAATGATTGTTTTTAGGAATACTTTCAAAAATTAACAAAAAATGTTGAAGAGTACAATCACATTTTACGTATCTCAAGTAACTCACTGTATATGTATACACTTTCCTATATTGTTGTTCATGGTGTTTCATATTACTCTGTAGTTTAGGGTAATGTCGCAGACAATCTGTCTTATTTTTATTATAAGCCCACGTGTTAATGTGGTCGTAAATTGTAATCACCCTTTCCGTCCGTTGATCCATCCACATTTTCTTGTCAGCACAGTATACAGAGGCTGGAGTTTTTATCAGATTTTTTTTAAACTTTCAGGAAACTTGAATTATGACAAAAATCGGAAATAATATTTTTAGAGTTATGCCCCTTTTTTGCAGCACTGTCCACACTACTTGTAAGACTTGTCAGCTTTATAGAGGTCAGATTTTTCTGAAACATTCAGGAAGCTTTTATTATGATAAGACAAGAATCCATATTTCTTTTCGTCAGAATCAGATGAATATTTCTAGAGTTATGTTGCTTTTTTTGTGGAAACATGCCCAAATTGCTTGTAATGATTGTCAGCATTACAGAGGCGAGTTTTCTCCAGATTTTTCGTAAACTTTCAGGAAGCTTGTATTATGTGAAGATGATAGAAGCTATATTTTTTTAACATGATTTTAGTAAGATTTGTTGTGAAGCATTGTAGAGCGGGAGCCCAGGGGGGTCAACTTAGATGAAAATTATACCAATTTCTCCTATATGGTATCAATGCATGTATATCTGGTATCATCAGAATGTAAGTCTGCGGGGTTTCTGGTGTTGGGTGTGGTATTCCACGCCCAAGATGCCATGCTCCCCCCAACCCCCACCCAACCAGTAGACGTGGTACAAGGGTTAATCAGCGAACTGGATGTATGAGATGTGTTGTTGACGTTTGGGAAAGTAGGACGAGGGGAAATGTGTAGGGAGTGAAGTGCTGTAATGGGATAGTTAGATGTATTATGAATGGTTAGAGTGGCTGTGGTGTTACGGTGAAATACTATGCCGCCACCGTAACACCACAGCTTTATGATTTGTTAGACAGGAGTGATGTAATGGGTGTCAACAACTGGGTATGCTGGTACCGTCGCAACGTAGCCGTGAAATATATATTGTGGGGGGGAAGGGCGGAAACGGAAAAATATACAATGTTGACAGTATGTGCCAGGCATGAGGCTGCGCAGACCGAGCGGCAGCTCGATAGAGAGTGTGTGGGAGGGTCACCCTCATAAAAAATTTTTTTTTTAAATTTCAGTTTTCTGTAAGCAGTGAAAACACTATTTTGGCATTGTTTGCGGGGTTAAACCTAAAAATCACATTAATACACCTATTGCACGATATTGTGAAACTAGCTGACGAAGACAGCTCGGGCGGCGATTGTTCGACTCGGGGCTGCTCTGTCAGTATCTAACAAACGCATTTAGTTCGCGTACAACTTTTAAAAACCGAATGTCAGTATGGTATTTCTCACATAATTGGTTATCGCAAAAACAGAGTAAACTGAAAGCGAGTAATCTCGACTCAAACCTATAGTCTATAGCCTACTTACCACAACACTCGTCACTAGGCTTCCTATATTATTGTTTGTGGACGGTTTACTACTCAGTGATAAGCCTGCGCCGCAAAAAGAGGTCTCGCCTTTTATTATTAGTATAATGACTTCCTCATGTGCGGCAGGTTAGTTTGCTTCTAAAAACACTGTTTTCCGTTCCAAAAAATACAAAAGTAATTTTCTACCAGATGACCATGGTTCTTTTCCCTGAGACTAGATAATTTCTCTCGTGTAAGGATATAGCTATGGATAAGTTCATACAAGGTCAATAAATCCGCGTTCACTTCGGGTCACACTGTTGAGAAAATAAACCGATGGGTTTGTTTAGTAGCAAATCGAGTGTGAATCAACTGAGTTTGTACTGAAAAGTTTTTGAGTGATATGTATGAACTGTCTTCACACATTCGGTTTATAATTAGCGATACACAGGTACAGTAGCAAGTGTTGTACTTCACAGACTATTTACCTCCGAACTACCTCCGCACGAAATCCCCGATTTGGGTACTTGTTAAAAGAAAAAGAAATAGTACCTGTGCGCATGCCAGTAAAAAAAAACTAAGAGTTCGCGCATAAAAATGCCCGAACGTACCAGGCGCCAGGTCATCTAGGCTAGATTAGCTCGAAAGTGTACCACATGAAAATTGTACAGTAGTGTACCGTACATCTTCAGGTATTACAGAAACACTCTTACAGACATTTCTAGTGGTGGGGTACCCCTGAAAGAGCTATGTAATTGCCAGACATTTGTAGTGGGGGAGTATCACTAACAAGAGTTATCTAATTTCCAGACCACAACTAGGCTAGATTAGCTGAAATCTGTAGCACCTAAAACAGCATTGGAGTTGTTCAATTTTTTAGAACACGGGAACAGTGCCCGCTAATCTAGCCTAGTTGGGAGGTTGCATTTTGGGCCGTGTCTGTTAGAGGTAACCCACCGCACAAACTGTCTAGCAGTGGTCATTCATGATTCCTGTGGTGGTACTGAATAACTCCAAAACTGTTTTAGGTGGTACAGATTTCAGCTTATCTAGTCTAGCTGTGGTCAAGAAATTAGATAACTCGTTTCAGGGACACTCCCCCACTACAAATGTCTGGCAATTACATAGCTCTGTCAGGGGTACCCCACCACTAAAAATGTCTAATACCTGTATGATTTTCATGTGATACACCCACCATCAGAAACCCGGTAGACTTACAATATTATGATACCAGATATACATGCATTGATACCATGTAGGAGAAAATTGGTACACTTTTCAGATAGGTTGACCCCCCCTGGGCTCCTGGTCTATTGGCATCATAAGATTCTAGATCCTTATCAAATTTCCCTTCTGAGACAAAACTGCTGTGTGTTGGTGTATTCCATGCTTTGCCTGACTATCTTTTATTATTACCTTAGCGCACTTGCAGGGATCTTTCCATGGGAGGGAACAGGAGAACCTACGAGATTGAGAATGCGACATACACTCACACCAGAGATCGAAACCATGACCATAAGTCAGAGGTGACTGGCCAGCTAGAGCTTGAAGTGTGACACTCTAGACCACTAGGCCATCCCAACCCCAAAAACTTTCCTATGTATGGTCGCCCTTTACTATTATAGAAAGCCATATAGTGATGTTCTGGGCAATTTAAAAATTTATGAATATTTAAAGAGAGTTATGCTTTAATATCGAATCCTTTAAGAATTTCATTTCTTAATATAATAAATAGTATTTAGATCATTTATGACATATTTTTTATTTTTCAGAATATATGAGAACATGTAATGAAGCACTGTTTTCCAACCAATCTCGTCAATCGGTATATATTACTAATCTTTTTATCTATATATAGCTAGACTGTTTTACAATATAGAATCAATAAGAAAACTAAAATATGCTGTAAAATGATTAGCATTGCTTATATGTAGAGCTGAAATACCCATCTTTCATTACCAGCTTTTTAAGCATTACCAGTAAACAAGTAGTCCCAAATTTCACAGAGTATATCCTTTGATGTGATTCGCTTTAAGTTTGCAAATCGTAGACAAAAATGTAATAAAATAACCCATTTACCTTGTCTGAAAATTTGAGGTCAAAATACTGAACATTCTGAAATTGTTTTTTGGGTTATAGTTTAGTAGTTTAGTGTATAGTTGAATCGATGTATCGCGATTCACATTCTCATGATTCAGTGATTTTTGTCGCTTCAGTGAGTGACCCATCACTCTTTATTATCCATGTCACACATTATACATAGGTACACAAACACTTTTTGGGTCCTTATTTTGATGCACATCAATATCGTGATATGAAACAGTTTTATTTCTTCAACATCAGCAGGACTAAAAATATCAATTATTCACTTATCCTGTTGTTTTCTTGGTACTCAATAAATATTATTCCAGACTCGATATATGCTACATAACATAAGAAATATGGAAGCTTATAGACCCTATTGAAGGGAATGGAAGCTATTTGACCCTGTTGAAGGGAATGGAAGCCTATTGACCCTATCGAAGGGCTGGAACCTTATTGACCCTATTGAAGGGAATGGAAGCTTATTGGCCGATTGGCCGTAAGGCCATTTCCTAAAGCTGACGACTTCTGGTAACCTAATTCCGGCCTGTATTAACCCCAACTAAAAATGTCCCCGCTTACCAGTAATTACTAATTTTTGCATGAGGGTAGGATAAACAAAAGTAATTAGTTATATTCAGTAATATATATATATGGTATGGTTCCTTATATACTGAGCGCCATGGAAAACGCATCACTTTGTTTTTCGTATAACAAAATGATCCTGAAACATATCTTATTTATTTTGCTTCTTATTGTGAACAATATTCAAATGGGAACACATCAATAACAACACATTTGTACACTTATGGATATTTAATCTGAAATCAAGGGTACAAAGTCAGAGGGGTAAAAACCAAAAGTACGACACAGATGTCAGTAGCGCGTGTGTTCTCCGTGGGCCATCATCACGGTAGGCTACAGCATTAACGCGACCCCTGTAAATGTATAGGGCAGTCCAGTGATGAAATGTGAAGCCTCCCCACACCATTACACTTCCCCCACCCCATCGATTCGTTTCTAAGACGCAGCAGTCTGCAAGATGTTCCCCAAGACGTCTCCACACACGTTGACGGCCATCAGCGTGATAAAGATGAAAGCGACTCACATCACTGAAGAGCACACTTTGCCAGTCTACTCTTCTCCATGTCTGGTGTCCTTGAGCCCATATCAAACAGCCGCTGACGGTGATGATCCCTGAGGATAGCTCCAACATAAGGTCGTCGTGCACGGAGTCCTACTTCTCTTAGACGACGTCTTACGGTGTTGGCACTTACTGGTCCTTGTCTTCCGACGACTGCTGCACCTGTTCGAGTCGCTGGGCGGAATCTGTCATGCAGATGAATGACCCGGATGTAGCGGTCTTGAGCCTGGGTTGTAACCAGAACGTTGACTGTCACGTGTTGATCCAGTAACTCGAACACGTTCCACCAACCTTACAATAGTGGACTGATGACAATTGAAGTGTCTGGCAATAGCACGTGTAGACATGCCAGCCCTGGATATTCCCATTGCTTCATTCCGTTGATTTTCAGTAAGTCTCGGCATCTCTAGCTCGATTCCTTCACACGTCAAACAAATTACGACAGATTGACGTTTCACAGTTCATGTACTGCACATTAAGTTGAAAACATGCTTTTAAAGGGCTCACACACAATGCTGCATGTGAATATTGGGTTTTTCATGTGCATCTCGTGCAATTTTTTTTTTTGCACACGGGCCAATATTTTTTGCGTTTGGGAGCATTGTGTGAAACAATAGTTCATAGTATTGCATAATATTATACATACAAAACCACCTAGTAATAAAATATTTGGGAAAAAAAGTGATGCGTTTTCCATGGCGCTCAGTATAATAAATAATTTGACTGTTGTAAATGTATTTCATTAGATGTCAAGAGATGTACTCATTCCTCCTGAACGGGTATTCCGTACTGCTTCCATGAGATCTCAGATGCCTGTACCACCTATTCCATCTACAGAAGTTATAGACACTGATGATCCTGCTGGTAAGATTTAATTACTAATATGGTCTATTTCATAAAACGAATAATGGAAACAGTGATGTCAATAGATTTTCTTCTTAATTTTCTTTGTTAAAGATGCAAACAAATTATGTAAGAGCGTAATCTGCATTTTACAGGTTTTTATTTTGGCTTCAAATATATTCATTTTGAATTATTTAATTTTGAACTGTTATAGCAAGAAAGGTCAGCTCTTTATCAAAATCTTACATAATGCATCTTTAATTTAGTTTTGTAACAGTAACTCAGGAAATGTCATTGCGTTCAGCAAGAAAATAAATGTTCTGAGTAATTACATTTTATATGCCCCATCGTCCCCCAAGAGTAAGAAATTGTTTTTATACTCCCACATTTTCATGTGGAGGTATATTGTTGTTGCCCCCCTCTTTCCGTCTGGACAAAATGGCCATTCCATGTACGCAAATAGTGTTAAAGTATGTAATATCAAGGTTGTGGACACTCTAGAGTTCACAATTTTGATCGAATGTTGATGAAACTTAAAATACACATTTATATCATAAAGATAGCTTTGTGGATTATGCCCCCTGATTGTACGAAAAATCACAGGTTTTTTTAGCTTCTCTATTCATCTCTTGCAGAATGTATCCGTATCTTACATGGCAACCGCTTGTAATTTATTTGATCAAAATTCCTTTCTCTTAATAGTCTTGGATTTTTATACGTCCACATTTTCAGTTAAAGTATGTAATATCAAGGTTGTGGACCCTCTAGAGGTCACAATTTAAATCCAATTTTGATGAATCTTAAAATATATGTTTCTATCCCAAAGATCTTGGTTCCTTTGATATTCGCGAATATCGGACTGTAATTTCCTGGAATATAGCCCCTGATCATACGAAAAATCACTTTTTCTAGCTTGTGACGCCTCTAGAGGTCACAATTTTTATTCAATTTTAAAAATTGTTTAAATATATCACTACTATTTAGTAATTAAAATTATGTTGTGGTCCACCATACTCTAGAGGTCAGAATTTTTATCTGATTTTGACGAAACTTAAAATATATGTTTTATATTCCAGAGATTTCGATTACTTTTGATATTCGCGCATATCGGACCATGACTTTCAGTAATTTGCTTGTCTGTAGGGGTCTTTAGCAATGGGAGGAAACCAAAGGACCCAAAGAAAACTCACTATGTTGGACAAGCACAGACGACCATACTCCTTGTCACATACAAACTCGGTATCAAAACCACACCATTCGACTCAATGACATTTTAATATTTTAATATACATGTACATGTAGTAAAGAAAATGAAATGAAATTGGGGTTTAACATCCTACTGCTCTGCTCCTTCTGGGTTAATGAAAACGGGTATACGCCATGCAGTGTGCTATGAGAGAACTTTTGCTCAGAGAGCGGCTCTCAGCACACTCTTATATCGAATTCTAACTGTCAAGATATCTTTTACGTGCACGCCAATGTGTAAACGGGACTCAGTTTTTCATCCCATCCAAATGATTATTATGCTGTCCCTTGTCAGGCCCTCGGTCCTGCACCACTGACAAGGATTAACCACGCCAGAAAATCCTGATGAACACAGGACCTCCAGGTCATCGAGCCAAAGTCTTACTCTCTGAGCCACCAATAGCTCCCAACATAGTAAAGATATAAGTCCTCAACAGTAGCAATTCTGTATACATGACCATTGCTTGGAAAACACATTTCTTGATATTCATTACAAATAAGTTCAAAGGGTCGGACAGATGACCCAATTCTGCTCAAATGAACACATCTTTAATAACCAATTGAATTGTGTACATGTTTTGTTATATTATAGCTTGGTGAAGGTAGGAGAATATCAGCTGTATTTTGACTGAATAATTTTTTTTTTTAAAGGTGCAGATGAAGCATCACCAGATATCAAAGATGTGAATTCTGAAAGTCTAGAAAGTGAATACATGCAAGTACGACGTAGAGAAAAACGTTTTGAATTGGAACCTCAAAGACTTACATTACAGGATGAACTAGGTATGATAGCTATTTATAGATAAGCCATATAATACTTATTTATTGTCCCTAGCCTTTTGAAGAAAGCAGGGGACTATTAAAATCTGGCTGCTTGCCTGCCTTCCTGTCCATCTGTGAATGCCTGCCTGTCGGCTTGCCTGTCCATCTGTGAATGCCTGCCTGTCTGCCTGTCTGTCCATCTTTGAATGCCTTGACAGAGTTCAATCATGCACATTTTCCACTATGGCTAAGCAGAGTTAAGCCATTTGAATGGTTGAGACTTTGGAACACAATACCCTTGGTTATTGAGTGAGAGTGATGAAACTAGAGTATAGATTCATTATATCAATACCTTGACTGAATTCGATGATGATAATTTTCTGCTTTGGCTAAGTAGCGATAAGCAATTTGATTGGCCAAGACTTTGGAACATAACAACTCTGCTTTTAATTGAGGTGCAATGTTTAAGCTTGGTATAGATGTTCATTAGGTGAATGCTAAACAATTTCATTGGTTGCTCTGCTTTTAATTGAGGTGCAATGTTTAAGCTTGGTATAGATGTTCATTAGGTGAATGCTAAGCAATTTCATTGGTTGATGCTTTGGGACAAGATAACTTTGATACTAACTGATGGAGAGTGATGAATACAATACAATAATACTATATTTTATACACCAATCTGTGAAATTCTTAATATACAATACAATAATACTGTATATCTCAATTCTACAATGCTGTATTTTATACTTCAATCTTTAAACTACTGCATTTTATATGTATTTTATTTTATTGTAGGATCTGGTCAGTTTGGGTCAGTAGTTAAAGGTATTTGCCGAATGGATAAAAAAAAAATTCCTGTAGCTATTAAAACATTGAAAAATGAGGAATTAGTTCCTGGTGTTGAGGTATGTAAATTAACATTGAATATAACCTGCCTGCATATCTATACTGGGAACAGCCTGATTAAAACACAGATCCTATTTCGTTTCGTTTTTTTATAGTTCAAAATTTCGTTTTACTTGTCTTTACTACTCTAGAATCTGAAAGAGTTGTTATATAACCCGAATTCTGGTTGTTGTGTGAGATTAGCCAATGAAACGGTCTGTTGCAGCAATTTCTTGGCATGCGGTGCATGGAACTGTGGTATCCCACTAGAAACATCAATGCTGATTGGTTAATCAAATGTCTAACGTCATAGGGTCAAAAGTCGCTCGTATGACCCCTGATGCGACCTCCCAATACATCCGGTCAGATCTTCATGTAGTGGAGGCCATTGAAAGAATAAAAAAATAAAATGAAAGATAGATCTGTAGTTTAATCTGATTGTACTGGGAAACAATAATGAAAACACATAAATGGATGACTGTAAACCTTGTCTGTGATTTCACAACAATGTTTTCATGATTGTGTAAATGAACAATCAGGTTAATTCTCGCTTAACCCGTTAAGCGTGACGTTTTTAAAACGTTAACTACCCCCTATTGTGTAATTAATTTGACGAAGTGACGAAGAACTATGTACTATGTTCTAAGAATAAGTTGGGGAAAATACCTCCAAACCGTTATATATTTCGCCCTACACACAGTGAGTGAGTGGCAGTTGTCCAGGACGTAATATAACGTCTTACACATGCTGCGAATGTGGGGGAATTCCCAAGGGATTCCCCCAAGTGACGAGCTATATTCTAAGAATAGGTTGGGGAAAATACCTCCAAGGTGTTATATTACGCCCTACACACAGTGAGTGGCAGTTGTCCAGGACGTTATATAACGACCTACGCACTTAACGGGTTAAACACTTGAAATTGTAATTGCCAGAATGGGAATGTTGAAAATCACAATTTTATGGTGCAGTCATGAGGTGTAAAATCATAAATATCACGCACATTGTGCAAGGATTTGGATGTCATCATACTACTTTCCTAAGACTAGCAGATCATTTCCAGCAGAGAGGGCCTGCTTGAGATCAGCTAAGGTCCAGACGGCAACAAACACATTATCCTGTACTTTTGCCACTGTGCGGGTCCAAATGGGTTCATAATTGTTGGTATCTGACGCTGCCCTGGCTTTTGATTTTTACTCCTTGTGCCTGTAAAATTGTTAAGGTCTCTGTTGGGTGTTGTTGAATTTCTTGTGCCAGTCTTCAATCATGCCAAAAATCACATATCAAGCCTGCCAGCAATTCCTGTAAAATCAGTTGTGCATATCAGTATATTCACTTGATTTGGCATGGTTATTATATAATAGGTCATTTGGTGGTGGCCTGCTTGAAGAATGACAGAGTTCTTGATGATACATTTACTCGCTGTTGTTGCTCTGGGATTTAACGTCTGCTTTCACGTTGAGTGATATCACAGATGAACCTTTATTTTAGTAAATCCAGTGCACACATATACTCAGTTTGGCATCTATATAAAATATTATGTATATATTTCAATGCAATTAATATTTATTTATTTTTTTAGCCGGAGCTTTATAAAGAAGCAAAAGTGATGCAGGAATTGGATCATAAGAATATCGTTAGATTGATTGGTAAGCACGTAATGAAAGTATGATAAAAATAAGAAAATCATGTGTCATGGAATTAATAAAAAGGTGGTTGACTGAAAATATGTATTGAAATTTATGCGATCATGGTAATACTCTTCTTCTAAATTGTGGCTGTCATCTGAGAGGTTTTTTTCAATACCAATGATAGAACTCGCAGACCTGTATCAGATAATTACATTATTGTTTTTACACACCCACATTTTATTTTGTTATATATTACCATCACCCCTTTCTTACCATATGCCCACAATTTTAAGTTATTAACCTACTCTAGGAACTGCAATTGTCATCCAGTCTTTTCTGAAATTTGTATGGTTTGACTAACAAAATAAACAAGCTCATCTTAACTTTTTGAGTTATGTCCCTTGTAACAAAACCATGTTAACACTCTGGAGGCCACCAATATATTTAAGATTTTTTGTAGTTGTTGGTGGAGATATTTGTTGGGATTAGAAACCCATTATTTTTTTCGTCATGGACATCAGATAATTTTGTGTTTTATTTGACAAATCCCTCTTCGTCCATTGCTTGATTGACTTCTGATACTTCATACATGCCAACCTGAGGAGATTGAAAATCAGAATGCCTTGTATTGAGGGTAGAGCGAGGACCGCAGGTCCAAGTTCGATCGGTGCAAAGCACCGTGAGTGCCGGAGGCTTGAAGGGCATGGGGTTTGGGGTCCGCCTAAAACAGCTTGAAAACATATTTTATCAAGTCAGAAGGAAATATGGCTAAGGAAGAAGCAACAACGTTACTGGCAACTAACGATAAACCCGCCGTGTACTGTACGAGTGTATGCGAGAATGGCTCCGCGTAGCAAATAATATCCGCAAAGTATGCAAATTAGGCACGGCCTATGACGAAATAACCACATGACATTTTAATCTCGATTAGTCCAGACATATTAGCTTATTCCATTTTATATAAATAATAATCGAGAAAACTGGAGACATGTTTTCGGCTATTTCCGTCGTTTTACCGCGAATTATGCAAATTAGACAGGGCAAATGACAGAAATAACCACATGACATTTTGATCTTGATTAGTCCAGACATAATAGCTTATTCCATTTTATATTAATAATAATAAGGAAAACATGACACATGTTCTCAACTATTTTCGTTGTTTTACCGCCATCAGATTCACAACAAACAGCGAGAATGCCGAGACAGTCGTCAATGTAAAAATAAAACGTGAGGGATTTTATCAATCAAAAAGGTCAGGAATGAAATATAATAAATTTCTTCCAATAAATTTTAAAAAACGGAATTATAAAGAGTAAAATCGGAATTCAGAATTAGACTCAGAAAATCGGAATGATTCCGACAAAAATGGAATAGTTGGCATGTATGAATTACTTGAGTTTTTGAGGGAGTGTGTCTATTCTTCCCGTTCAATCAAATCTCTCTTAAGTACAGCAACATGACAGCCCTTCGTTTAATCTGGGGTCTTCCCTAAAACTTTGGAGACTGATTTAAAATCTGTGAAAGTATTGTTTGTCTCCCAGCAGTATTGTTTACATTGTAGCCGTTTTGATAGCCTCGTTTGTCACGCAATTAGTTTTTCTGCAGTATTCTGCTATGCACTGATTAATTGGGCATAATACATTTCGTGAGACATGACATGACGTATCTGGAGCTCGGTTTAAACCTGAATAATATTGTTACGCAGTTAGGTATTGATCGTTAATCAGACTATTGACCAGTCATAATTTTCAACAGAAATTTGCTTTCATTACAGCAGTGTTTGAGTGGGATGAGTATGGGTTTCTGTATACTTTAGTTTGTAAAACAAATGCATGTATTAAGACATATAATGATCAGAACTCATTAACCCTTAAGCTGCTGAATTGTTGACGTTATATATGGCGTCGTCAACTGAATTGTTTTAGGAATACATGCATGACGTTGGGTGCCTCTACTAAAACTGATATAGCTTCCAGAATCTTCAAATCAGATTTTTAACACTGACACTGTAAAAATTAACAACTGTGATCAAATTTTCACATAGTTCAATATCTTCATCGTTAAATAATACATCCAACACTTCCTAGGCAGTTAGTCGTGACATAACGTCACGTTTTGTTTTTTTTGGGACATGTATCATCACATCTGTCCCCCAAATCTTCGGAAAATTAGCGAAAAAAATGTAAACAAAGCAACAAGAATGACAGCAGACTGCCCTTCTTTCGTTTAGTGCAACGCCACCTATCGAACATGGGAGTTAACTCTATCAAAACGCCCGGAAATAAATACAATCGATTATCCCAGAATATTCCAGGTGCCGTTTATGGAGGGCTCGTGCCGATTCCGGAATAATCTGGGTACCGCAGTACAAGGGTTAATGATTGACTCACATTTATTTCTTGTTTTAATGTATTTATGTCAATAAAGTTCTGTTTCATTAATGACTTCCAAATGTTCAGTGTTACAGAAAAATTCTGATGCCTCATTTTACTATTACTTACATTTATTGCTAATCATTGATAAATGATCAATATCCTTAACAAAATAGATCTGTAGGCGTAACACATTGTTTATAAACTTTTCCACATTTAAAATGTTTTATTGACAGGTATTTGTAAATCAGATAGCATTATGCTCGTCCTAGAATTAGCACCACTTGGACCTCTGAACAAATTTCTTCAAAAGAATAGGTAAGAACAATATTTCAATTCTCCTCTTAGCCATTGTTATATACATTTTTATACATCCACAGTATAAAAGGTCGCAATTTCTATCCGATTTAAAAAAACGTTTAGATATACTCTTCAAAAAAAGTAGGAGATATTAAAATGCAAATACCTATGCAGGTTGTGATATGATAAATAGTTATGGACACTTGACATGCTTTGAGAGTATGTTCACAGAACCACTAAGCTGCATGTGCGACACGCAATAGCGCCATACACGTGGGAGGGGTTATTTGTCAAATTTGACAATTCAAGAAACCGACAACACTGCAAGAATTGGCCGTGGCACTGCGTGGGTCAGATTGCCCCAAATCATGACTGGACGGTTGATAAAGAGCATGCCACGACGAATTGCTGAATATCTGAGGATTGGTGGAGCAATTACTCATTATTAAGACAAAAATCAAAATTCCATTTTCACTTTTGACAGTGCATCTCTTTGCGAGTAAAATGGGGCCATTAGATAAGCCGCCCATATGAACTGTTTATGTTCATGTGTAGGCAATTGGCCTGTTATTAACATACACTGGTTACCTCTAATAAAAACAGCAGTGCATTTCTGCAGTTTTGTATTGTTTCTGAATATCCCCTACTTTTTTTTGAAGAGTATATATCACTATTACACTTTAATGAGGGTTGAGTGTGAATTTCGTGAAAATCGGCCCGAAACTGCCTGACAAAATGGCTGCTCCTTGTACGCAAATAGTGTAAAAATATGTAATACCAAGGTTGTGGACACTCTAGAAGTCACATTTTTATCTGATTTTGATGAAACTTAAAATATATGATTATATCCAAAAGATTTGGGCATATCAGACTGTAACTTCCTGGATTATGGCCCCTGATAGTAAAAAAAATTGTATTTATTTTTTAGCTCATTCTCTGTCCATCTCTTGCAAAATGTGGGAGTATCTTGGATGGTAAATGCTTGTTTATCGATGCATTATTTAAGCGCTAAATTTGCCTATTGCAGGTCTTTCTTTTGGCATCATATGGTATATTAATTATTAATTAGACATTTATTCACATGACAAGTCCAACATTCATAACTTCGCTTGGAGCCACGGTGGCTGAGTGAGTAAGACATTGGCTCACTAACCTGGAGGTTCCGTGTGCTATCCCTTCGTGTTGATCAAGAAAGTTCATCTAGATTTTCTGGCATGGTTCCCCCTTGTTAGCGGTGTAGGACGAAGGGCCGGCAAGGGATAGTGTATAGTCATTCGGATAGAATGAGAAACCAATTATGTTCTGTGCACATAAAAGAAACCTTGACAGTTGGAATTTGATATAAGAGTAGGCCATACTTATGCTGTCCGGGCAAAATTTCGATCATAGCACACTGCATGGCACATGTCTGTCTTCATTAGACCAGTTGGAGCAGAACATGACGTTAAACCCCATTTCATTTCATTTCATAACTTCTCTTAGAATAAGTAATTTGACTGAAATTTTCAATGTATTCCATTTTCATTGTGTATTTCTAAACTATTATAGCAAGAACTATCAGCTCATTAAATAAATCTTACAAAATGCATCTTTAATATGATCTTTATATAGCAGATGCATTATTTATACATGTGTAACAAGTTTCTGTAAATTTTAAATCTTTCTCCATGTTCCTGTATTTTGTGGTTTTTGTCTAAGGAAAATGAAGAATAACTAAGCCAAAGAACAGAACAAATTATTTAGTATCAGATCAGTACATTATGGTGAATATTTTACAAAGAAGATGAATCATTATACAGATACCACTTATTATTGATGAGTTAACATAGTTGTAGATGGTCATCATGGCTGTTGAAGTTCTGTTCCGAGACTGGACAGATAATTTGATGAAAAAATGGCTTTGCTCCCTACCTACACCACACTATTGAGATCTACATTGGTAGAATATTATTAATCAAGTTATACTATAGGTATACAAGGACTTCTCTCTTAATCTGACATTCATCCTTGTATGTATCATCATCACCAATAATTATTGTGATAAAACATGTTCTATATTTTAGAGATATGAAGGAGGTACAGATTATCAGATTGATGTTACAAGTGGCTAAAGGAATGGCTTATTTGGAAAAAAAGAAATTTGTACATAGAGATTTAGCAGCTCGAAATGTTTTATTAGTCGACAAAGCATTTGCTAAAATCAGTGATTTTGGAATGTCGAAAGCTTTAAGTCGAGAAAATAATTACTACACGGTATAGTTTATGTTTATATATTTATTATTTTATTAATTAGGCTGCAACAATTTGAATTTCTGTTTTTTGGGAACAATTTTGGTTCTTATTTCTTAAAAGGTTATTGGTTTAGCGGTGGACACACTAGCCGAATGATTCGCCCGAATCCAACAGGTTTGATATATTCGGCCGAATTATATTCGCCTGGTGTGTCCGCTTTTTCTCTTCTTAATTGCTTTCAGCTTCAAATTTCTAGGGTTAGAACTTGAAATGTTGTTCATGAGACCCAAGTGGAAATTAATTTATCAAGACCCTCTGGAAAAACTAAAAATTAATGTTTGGCCTTATTCTGTGTTTTAATTTATTCCTTTTAATACCAAATCTAAATATAAGTTTTTATATGCCTGCATTTGCATGTGGACGTATATTGTCGTCACGCCTGTCTGTCCGGACGTCCGTTCACATTTGTTTGTCTACAGGTCATAATTTTTATACGATTAGGACGAATCTTGGAATATAGGTTTATATCCCAAAGATTTCGGTTCCTGTCGATATTGGCATATATCGGACCGTAATTTCATTGATTATGGCCCCTAATTGTACAATAAGCGGTTGATATATTCTTTGCCATGTAAAATAGATTGATTATGCCTATAGAATGTGGGGAAGTGTATTTTCACTGTTTGTTATTAAATTAAATTCTACAATTATTAGGCTGAGAAAGGGAAATGGCCCTTGAAATGGTATGCACTAGATTGTATATATTACCATAAGTTTGATTCCAAATCTGATGTGTGGAGTTATGGTGTTACAATGTGGGAGGCACTAACATATGGCGACAAGCCTTATGGTGTAAGTATAAGAATAAAATTATAATTTGCCGTGAGATTTTTCCTTTCTTCCTCTGTAGATAAGTTGAAACTTTGTGTTAGGTTTATGCTTGTAAGCTCTGTGCCAATCTAGTATTGAGTGTTATTGTAGTCTATTTTATCCCAAACATACAGAATGTCAAATCAATAGCTATAATATTAATTAACTTAATACTACTTAAAGTAACCATTAGATTGGCTTTCAAATTTGGCTAAAAATTTATGGATGTATTGAGTATTATCGACGATAATCGGGTTGAGTGGTAGTTATACACTCAGTACACTATATTAATTTCGGAATTTTGAATATTATTCACCATGTCTTGATGTCCGATTGGGCATATTCCCGGTCGGACAATTTTGGGCATTTGGAAAAAAGATTCGGACAAGTCCGGAATATACGGGCAAAATCCCATCACTGGTTCAATCTGATGTCTTGAATTCTCTACTTCTACATCCGAACTTTTCTATAAATAAAGAAGTAAATGTACATCAATATATCACTATCAATAAATGGATATCCTGAGAACATGTTCTGTCTGTACTTTTTATGGTCAGTAGTCTTATACTATGCTTTTCACTTACATTCGGGAGCGATGGTGGCTAAGTGGGTAAGACGCTGGCTCGGTAGCCTGGAGGTCACAGAGAGAGAGAGAAATGGGGTTTAAAGTCCACTCGACACAAACCAGGCTCACTTCGGGACCAACATATGGTTTAATTTTATTTCAATAATTCGCTTGCACGTAGGGGTCTTAGGCAGTGGGAGGAAACAGGAGGACCAGGAGAAAACCCACGAGGTTGGACAGGCGACCCTACTCCTTGTCACGTACAACCCAGGATTTGAAACCACGCCAGATGATTCAGTGACAGGCTGTCTAGTTGTTCGTATGATATGAAAAACCAAGGTCCCGTGTATACATTGGCGTAGATGTAAAACATTTCTTGGCAGGTGAAATTTGATATAAGAGTAGGCCATAACACACTGTATGCCCGTCTTCATTAGCCCAGTCAGAGCAGAACAGTAGGACGTTAAACCCCATTTCATTTCATCACTTTCATTCAGATGTCAAAATATCAGGGTATGTTCAGAAGATATTAAGTAACTTCCCTAGATGATGTCCATTTTACTTTACTCAACCCTAGTACCTTGAAAAGGGAATTTGTCTGACTATTTCTTGTCTGGTGCTGTGTATCTGGTTTCATATAATGGTATCACATTCCAAGTTGTTTACTCAGATTGAGATGATATTAAATTCCCAACAAATTACTTTTATTTCAATTGTTTATTTTTATATTTATTTCTAGAAAATGAAATTTCCACATATTGTTGAATTTCTAGAAGCTGGAAATAGATTAAGGAAACCAGATGGATGTAGTGAAGCAGCGTATAATATTATGATGTCTTGTTGGAAAAAAAAGTAAGTTAATAGCAGTTTTATAGTTATGATAAATTTGCTTGGATGGTGTATTTTTAAATAAAGAATAGGGTCAAATTAAATTGCAAATTTAGATATTTTCACACATTTTTAACATCTTCTTCGAAAATATTTGATGGATTTCAATCAAATATGGTATATTTGTTACTTAGATGATACATATTCAGATTTATTCCGATGAAGTTCACTATTGAGGTTGGGTAAGCCTACCCAACACATCTTCGACATCTTCTCCTAATCTATTTGATGTATTTTAACAATTTAGCGTGAGAGTAAGATCCTTGGGATATTCTTGGACCTTTTAAAATTAAGTTCATCAGCCATATCAGCAAATTATTGAACAAGTGGCTGCTATGCAAGATACCCCCACGTTTTGCAGGAGATAGACAGAAAACAACCTAAAAACATGATTTTTTTGTACAATCAGGGAGCATAATCCATGAAGTTATGGTCCGATATGTGCCAATATCGAAAGGAACAAACATCTATGGGTTATAAACATATATTTTAAGTTTCATCAAAAACAGATACATATTGTGACCTCTTAAAGAGTGCACAAGCTAAACACGATTTTTCATACAACATAACTTAGGTATTACATACTTTATACTTTCGATAATAGTGTATATTGGTCCTTAATTAACTCCTGGATTATGGACCCTGATTGTACAAAAAATCATGTTTTTAGCTTATGAATCCTCTTGAAGTCACATTTTCGAATGTATAATTAGTCTAAGACTCTGACAAAATGGTCGCCCCCCTTTACACAAATAGTATAATGAGCATGTAATACACTTTTATCTGATTTGTATGAAACCTAAAATATATGTTTATATCCCAAAGATCTTGGTTCCATTCGATATTGTACGAAAAATGGCCTTTTATTAGCTTATTCTCTGTCCATCTCTAGCAAAATGTGGGCATATCTTGCATGGCAACCGCCTGTTTGTGCAATCAGAGGCCATAATCCAGGAAGTTTTGGTCTGATATGTGCTTACATTGTGACCTCTAGAATGTCCACAAACAAAATGTGAATGAATGGATGGACAGGGGTGATGACAATATACATCAACATGAAAATGTAGGCATAACAAAATCAATAACTATATTTTGTTAGTTCCAAAATGACCGAATTTATGTAGATTGGCTGTTAAAATAATGTTGTTTGACCAATAGAAATTGCAAGTATAGATGGAGAAATAATCCAGTCTGTTTAAAATACAGATCTATATTTCGTTTCATTTTTTTATACTTTCGATGGCCTACACTACATGAATATATGACCAGTTGTACTGATAGGTCAGAGGTTATACGAGTGGCTTTTGATCCTATGACGTCAGACATTTGATTAACCAATCAGCATTGATGTTTGTAGTGGATGACCCACAGTTCCGTGCACCACATGCCAAGAGCTCACCGTAACAGACTGTTTCATTGGCTAATCCCTCACATCATTCAGAACCCGCCAATGATAACAACTCTTCCAGATCCTAGTGTAGTAAAGACAAGTAAAACGAAATTTTGAGCTATAAAAAACGAAATAAGATCTGTGTTTTAATCAGATTGGAAATAATCAATATATTGATTGGATAACACCAACCCACAGATGGATGATTAAGCAAACTGAGGCTTTTATCATATATTTTGACTACTGATACTTATTATTATGTTTTTATTTGCAGTAAAGATGAACGACCTAAGTTTTTGGAATTAGCAACAAAAGTGGATTTACTACATCAAAATTTATCATTGGGATGAAATCATATGTTTTAAGCTATGTTCAACTAAATTACTGAAATGGGTAGCATTTTTTAAATGCAGCAATGGCCTAAAGATGCGTTATGTAAGAGCTATAAATTTGCCTAATGCAGGTCACTTGTTTGGCCTCAAATGTTATATAAAAGCCCAAAATTGATGCTCTAGACCATCGGATTTTGATTTTAATTAAAAAAATTGAAAATCGAGACATTGTTTAATATCATAACGGTAGCAATGACAATCAAGACTACACTGTTCTTTCAACGGCAATGACTCCACTCAGAAATGAAGTATTTTGACTGAAATTTTCCACAATGTCCCATTTCATTATCTATTTTTTAATTGTTATGGCAATAACTGTCAGCTCTTATCTAAATCTTACATAATGCATCTTTAAGCCAGCCTTAAGAAAGAATAGGCAATTATTAAAAATTAGCTTGATCTTCATGTAACATTTGGTAAACTGCTCATAGTAAACCAAAAAAGAATCTGTATTACAGGTAAATTGAAAGTTAAAATATGTATATCTCAGAATAGGCATGCCATATTCTTCTCATATTTTGCATACAATATGATATCTATTATTATCACATTTATTTTTGTACCAATTGCTGAAAATTATTAAATTTCATGTAACTATTTTTGATTATTATATTTTAATTATTTTTGTATTTTAAATTTTGCATAATAACTGTTTTATTGTTATTTTTACGCAATAATTTTTTATTTTAGCTTAAAGTTACTCTTACGCATGAATGTATATCCTTATTACGGATTTGCTTGAATACTACTATGAATTGTTTTTGTATTAGAAAAATTTCCTTCAATCTTCTCTTTACAAGAAGCTTGAAACCACCCTGTTCTTATTTTTAATAATATATCACCATGTTAGTCCAAGAAAATGACCACAGTGAATATGAAATGAAAGGAAGTAAGATCGTTTCATCTTCTTCTTTGGGTTACTAAATGGCATACCTTTAAACCACATCTAGAAAATATTTTGGTTATTTTTAGAAAGAAAATAAAATGATATAGATATTGACTACTAGGCCGCATTCCATGGGCACAAATTGTCGCTGCAAAAATATTTTCGTTCCTACAAATCCGATCTAGAAGAAATTTTGTCAGTGTATAGTTCATATAGAGATATTCGTTTGTTGTAATTTTCTTCAAAAAATTTCATAGTTCTTCGGTGATATTCTTCTTTGAAATCCGGACTATTTATTGATGGTAAAAATTCATAGTGCGCGAGGTCACTGGGCAGAATTCAGCGTTGTTCGCCGCGTCACATGATCATTTTTTCCACAATCGACCAATCTACATTTCTTCACGAGGAGCACATTGCAGTTATACATGTAGAAGCTACACGAAATGGCGACAAAGGCTCAAGTAACTTGTATTGTTCACTTAGACAGTGTTAATAAGGGAGGTGCAGAACCCTTTACAAATACAAGGTGAGACAAATATCGTGAGGTAGCTATAGACTGGTTTCAATTGGATGGAAATGACCAATCCATTGCAGCATTTTTTGATACAAATGGATTTATTACGAAGGATACAAGATACAGTCAAGGATACAAGATACAGTCGGCAGTGATTTTGGATTTCACCCAACGTTATATAAATGTTTTAAGAACAAAACAATTAAAAGATGCGAGAAAGAAAGAGAGTGAGAAGGCGGCGTCTACATTCAGTCAATCCAACCGCAACTAAAACTGTCACCACATACATGATACAGACTATTACTGTCACACTGTGATTCATGTGGTCATAATTTATTTTACAAAACATTATTTAACATTGAAAATGTGTTTGGCACTTTTATCGATGATTACATGTACACTATGTCGTACATGTAGGTGAGCCCAATATTGATGGGGGGTGGGGTGCCATCTGGTTCATTCGCAATTGCAGACTAAACCCATTTTTCTATATGAGAATGAAATCTGACAGCTTTTAATTACAGTCAAGTGTTATTTGAATTCATATATCTATTGTAAGCTTATACATTGTAGATGCAAAATTTTATTTCGTCCATATGGACTTTTCCCTTACAATTCTGAGCTAGTTCAAATTATTTAAGCATTTATTCTTAATATTTCTGCAACTTTTTAAGTTCTCAACCTTTATTTCAAAATATGTTTTTTCATTCTTAATCTTAGCTATACACTAGCCTATCCATGATCATTATTAAGACAGCAGGCTAGACAGGTTTTAAGTATGTTGTTATGTAAAATGAATGATTTTATTAGAATTACACTTATAGAAGCAGCGACCTTGTTGTATTCTCTGTAGTCTCCCTTGATATTAAGGCATTTTTCTAGTGAATTTGACCGGTCCAACATCCTTAATCAGTGTCGTAAAAACCTGACTGACTGCCACATTTGTGGCTCTCATACACCACTTCTCTACATGGATGGGACGTTTTTTGGGGTTAATTTCATCTCTGTTCGTCCCGACCGCGAGCAATTTGCAAGGTAAATCGTGCACATGGCTTTGTTTACAAATGCTATGACCTGGCACGTAACCCCAGAATTTTTTATCGCAACCCCGCAAGCGCGACCGCTGGTTGGCCAAATTTTTAATAGCTGCGCAGGATCCAACTCACATCTACGCAAATATGGCTCCGCACTATAAAGAAATAAGTCATCGATTTCTAGCCTATTAAATTGACAAATTTTATTGGAGAACTTTGTTGACATATTGATTGCACGATTATTGATAGTCCGATTTGTAGACCGGTTTAGCGGGAGCGAAGGTGACAAGATTTTCACCCCGAGAATTTGGCCTATACCTCCATTCTTTCATGTTTTATTATCAAAAAAAAACACCCAATCAGATATATGGGTCTATCTCCCAAAGACCTTGGTTTCTTTCGATATTGGCATATATCGGACCATAACTTCATGGATTATGGCCCCTGATTGTACGATAAAATCACGTTTTTAGCTTGTGGACACTCTAGAGGTCACAATTTTCATCTTGTTTCCTTTCAATATTTGCGCATATCGGATTGTAAATCTTCCTGAATTATGTCCCCTGATTGTACGAAAAATCACGTTTTTAGCTTGTGGTCTCTCTAGAGGTCACAATTATTATCCGATTTAAAAATATGTTTGAATATATCACTGTATTGACGCTTGAGTTCGAATTTCGTGAAAATCGGACCAAAACTGCCGGACAAAATGGTCGGCCCTCGTACGTAAATAGTGTGAAATGAAATGAAATGGGGTTTAACGTCCTACTGTTCTGCTCCTAACCTGGGCTAATGAAGACAGGCATACGCCATACAGTGTGCTACGAGGGAAATTTTGCCCGGGCAGCGGCGCCTTATATCGAATTCCAACTGCCAAGGGATCTTTTATGTGCATGCCAATGTGTACACGGGACCTCGGTTTTTCGTCCCATCCGAACGACTAGACAGCTGTCCTTGTCAGGCCCTCCATCCTGCATCACTGACAAGGGGAAACCACGCCGGAAAATCTGGGTGAACTTTCTCGGCCAATGCATGGATCGAACACCCGACCTCCAGGCTAGCGAGCCAGCGTCTTACCCACTTAGCCACGTGATCCCCCGCAAATAGTGTAAAAATATGGTATATCAAGGTTGCTGACCCTCTAGAAGTCACAATTTTGACCTGATTTGATGAAACTTGAAATATATCTTTATAACCCAAAGATCTGGGACACTTTTGATAATCGCGCATATCGGATCATAACTTCCTGAATTATGGCCCTTGATTGTACGAAAAATCAAATTTTTAGCTTGAGGTAACAATTTTTATCTGATTTAAAAAAACGTTTGAATATATCATTTTCATGAAAATTGAACCAAAATTGCCGGACAAAATGGCCGCCCCTCATGCGCAAATAGTGTAAATATATGGTATATCAAGGTTCTGGAGTCCAGAATCTGGACCCTCTAGAGGCCACAATTTTGATCCAATTTTGATGAAACTTGAAATACATATTTATACCCCAAGGGTCTTGGTTCCTTTTGATATTCGCGCATATCGGATCATAACTTCCTGAATTATGGCCCTTGATTGTACGAAAAATATTGTTTTTACATTGTTTATCCAATTTAAAAAAATGTTTGAACATATCACCATTACACCCTAATGATGGTTGAGTTCGAATTTCGTGAAAATCGGACCAAAACTGCCGGACAAAATGGCTATCCAAAAAATTTTATTCTGAAATGTTAAAGCTATTGAATTGAAAATAGTACAAGTAACAAGGGAAAACTAGCATTAAAGAAAAGTTGTTACCAGGGTAACACATTTTTGGGGAAAAAAATTATGAAAAATGTAGGTGCACTATATCTCTGTAAACTTATTAAGATATCTTCGCCAATATCTACCACAGAATCAGACAGAAAGCAATTTGAATTATCATTAATATTTCAAAAGTTATCAAAATATTTCTCCAAAGACAAAATATTGTGGTGAAGCAAATGTTTAAAACACCATTTTCCAAGAAACTATAAAAATTATAGAGAAAAACTCTCTGCCACTCTCTGGTTTTGGGGTTATTAAAGAATAAGTAGTCCGAAATGAGACATTTATCTTTATTAGTGCCAGAGATATGGTGTACCTACGTTTTTCATACTTTTTCCAAAAAAATGTATTACCTTGGCAACAACTTTTTTTTCTTTATTTTTAATGTTAGTTTTCCCTTGTTTATTACATTTCCTAACTACTTGTGCCATTTTCAATTCACTAGCTTTAGAATTTCAGAAAGCATTTTTCGGGTAGCCTCACCCCTTAACTTAGATATCACTAACAATCTGATCAGTATATACTTACAAATTTATCTCTGTAGTTCCAGTTGACTTACAATCTTATCTCTGATTAAACGAAAAACCACATTTATTTTTTAGCTTGTTCAGTAGGACGTTAAACCCCATTTCATTTCATTTCATTTTAGCTTGTTCTCTATCCATCTCTTGCAAAATGTGGGCATATCTTGCCTGGCAACCTCTGGTTCATTTTTGGAAACAATTCTCATCAATGTTTACAAATCAGGATCTGCTTCAAAACAATGCAGATTCTAATCAGCATTCAAGATCATTGGCACCCATCTTGCAGAAACTTTTGTCATTCCTAATTCATTGGCAATAATGTGCTCAACCCTCTCATGAGAGATGCCCTCAACACTGGCAATATGTCGAGTGGTCAATCGTTGATAGCCATTACTGTATCATGCACCCAGTTATGTTTTCTTGAATTGTTGCTGTTGAAGGACTTTTAGGATGAGGGGCATCGTCAAGGTTCTATCCGACACGCTTAAATTCGGCAGCCCAATTCTTTACTGTGGAAAAGGAAGGAGAATCATCCCGTAAAGTGGAGACCATGTCAGCATATATCTACGTTGGGGTTAGTCCTTTCAGTAGCAGGTACTTGATGACTGTCTTATAGCAAGTTTTGTCCATTTCTGGTGATTTCAATGGGTTGGTATGAAGTCGAAGACACCAATAACACTACAACACCAATAACACTACGTTACAGTTATTATGTCTGTGATTCTTTCAATGATTGTACTTGTTGGTGGCAAAGGTTGTTTCAACTCAATTGATCTACCCTTTTCAGGCTTAAAACTTTTCAGCCAGCCCTTGTGTAGTACAATAAAATAAAACCAAGTACGAACAATCCAAACCATAAGACAGAATTCGAAGTCCTAAAAAACGTTATATGCAAAATAGTGTAATCAGCAAATGGACTAAAAGGGTCATGCTACAATTGACTAACAATCGTATCATTACAGAGTTATAACAACAGCCTTACATACATCTGTATAAGATACAACTTACAAGGATTTTTTGTCTGGCTATATGTTACTTTTTCAATCCAATATCATTGAAACTAAATTTGCTGTTGGATATTAATTTCTTCCTGTGAAGACTATATAAACATCGAGCAGGTATTTTCTTTAACAGATCTTTGTCAAAATAAACAATTATTTTTTATATTTTGCTTTTGTACTGTAAACCTACTAAGTTTAATAAACAATCTTTATGCAACTGCATTTTTAAAAATGTTATATGTGTTACAAAATTGATATGAGGTTTAATGTTTATGTGCAATGAACAAATTTTACCGCCTACTCAAATGGGTTCTTTTAAGTGCATGCCAATGCGTACACAGGACCCCCTAACAACTGGACGCTGCCCCACTGACAAGAGAAAACCTAGCTCAAAATTTTCTCATCCAACATCAGGATTAACCAGAACCTCCTGGTTAGCAAACCAGTGCCATAATCACTGAGTCACCATGACTGCATTAGGTGTGATTTAATGGTTGAGAGCGAGACATTAAGTAATACGCCTATATTGATATTGTATCTCAATAAAATCGTCACACAAGTCCAATATTTCATATAGTTTCAATAATGTATATTATCTGAAATAATGCTACACCAACTTCAAAGGATGACATCACATACGTATTTTAATGTTAAATAAAGAGTACCTTTAGCCATTAGAACAAAAATAATTTTCATGGTGTTATCTGATGATTTATAACATTCCATGTTCCATCAATCATTGGATCTATCCTATACTAAACCCATTTTATACCAGAGCTGAGGCCATTACATTGTAGTGGATGTGGATGTATATTGTCATGGCCCGATTTTTATCCGATTTTGACAAAATTTGAAATATGTTGGTTCTTTTCGATATTGGTATGTATTGGACCATAACTTCATGGATTATGGCCCCGAGTGTATGAAGAATCACATTTTTAACTTGTGGACATTGATTGTACAAAAAATCACGTTTTTAGTTTGCGGCACCTCTAAAGATCACAATTTTTATCTGATTTAAAAAACTGCTTTAATATATCACCTTTGCACTCAACCATCATTATGGTGTAACAGTGATATATATATATTCAGACATTTTTTTTAAATCGGATAAATATTGTAACCTCTTGAGGGGCTACAAGCTAAAAACGTGATTTTTTGTACAATCAAGACCTTGAGAAAACCCAGTAGCTTGGACAAGCAACCCTACTCCTTGTCACGAACAAGTCGAAAACACCTAACTGAACTCAATGAACATGGCCTACCCATTTTACCATAGAAAACTACATGTATTTTAAAATAACAATAAAACATAACAGATTTTATGTCATCAGTTTAATAGCTGAAAATATTAACATAATACATTTGGCTAAATTACACATAAAGCACACATCTTATAGGGCTTTTAACAACTTAACTTACAAGAAAAGAAAAAGACCAAGAAATAAACAATGTTTGGTATAATCTTTTGCTAAAAGTAAACAAACTAAAAACAAAAACATCTGAATGAAAAGTTTGCTGCATTAAATGAAAACACAACCATTTCAATGTGGAAATTAATCATTTTTATTTAATTAATAAATAAATAAATAAAAAGGTACAGCAAAAAAAAAAAGGGGGAATTAAAGGGATAATGAATATTTCTTCTCAAAAGGCCTTTTTTCTTTTGGGAGAAAAAAAATTCTAATGAACTAAATATAACCTAGGTTTCCAGACTTTTTATTTTTTTTAATAAAGCCCTGTTAGAAAGAAAAATTCAAAATCTCTAAAAGCATGCAGCAAACTTAACATTGCAGATTCGATAAAATCTCAAGAATGGATTTGATTCGGAAGATAAAAAAAAGACAACATCAAACATTGCCATTAACATAAAGTTATTGCTTTAAATGAACGTCATACTGATAGGGTTTGAACAGTAATTAATTGCTTAGTGAAAAAGTTCGAAAAAGACCTTCAATTAAAGTTAAATATACGAAACACTACATCGGTCGATTTCGACTTATCATTGTCTTTTGTTTCATCATAAATAGAGTGAAGTTTACAAAATTTCACAAAATTTGGAACAGTGCAAAATTTGTGCCAGCACAAAACTCTAAATTATGATCAAACTACATGTACATGAAGTAATCAAACCGTGAACACCATTAACAGCTATCGAAAAACAACTTCATAAATTATTTAAAATATTTATCTGAAAGTCTTATTGGAACTTGATAACTTGATCACAGTTTGTAGCCTTTTTTCCTTCACCTTGCTACCCTGCCACAACGCAAGAATTATAAAACTTCACCGTTCAACATTTATTTTATTGCTCAACAATCAATAGTGGATTTCAGAATGAAAATTGCACCAACACAGTTAATTGTGAAAACTTCTGTTTAATATCAATTAATGTTTACATATATCTTCGATTAATGAAATCATTACAAGATGTGATTTTTATTTGCACAGGATTTCAGATTTTCATTTTGAAATCAGCTATATATGTACAAATTGACTTGACTCACATTAAGATCACCTTTGACTAAAGAAAAAGTGAGTTATGAGTCAACCCAATAAATCCCCGAAACAAATGTAACTTTGTTCGTCTAATTGTTTTTTATTTCGAAAACACTTTGTGACTCGCAATTCCCACCTCTTTAAACTATCCATCTTTCTATAAATAATATCTGTTTGTTTATATATAATAATAATATATGGACAAATAACAACTGGCTCTCTTTAATAAGTTAAACTCTATGTATACATTCCAACATATTTACATGTCTGTACATCAAGTCTGCTGCAATACTGTACATAATAGTTAAGAATTATCCCCCCTTGAAAAAAAAAAACATGATCAAGACTCCCCAATCTATTTTACAGCTAAGATCCAAATTCAACAAAAAATGTACAAACAGGTTCTAGGTTTAAGTTCAGTTCAATCAAGGCCACTATATCAAATGTGACAGGAAGACAATATCCATTCATAATTTTAAAAAAATAAAAAAATTCATATCTTGAGTTAATTTGTAAGACTTTCTTCAATTTTCAAACTAATATTACATAAAACTTATTACAACAGGGGGTTCTATTGAAAGCAAGCAACAAACAAAACAAATTTTTCATTTAAACACATTAGCCTGTGTATTCATTAAAGGCCACAAAAATACTTAACAATTATTGATTGAAAAACAATTGATTAACTTTTTGTTCATAATAGTTATCATACAAGGGAAAAGAGTTCATATTTCAGACCTACATTCTTTAATAAACATTAACTTTGAAACTGATTGAAGTTTTTTTTTTAGTAATAAAACAATGGATTTGGAGAAAAATACGTTTAAACCCGAGTATCCGTTGAATACTGTTATTGAAAGACTTATGAAATGATGAAATGATTCGGATTCATTTTTATAAAAGTAATAATAATGATAATTTGACATAATCTAATATTTCATGACATAATTCAACTTGGTATATTAATCATTTATAAAGATATTCAAATTTCAATACATCTGAATAAAGCCATTATCAAATTCATAATCTACTAATGGTAAGAGTTTCAAATATATCTTACCACCTTTGGTTATCCCTAATTTTTACAAATAAATTGTTTAGAAACATAAAATCTTTAAACAATATGCAAATTTGAACTATGCCATGAAAAATTGTCTATACTTTAAAAAATTGTTTTTGATTTGGCAAGAAATGAAATTGAAAATTACGATGAATTTTCCTAACAATGGAAACATAAAACGGTGACGATGAAGATGACTAACTGAAGGGTGATGATGACAATGAACTATAATACAGTGATGATGGATAAATGAAATTTATAAATTATTAAATTATTGCTATACATGAAAATCAACTAATTTAAAAGAAAATTGAAAATAACATCTATATGTAGCAAAGGATTTTTTTTTTTTTATATCCAAATGACATTCCTCTCTGTTGTGCTTACAAATGATCTAATATTTCTGTTTTTAACAACAAAGTGTTCATGCAATATAAATAAATAAGCTGTGAAAGTGTAAGATATCAATAACATTTTGTACTGAAATATCAAATGAAAAGATATGTGAAGTTGTAAGTTTAATTTTAAATTTGGTTTAAGTATTCCTCTTTCAAAATATGTCTACATATACATAAGTTTCCCTGTTGTTCAAAGAACAGCTTAATCAGATATTTCAGCAAAACATATACTGTTTTGTGCATTCTTCGTACAACACAGTAAATAACTCCTGTTTTCTACAACAGAACTTGATTCTATGACATTAATTCATTTCTGACTAACAAATCCAATTTGATCACTAATAATATCTAGAAAAAGAATATACAATGTATACCCTATTAAAAGGCACATTAAAATTACCTGCCCACTGAATGCTAAAAACGAATGACAAAAAGGTGCTCTATTATTTAACATCAAAGCCATTATAATTATTGTTATTAATTAAGAGGAATCAGATCAGTATTGTGTGTCATGTATCAGATCTATTTAACTAATGCTTGTATAATTTTTGTACATATCTACAATAACTTATATACATTGCATAACTTTTTTTCCTTCAAAATTTCAATCAGATGCATAACCATCATCGACAATAATATTTCATTCTTCAAAGCAACAAGGGTTAGTAAAACTTTTTCTTTCAAATCAACAATGCCATATTTTGCATTACAATAAAAGAAATTTAAGTAAGATTTTTTTTCTCAAATAAATATTAAACACATTTTCATGTTATCCTAAAAATTAATTTAATCTTTAATTAAATGTCAGATTTTTCAAAAACTGCAAGTGAAATTAATACAAATTGATATGAAATTAATCAATTTTCACTTCTTTTGATGTAGGTCTACTGTCAAATAATGATTCAGTACATTAAGGCAACCATTTTTGAACTTTAGCCATTCATTATAATCTTAACTTTCAAATAATAAATGTTTTAAGGAGGTAGTCGGCCAAATATCATACATTTTGTATACATTACTGTATCTAAATAAATAAATGAATGATATAAGTTATCTTTCGAAAGGATTTCAGATAAAAATACACAATGGATAGATACCATCTGGAGTAACATAAAAATCTCATTATATTTTTTTTAACCATACAAAGCAATTTTTTGGGGTTAGCCACTTGATGTTTAGATTAAGAGTTGAATATGAACAATGAGAATAATAATATTTTGAGACAATAATCATGAACATGTAAGCTTCAGAAGTAAAAGTCTATGCCAATAACCATCTAAATTCTGTCAATTATTGACTTTCTATCCGTCCTAGCATATAGTAAATCTTATCTGAACTAAAAATCATTTTTTCTTCTTCATAATAATGCATGCACTCCAACAGATCTGTTTCAAATGTAATTATTTGTGACCACTGCAATCTACATACAACTCTACTGTACATATACACTACAAAATTCGTGATTTTTTTTTTTGGAAAAAAAAGGATCCACTTACAGACATTTCTTGATAATCAAGATTTGCATATTTGTAATTACCATCCAGTAAAAAAGCCCTAATTCAAATCATTATTGATTTTATAAGATAAATATTATACACACAAAGAGGAAAACTATGTTTTTTATACAAAGACTGATACAAAACCTAACATATTGCATAGTTTAATGCTGTTTTATAAATTTATAAAATAGAGCAATGTTAATATACAAAAAAATTATAATAAAAAAAAAAAGAAGTTTTATTCTAGATTCCAATTCCAAAACAACAATTTAATAAACCGTTCGATGAATTCAAAAAAGGACCGTAATAGGAAAACACAAGCATTTGAAACAAAGTTATTTTAGAGCTGGAAGAAATTGTTTCAGGATATTTGAAAGTTGTTTTGATGTCTGTCAACATGAATATATTTCAGGGATAATTAACAACTATAAAGCTCTTGTACCATATTGTGTAAAAGAGCAGGACTGCTTTCATTTGTATATTTGGTTTTTGTTGATAATACATGGAAGAAAAGCAACAAATTATCAATTTGATTTGATCAAAGGTGTTTATCAACAACTGATACAGCAACCCCAGTGTGATTTAAACATCTTAAATCCACAAAATTAGTGAACCAGTTGTTTCACTACTTTTAAGTTTTATGATGAAAAATCAATTCTTTATATATCTCTCATACATCAACTGAGTCTAAGTCAGTCAAAATTTGAAGAGATAAAACCGTAAGAGCTAATCAAAATGTCAATGCGATTTAACACACATATCAACAAGGGTCTGCCCTTTTAATAAATAAACTAGAATACCTATGACTCATTTATATTTTTTATCACCTAAATTCTTTGATTGTCATTACCGGTATTTACCACAAAATATTTAATTGGTAATAATGACAAATCCTATTTTATAAATATAATAATTAGTTTAAGAATCTACTTCATCCAGTAGATATCTTTTTTTAAAAAAAAGATACTTCTGTTATTAAGATAAGAAATTTGTATTCATGAATATACGTCTATACATGCAACATGTAAAGCCATAGGTGACTATTTTTCCTATTTAAAACTGCTTTTTTTTCTTTTTTCAAAACAATCGAATTAAAAATAATCTCATTAAATATTTCTTCTATTTCTAAATAGAATTTTCAACAAACACACATCTAATTATGTTAAGAAATAGATGCAATATAACATTATATTAAATTAAAAAATAATGTTCACATATAGAAATTAAGTGTCTCAAACTATATCCCCTCCTTTTAAACCAAGCCATAATAGATAATTTATTAACAATTTTACTTGATTCATTTTTAGTTGAGGGGTATTTTAGTTCAATCCAACTTAATTTCAAATGTGTGTATACTATATCAATAACCAATTTATATAGTTTAAAATTTTTCTTAATAAATATGATACTTTATTTGATATATTTTTTGTAATTTTCAATAGTGAGGTGATATAATCTTAACGCATGAGACCTGGGTGAAAGAGTGGAAAGCAAAGGGGGATAATTGTCACAAAAAAACAGTGTTTTACAAACATATATTTGATCAAACTTATTGAAATGTACTTGTATGATTTTGTATCACTGGATTTCTATAGCCATATCAATTAACATAGTCTAGGTCAAATTAAAAGGCAATATTTAATAAGAGTTGCCAATCCAAGGATATTTGGGAGAAATATTCAAAATATTGTATGGTTTAATTTAATATAAATTTATTTTTAAGACATCCAAAACTGAAATAGGTTTAGTTAAGTAGTAGTACAATTTGAGATAATTATCCCAGCTTAAAACTAACACAAATAACTAGAGGATAGATAATATCACTTTCACAACATTTAGAATATAATCATAATAATAATAACAGGCCTTTGTACAATAATAACGAACTCTATCACAGCCAAGCAAGCACATGTCAGTGCCATTTGCATTCCAACCCCTTGCCAGCAAGTTTATAACCGACATCAGTAACTTCCTGTCATCAAAATAACATTCTACAGTCTGTGTTTTATAATGTTCGGATGACAGGATTAACACTAAGATCAGTTATTTCGAGGTATCTTCATCATCCAGTTTGTTGATGTTTGGGGGTAGAGGAAGGAGACGGGTGAGGAGGTGGAGCACCACCAGTTTGCGTTGGTACTGGGGTATGTCCCCCTGCATTTGATGTTCCCGCCCCAACAGATGCATCAACTGCCTCACCATGCGGGACTACTGGAAAATAACGCTCTGAAAAAAATAGAACAAGAAAAATATTTTTAGAACATAATGTGTAGTGCTGGAACAATATATCGTTAAATTGATGTATCGCGATTCACCTTCTCATGATTTGTGTATTGAATTGCAAGCCTCTGAATCGATTTTTTATGCTTTTTTTTTAATGTTTTTTATTTTTGTCGCTTCAGTAACTGCACTGTCACTCCTAATTAAACACCCTTAAATTATTTTCGTCCATATTTTGATCCATATGAAGATCATGATATAAAACAGTTTATTTCTTCGGCATCGGCAGGACTAAAAATTGGCAGCATCAGCGACTTGGAAGATTCGTGTAATTATATAATGTGGAATCCGACAAATAAAACATGTACCCATATCCAATGCCCTAAATTTTATATAAAGGCCAAAAACTTTGCCAATGAGAAATGTGTAGAAATCAGATTCTATAATATTCATAATAAATTGAACATCAAAACACGACTTCACACCTGTATATGGCATTATTCTGTTATTAACCATGTGTAGATAGGTGCGTGCTGATATTCTTTTTATGGTCACATCCGGACTATATTTATGCATAAAATTATATTTATAAAATATTCTCCTGCCCAATTTATTTGATTTTGTAAAATCTTGCAGTGAATTATACATAAACTTTATTTTTTGGACACGGTTTTGAATTATTTAAGTGATTAAATAAACAATAGAATCAACCGAGAACATTTCAATTTGAGCCACAATATTTACCATGGTGACATTTCGGCAATAGTAGAATTGGATCACCAATAAATGACTTAGGGGATATGTGTCTAATTCATTTATACCTATATGTGTGACACTTCATAATTCTATTAACTGAGAGAGAAATGGGGTTTAACGTCCACTCGACACAAACTAGGTCATTTCGGGACTAACATATGGTTTAATTTTATTTTAATAATTCGCTTGTCCATAGGGGTCTTTAGCAGTGGGAGGAAACCAGAGGACATGGGGAAAACCCACGAGGTTGGAATTCTATTAACTAGTGTCCAACAAATGAGAATACAATGTAACTAGAATAAGCGTATGTGAAATATCTTTGTTATAAAATTGGCTGTGAATTGATTTTAACTTTGTGATTATTGTGAGTAACTGTAAGCTACGACAGAGCTTGGTGTATAAACAATGTAAATGGCAGGTTTTTGAAGTATTTATTCATAGTTAATTCTTACAGTACAACCATTTTGAAAAGGAATAAAATAATATATGTGACGTGATATGTTAGTATTGTGATCTGAAGTCAGTTTACAGAACATTAAATAAAATTCAGTTTTACTTAAAGATACATTATGGGAGATTAGATAAAGAGCTGGCAGTTCTCACTATAATAGTTAAAAACTAGATAGTGCAAAGGAAATTTGCTGAAAATTTCAGTCAAATTGATGCACTCTGAACCAAGATTTTAGCGATTGAATTTTCGGCCTAGCCTCAATCCCCATTACTAAAGTCAGTACATAGTCTCGATTATCCATTTCATGACATTAAGAGTTGATTATGGTCTGGATAAGTTAATTAATGTCTAATTAATAATTTAGATAAAGAAAGACCTGCAATAGGCAGATTTAGCTCTTGAATAATGTATGTTTAATTACTGCCTGTCAGACATAAAATTCGCCTGTCGGACACAAGTAAACAAACAATCATTTCCAAGTCCTGGACAGTAATTGCAATTTGTGACTCCAATAACAATATCAATTATTCACTTATCCAGTTGTTATGGTAAATATTGGCCAGGTTATGAATCGCGATACTAACATATGTATTTTGACTGCAGTCGCGATACCTAGCTATAATACTGTCTACGACATATAAACTATAAACTGGGACATGGCTCACTAGTATAAGGTTTCAGTTTAAATGATTGCTAAATTCAAATCTAGACTTAAAACACCGACTCATTGCTGCTCTTAGAGCAAGCGCCTTGGATGAATAAAGTACTCTATAAATGCACATCAGCATTAAGCCATAACCTAGCATGGCTCCCAAAAGAGACTTATTAAGCAGTTGTGTAATATTACAAAACATCAATGCAATTTTTATTTTCACACTCACACTCTGAGAGTCACCTATCAAAATATGCAGCCATAGCTCTAAGACCATTCATACCCCCTAGCCTTCATGTAATTAGATAAAGCTGTTGATCGCCATTGGCTAGTTAAGGACATTTAATATTTTATGTCTTAATCTAACCTAAAATATACTCAAGCTGAATATTTAACATTAAATTAAGAAAACATAACTAAGGTATCAACAATAGATACCCTCCGGATTGGATAAAACCAGACTAAAAAGATGCCCATCAAAAGATTTTACCCAACACATATTGATTGTATATCATCAGCAGAAAATGCTGCATGTTGCAAACAAATTTTTAATCCATAAGTTTCCACATATGTAACAGAATTGAACCATTATTGGAATGATACCTCTGTTAGACATTAAACTTTAACAACATTGTAGTTCGCAAAATCCCTCAAATAACGATCATAGCTGTTAAGCAACAGAATCTAAAAACATACCTATAAACAATTGTTATGTCCTTTACACAACACTGCAAACAAAATATTTCTTTTATTTAAATTTGATATGACAGCCAAAGTCACTGCAAGTTTAATACTTAAATGAGGTATGGATGGGGTGAGTTTAAACCAAACAAACTAACCTTCATTTAGAAGAGATTCCTCAGGATTCACAGTAGGCATTATATTAGCCAGCATATTGTAGTCCATATTTTCATCTAGGGGTATAAAGGGGGTCGTCCAGCGAGGTACAGGGGTTGAACGGGGTGTTGTACGAGGGGTAGCCATTGGAGAAGCTATCAAACTCAATGTAGTGGGTGATATCATTCCACTTATAGCATTTACTGGACTAATGCTGGGATAGGTAAACACCTAGAAATAAACACACAAAACATACTATTTACATCTTTCGATAATCTCAATATGGTATGATCATTTTGAAACTGATAACACTGATTTACGAACCAAAGACTTTTACCAATGAAAATCTTTTTGCAATTAAAAACACAATACAAATTATCACTACTCTAAACTAAAGTTAACAAGTAAAGAAAGTAGTTAGAATTATACAGTAGTTCTAATTAGCCAGTGTGTAACTAGCTGTAAAATATGCCACTTCTAGTGTGAAAGTATGCTTTTTTCTAATACCCATCAAAATTGAATACACAAACCCAATCAATACTGGTGTATATCATTTAATAGTTGGGCCTTAACACCTTACTGACATAACACCCACTTATGACTACTGTCTGATTACTAATCATTTTAAATAACTACTAAACATTAGGCATATAAAATAATTACTTAGATCTATTTATGACATATAGTTGTTTGTTCATTTAAAGTGAATAATATCAAATTTACAGTGTTGTATATAAATTTATTAGATAATTAGTATTGACATTGATATAATTAATTCATCAAATTTGACAAATATTTCACGAGAAATTTTGGAGTTTTAGAATTCCTAGATTTGATTTTAAATGTACAAGATTCGGAGAAGGTCTGCATTTTCTAGGTGTGACTTACTCACTGTTCATAGGTGTATTAATGTACGATCTAGATTTCAACATCGTACAACGGAATTCTCAGTAGCCATCACAGCTCATATATTAAGACTGTGGATTAATATTTTCAGGCAAAGCAAACCAGCCAGCAACGAAATAAAGTGGAATAAATCTGAAAGTAAAGAAACATGTTACTCTTACCCCTATACTTCCTTGGTGTCCTTGAGGGTGGATATGAGAAAAGGCATATTCAGGTCGAGATAGTACAGAAAACGGACTAGATACAACAGCACGATTTATAGGTGGTGTGCCTGGTGATGTAGATGCATTTCCTCCTTGGTTAACAGAAGACGATCCTATAAAATAGTAAGAATATAATAAATATAACATCAACACATAATATTGTGCGCTTCCTTGTTTATTTTGGTTCAGTTTAGTTTTATCCAAATATAAGGGAATTCTAAAATGTAATTGATTTATATAGACCCACTATGTACTGAGTAATACGTATTTTTAGGAAGTGACATCCCATATTTATTTGCAGCTGGAGTAGCAGACATTTGAATCTAGAAGGCTTGAGCATTTAAGTTTGATCTCTCAAATGAAATTTGATCAATAAATTTAAATTGCTGTGGTCTAAGTGTATTTTAACAAAGACTTTAATTGTGCACAGTGTTTCTATCTAATTTTACTATTAGTACTGATCAATATCTGATTTAAACCTTTCATGAAACTGGACCCTAAATGAATTAGGTTTGCTTAATAAAATACACAATTTTCTCCATTCTGAGACTGCCTGTAATCAGTATGACAACAATAAACTTACCAGATGATGGAGTGGGGCTGGTACATTGATCAGGTTGCTGACCATCTGATGTTCTCATAATAGCAACCGGTCGTGCCAGATTCGGTGGGGGTGGGGGAGGTGGAGGTAACATGCCAGCAAAGAAATGAGGCAACTTTGTTGGACTTTTCATGGAAGGGCTTGACGGGCTGGCCTAAAATAAAAATAACAATATAGATAGATTTAAATTCTATCCAATAACAGCTATAATCTGGCACCAATGGCATTCATTCTACAAAATCATACTTCAATTTGACAATTTTGCTTTATTTGTGTATAAAGGGAAATAACTCTGCATTGTGTCCTTAACCTGATATTACCTCCCCTTAGACCACATATCATATTTATTTACATATTCATACTGTATTGAATTTACCCTCGGATTTAGCAGTAAATGTCACTTTATTGACAAAGATAAGTTAATAAAATCTGAGTGATTGAAAATAAGCACATACCTGATTCTGAGCATTTTGAGCCTCCTGACAAACAAGAGTCACGAAATCGGAGAAGGTATCTCCACTCTCGTTTTGATGATATTTCATAACATGACTACCTTGACCGTGGCCTGAATTCAAGATCATATGATGGTGTTGCATACCTTTAAAACAAACCAAAAACAAAACAAAATTAGGAAACCAAATATTCCACCTTGCCAATCATAAAAGTTAAAACTAAATATTCTAAGTATTTTGAAAATTGCCAACAGCTTCTAATAAAGTCTAATATTTTGCCATAAAGCTACTATAATAATCAAAACTGGCTTCTGTTCTAATCTTATTTAGCAACTACACAGTGCTTAAAAATCATATTAAAACTTAAATTACATAGCACTAAGTAGGTAAATATTTTTAATTTAACAACTAAATGTATTTTTTAGTTTTTTTTATTATGGAATGGATGAAAATGTCACCTGAGTTACCGTTAGGGCTGTCCTGTTGATGGTGGGGGGTGCCAGGAGGGAGGCTCCCCGGGGTATGGGTACTCATGGGTCGTGGAGGTGTTGGGATAAGTGTCCTAGAGGGCGGGGCTACATGCTGTCCGTGATTGTTGTTAGCTGAGACAGGTACAAAGCCCTGACGGCCTTCAGGCTTCGGTTTGTTAGAGTGGATGATATGAGATGAATGCATGGCTGGACTGTGGTTTAAACCTGTAGCACACAACACACAATGTAAACAAACATATACACTACAGCAGAGTATCATATAATATACATATCAAATATTAAAATCACACAATGAAATTTTGAATTTTAATCATTTCATTAAAACAACAAACAACTATTTAAGTTAACTTATATTCTCAGAGTATTATTTGGTAGTATTAAAAATATCAAAATAATCAAAACACAGAGCTAATTAAGAACAATAGAGTAAGTCAAATTAGTACTAATTGAAAATTAATATTAAAAACTGCATATCAGGTCAAATTACTTTGTCGAAATCCGTAGAAAAATGTACCCTGTAATGCATGTGCTACATCTAAATAAAAGATGACAATTTCTTGTGTCTAATAGTTACTTAATAGGTCATGTATTCTCAAATAATATTTTGGCATCAGATATAAATGTTGCTTTTTTTTTAACACGTCTTTTATTATTAGTAGCCATATGTTAACCGATATAAGAAATGTTCAAAATGTTTCTATACTAATTTCTGATCTGTAAACTGTATTCATATTTTAATTCAAGTTTGTCGGGGTAAAAACCAGACTGCTAATTAACAAATGGTAATATGGTAACAAATTAAAAAGCAAACACTAATGTCACATGGACCATTTCAACCAATAATTGAACTTACCAGGATCCATTTGATCACTTTGCCAGGATGTCGACTGCCCTGTCATACTGACAGCAGGCTTATAATACACCATCTCATTTTCCTCGCCGACACTTTCAACATCATCTTCTGCCGAAGATATTGAACTTATAGTGTTTCGTTTTAATCTCTTATGGGGGTTTCCAGCCGGACTTAAGGCTGATTGTCCATTAGGAAGATTATGGTGCTGCATTGGCACCATATTTTGTTCTTGTGGACTATAGTTGTAATAATTTGGACTTTCTATTTTCGGTGGAGGTAACATGGTATGCGTTCCATTCTGTGGCATCATTATGGAAGCTGAAATAATGAAACAGTTTATTGCTACTCCTCCAATAGTATAGATTTATGTAAATCAATATAAGAGTTGAATATTCCCCCTGCTGTGGATGATTAGTGGATTGTTATTGTTCATTTGATAGTGACCGATTAAATCATTACAGACAAGAGTGCAGCAAAAGAGTGTCTCTAATTCTAATAAATAATTTAAGTGGTATTAAATGAACAATAACAGTCTGATAAATTCTAAACAGAAAGTGTTTATCAGAATAGTAGCTCAATATATTTAACATTTTTCTGGTAATTCTTTCTTTCGCAAAAAACAAGGAAAACAACTTTGATGTGATGAAAAAACATCTGTGACATAATGAGAAAACGCACTACTCTCATTCAATTTGGTTCATTGAGAGACTGGTAATTACTGTCTATTCTAAAGAAGGGTTTGGCAATGAGCTCAATTTGTAGGTACAATATTTCTTAATGTAGGCCAGGTGTTTATTAACAGTACAATGATTAGCTATAAAGCTCAATTTGACCATCTTCATTGTGGGAAAAATGACTTTTACTTACACCTTGTGACACGTAATAATTCTTTGGCCGAGAAAACACCAGTTGCCATAATGCTGTCATTTCCTGAAACACCTGAGTGAAAATTACCTGAAAAACACAAATATAATATTTAAGTTTTTCTCTAAACTCTAATGTTAAATTCCTCCCATTCAATTATGAATTTAATGTCAATTAACGTTTGCATAGTTATCATGCACACAAGTTCTACAAGCACATGATATTTATTCAAAAGACTTGCTGCAGTGAGTTTTGTGATGCTTAATTATGCAGCCTTGTACAGTTTCTTGTTAACTAGCGAATAATGAGGAAGAAATCTGTCTTAATGTGCAATCTATTTAACAGAGATTGTGTTTTTAAGCAGATTATATAGAGATCAAGTTGCTTTAATGATCAATATGTATATAGGCCTAGTCAATTTTTACACGTCTTAAACTTAAACTTGATATGCTTTCCTTTTTTTTAATAAACAATATCTTATTCAGGTTATCTGAATGGAATTGGCGAACAGACTTAGCCTATATAAAACCCTCTCCCTTCGACTTAGTCTTCTCCAAATTTTTTCATCATTATGGATAGATCTACCCCAAAAATCGACTTTAAGTCACCCAGCTCCAGTCTATAGTCAAGTTGAAACTGATTTAAACGATAATATAATTAAAATCCAAGACTGTGATGAATTAACAATTTAATCCTTTACTAAAAATAGAGTACCAGATAAATGGCAATCTGTTTCACAGAGGATTACGAAAGTCTTCTAATATCTATGTAAAAAGATGACTACCTTTAACACGTGACGTCTCATCACGCGGTGTCAATCATTGGCTCAGTGGCGCGTGCATTGTTTACATAAGATGTTCTAGTTTGGGCAGAATGGAGACTTTTACTCATTTTAATATCCATTTGCACTAAATAGGAAATAATTTTTACCTACAAATACGTCTAATACATAAAAAAAAAAAAATGTTTTAGAATTTAATTTGTCACAGGAAAAAAGTTAATATTTCCAGTTCATTAAGTCACATCGATGTCATCCTTATCAGTGATTGAAGCCGCCTAGCGAAAATTCACTGCTGATCAGTGTGGATAAATGGATGAAATAATCCTTGAAACAGTCAGGCAAGATTGGATTTCAGTGATACAGTTGGGGATAAAAGGAAATATTCTTCTATCCAAACATGTACCAGTATATTAGTAAGTACATATAGGTAATACATGTAATACTTAAATAACAAACTTGACCCATCTATATTAATGATAGAGCATAAAATTGTAATACATTATATAATAAATACTATTATTATTGATTGACTGGTAGTCAGTATACATGTACATGTACATGTACATATACATAGGTGTGGTAACAGTATTGTTAACTTTAATTTTCTGACAAAAGCACCAATAATTACGTGTACAACAAATAAATCAAATCTGTCATATTTTCTAGTCTTTACTCAGTCATTTTATTTTTACACATATTAAAATTGGGTAGAATTGATTAGTTAAATTATATTCTTTATATGTAAAATCAATTAAAACTTGACTTATAGATTGATAATACTAAAGATTTTCATATTCTTTGAAAGAAATGCATTGCTTGGATAAACAAAATATACATGAAAAATTAATTGGCTGACAAAATTTAAGAGTCCTGAAATATACAATTTGATAAAATGTCTCTACATGTATATGTATGTGCTATATGTAGTTGATTTCATAAATTAAAGATGCATTTTGTAAGATTTAGTTAAAAAGCTGACAGGTATTAGTCGCTATAAAAGTTTAAAAATTGACAATGAAAAAGGAATATATTGAAAATTTCAGTCAAATTACTTCATTCTGAGCGAAGTGTCGTCTCGATTTTCATTGCTACCATTGTTCCAATTTTTATATTAACTTATTTCAAAATCACCACTAGATGATGGTCTAGAGAATTGATTATGGGCTTGTCATGTGAATAAATTAAATAATTTATATAACATTTGAGGCAAAAAGAAAGGCCAGCAATAGGCAGATTCAGCATTTTCATAATGAATTTTTAATATCAGCAAATATTTCATAGCAGACAAAACAAATCTGTTCAATCAGCCTTCAAAAACTAATAGAATTTGACTATTTGTGTGAGCACTATGCCAATTTTTACACATAGAAATGTGGTTTTACAAACAATAAAAGCATTTGATTGTCACTATCAACAATGATAATCCATATACTTAACTAAAAAAAAAAAATTTTGTATAGCACTTTATTAATTGGTGCCAAAAACTTTGAAGGCCTTAGTCTGTAAATGCATCCAGGAAGATTTTGAGAAGTAACTCTCTCATTGGTTGAACAAAATTGAAAAAAAATGAGACAACAATTGAGAGAAATTTTGTTATTGATTTAATAGACAATACGATATATTTATACTATTATCATATTGGTCACTGTATAAACCTTTCAATATTATATAAAATGAATAACCCAAGAGTTTTGCCAAAATATTATAATAAAATGTCTAGCAAGTATAATAGGTAAATGTAAATAATATGGAGCTGACCCAAACACATTGTTTGACACTAACACTATTTGTAAGTCATACAAAAAACTAATAGATCACCGGTGAATCACTGGAAACTTTCACATCCTTGACCCACATTTAACTGAGCTTTCTCAGACGTAAACAATGGCAAGAAGTCCATCACTTCTGCTTTCTCTACGGAAACAAACATTTTATAGAATAACACTTAAATCCAGTCACTAATGGAAATTGTTCAATAGCAAGGCTGATGTCCCCTGCCCACATTTAACTGAGCTTTCCCAGACGTAAACAATGACAAGAAGTTAATCACTTCTGCTTTCTCTATGGGAACAAACATTTTATAGAATAACGCTTAAGTTAAATCCAGTCACTGATGGAAATTGTTCAATAGCAAGGCCGATGTTGTATATAATGTCTTGACCAATCAAATTGCTGATCACCCTGCATAACTTGAGCAGTTAACAATACAAGTGTCATTACTCCAGTTCAATTAGAATCAGAGTTACATGTTTCAAAGCTTAGCCTAAGCAGAAAATGTTCATCATTGAACTCTTGTCAACATTTTCATCAATACAATTTCTTTAGGTACGTTGTTTATTATTTTCCATCAATGTAATGAAATGAAGTGAAATGGGGATATAGATCTTACATTTTTGGGCTAAGGATTATACATGTAGGTATATTCCATGCAGTTTGAATCCAGGTAAACTTTGCCCCGGATGGCGGCGCTACAGCCTACTCTTACATGTATTTTCATTAATGTCAGGGGATCTTTAACCTACTGCCAATGGTAAATATGTACACAGGATCTATGATCGACTACATGGTTAACCTTGTCAGGCCCTCCCATCCTGCTCTACTGTCTGACTGGAAATTCTGAGGAACTTTCTCAGACAACACTGGTATAGGCCTTTGACCTCCTGGATAGTGATTCAGCATCATACTTGCCGTGCTACCGTGGCTATCTTCTCAAAAATTTGGTTTTAAGATAGTAGAAGTTAAAGTAGATAAGTCTCTAACTCAATATCATCCAAAATCTTCAACATTGAAAACACAAATTATTTGTCAATTTAAATCAACATTGATGTTGTAATCTTACAGGGAAAAGATGAGCTTCTGATATCCAATGTTTAAGACAAAATAAACATTTTACTATTGGTACACGAATTGTGTACCATAATGCGTGTCGGCACCATTTGTAACAAGAGACTCACAGAACAAGGTTAGACATATTCCACAAGTCATGTCAAACAATGACAACCATATTCTTATCTGGAGAGCATGCGCAATAAATACTATCGGTGTAGACTGGAATAACCAGATGCTAGAGATTGCCATTCAATTGACACTTCTGGCCTATCTCGCCGAACATAACTGATTTGAAATTAAGAGTAAAAACAGAAACGATTGAATGTAAATCAGTTTATATAAATTCATATTACATTATTAGATGCGTTGCGACCCATTTGTGTCAATTTCTAGGTCCCAAATATTAGCAATTTAGCTCCTTTAACTAAACTAAAATTAAAAATGTCTTTTAGAACTTGCCAAATACAATCTTAAAATAGACACCCCTCATATCAGTGTAGGAATTTTACCCCCTTACAGATTTTCTAGGTCCACACCAATATAAGATGAATGTGACATAAACATTTAGTAGGCATGTATTTATTCATGTGATTAAATGTGTAGATGTGAATAACCACAACAGTTTTAAAGGGCTAACAATTATACAATACCACTATACTAGTATTCCATAGGTTTACAGGTGATTAAACACGCTTTCAATTCAATCCATTATAATCCATATACACTTGAGTATAGATCTATTACAGATTAATGACATCATACAGTCTTTACTTAAAATAATCTCTATTTATACTGTAATATGTATATATAATAAATACTATGCAAGGTCTTGTCTGTTTAAAATTTCTTTCATATAAATGTACTGTACATGTGTATTATTGAGATGTACATGTACGACTATGTACATGTATCTCATGAATGATAGACATCTTATACTCAATCTCCTAAGTTCCCATTAAATACGTATGAAAATATAATAATATCCTTCAAACTTTTGGTACAAAAACCTAAACTAGGTTGTAGCAATATGAAATGAGGTTTAATGTCCTACTGTTCTGGTCGCCTAAAACACTCCGTAAAATTTGAAAAGGTGATGGGGAGATAGTGCTTACTATTGGAACGTCGATTAGTTTCGATAAGTATTGCATTAATTTTGTCTTAGGAAAGGATTTTGTATAACATTTGTCCTTTTACTGAAATGAAATGAAATGAGGTTTAACGTCCTACTGTTCTGTTCCGAACTGTGCTAATGAAGACGGGCATACGCCATACAGTGTGCTATGAGGGAAATTTTGCCCAGACAGCGGCACTACAGCCTACTCTTATATCGAATTCCAACTGTTAAAGGATTTTTTACGTGCACGCCAATGTGTACCTAGTACCTCGATTTTCCGTCCCATCCAAATGACTAGACAGCTGGTCCTTGTCAGGTCCTCCGTCCTGCATCACCGACAAGGGGAAACCATGCCAGAAAATCTGGATGAAGTTTCTTGGCCAATGCAGGGATCGAACACCCAACTTCCAGGCAATTACTATAGGTACATGGTAAATGTATTGTCTACATGAGTCATGGTGGCTATAGTGGGTACGACGCTGGCTCACGAGTCTGGAGGTCGCGTGCTTGATACCCACAGTAGCAGAGAAAGTTCATTGGGATTTTCCGGCGTGGTTTCCCCTTGTTCCGATGGTACGGAAAAAAGACGTCCCGTATATACATTGGCTTGTACGTAAAACATCCCTTGGCAGATGGAATTTGATACAAGAGGCAATACATGTAACGCCGCTGCCCGGACAAAATTTCCCTCATAGCACACTGTATGGCATAAGCCTGTCTTCATTAGCCCAGTTGGAGCAGAACAGTAGGACGCTAAACCCCATTTCAAATTTCAAGTATTATCTATAGACGATATATAACAATTGCCTTATTCACTCTTACTACATGAATATTTACAATGAATAACAGAATTGACCTCTTTGTGACCTTTCTGCTTAATTAGCTATTGATAGCTAATACAGTATTATATGTGAGCTCAATATGGTATTATTGATATTAATATTAAAGTTAGCTTCTATATTATAAATTAATCTAGTGTTGGATCTAAAACTTCACTGTAATTTTTATGTCAAGTTGTCCATATCACACCCACACAATTTTTCAATCTTTTATTGAATTAATATTACAAGTAGTTCTATACAGAAATACTATTAGTAATAAATACATTGTTATTCAAAAATGTACTTTTGTCAAAGCATAGAACAATTCAATAAATGATATTGAACTAAAAAGCAAGAGACTTGAATGCCTACAACTGAAAGAGGGATTAGGGATTTGGTGATCTTTAAATTTGAGCCTGATCTGTCATTTTATAGTGTGATATTATATATGTACATGTACATGTATAGCCATTTAAGATTCTGTTTAAATTGTATGCATTATACATATATAGTCTTATCAAATTGTTTTTTAGTTGGATTTTGATAATTCATCGGGTGTAGGGCTATTTTGAATATGATATGAATATTTTCTTGTTGCATGTTTTAATGCTGGCTTGGTCATTTTAATCATTTCTTTGAATAAGGATCAATTACATGTACATGTACCAATCAATCATTTTCAAAACTATCATTACTTATCCAGTTACAAGAAGAAGCAGCAAAAAAGCTGCAAAAAATTCTACAATCCACGTTTTATGAAAGACAATACGTTCAGAGAGACAGTTGGTTACAGATGTTTAATCTGCCACAAAATCGAAAATCGTAGTCATTATCACATTTGATTTACATATTATGCAGTTTATACTTATTGTTCTTTTAACTATACATGTAGTACGGTTGTCAATATACTCAAAATAGAACTCTTGCTGTCAATTTTAGGTTAGTTTTTTTTTTTTTTTTTTTTTGCAAAACAATTTTTCAGTCCGAAACATAATGGTTTTTTTTTTTGAGACTGCAAACAGCAATAGCCAATAAACCAGTGAGTCTCAAATTTAATGTTGTCTAGCCTCTTACCTTTTATATCTTGTTCACCATTCATGGGTATTTCACCGTATTCTCCCCGTGAATCTGGAACTAAATAAAAATCATATAGATGTAATAATTAACATTTGTTCTAATAGAAGACAAATACTTTTCAGTTGTTGATCTGTAAATGCCAACTACATGTACATGTACTTGTACATTAAAGGAGATGGTCAACCATTTTCTAAAACGACATCTAACCAACACGGGTTGTTCCCTGTGTGCCACAGCATTAGCGCCCCATGGCACATATAATTTTAATCCCCAAATACATGTATCATCAAACAGTGGATGCCAGGTAAGATAGGCCCACATTTTGCAAGATATGGACAGAGAACAAGCCCAAAAAAAAGCAACGTTACGTAAAATCAGGGGCCTTAATCCAGGAAGTTACAATCCTGTACGCACAAGTACCAGTATACATGTATGTATCAAAAGGAACCCAGATCTCTGGGATATAAACATAAATTTCATTGAAATCGGATAAAAAAGTGACCACTACAGGGTCCACAACCTATTCGAACTCAACTGTCATTATGGTGTAATGGTGATAAATTTAAACGTTTTTTTTTAAATTGGATAAAAATTGTGACCTCTTCTAGAGAAACAACAAGCGAAAAACACTTTTTTTCATACATTCTGGGGTCATGATCCAGAAAATAACAGTCCAATATCGACAAGAACCAAGATCTTTGGGATATAAACTGTACATACTTTAACACTATTTGCGTACATGTCAGGCAGTTTTGGCCCGTTTTTCACCGCCATTAGGCTGACCTTAAAAATATCTTTGTTTCGCCCAACGCGACCGACTAACTTAAACCACCCCCGACTTAAATTATTTTATTGTACTTTTCCACGATCTTTTTATTTTATTTTGTGTGTCAACCTGAAATATATCATGAGAGTTATTTCCCTTTACTATGGCTATGGTTTGATTCATTATTGAAACTGGTTGATCAAGACGAAAGCGTCATAGGTGTCGCTTCTCAACAAAATGGTTGCAGACGAATACACGTCCATTCCCACGAAATGATTCTGCCTCTATGTCTGTGGTGCGTAGTTTTAAACATGACGACGATATTTTCAATATCCGTTTTCGAGAAAAATGAAGGCACAACCCGCACTATCGTTAAAAACGTGTTGAAGGAGTTTCACACTTCAAGCTCGTGGCAAATCGTGTGCGAGTCGATCATCACGAAAAATCCCGATGTCATTGATTTGTTTGCCAATAAAGAAGACGAATGTTTCCACCCGGAAAATTATTAAGCTGTCAAATTAGCTCTTAAGTTTAATAAAAACTTTCAGTTCGTTACTTTTTATGTCAGACCCCAAATTCATTAAACAAAATTAATGAATCTGTAGTATACAGCTAATAAGTTTTCTGTATTGATTTCTCTGACTTTAAAAAAAAATCTGAAAAAAAAACCGACCTACCGACCCTTCTCCTCGATTGTGGGTCGGGTTTGGTGAAACAAAGATATTTTTAAGGTCAGCCTTATAGTGTAGCAGTGATATGTTTATAAACGATTTTTACAATTGGATAAAAATTGATACATGTACATGTATATTTAAACGCTTTTTAACATCAGACAAAAATTGTGACCTCTACAATCAGGGGCCATAATCCAGGAAGTTACAGTCCAATATGTGTGAATATTGAAAGGAACGAAGATCTTTGGAATATAAACATAGGTTTTAAGTTTCATCAAAATCAGATCAAAGTTGTGACCTCTAGAGGGTCCACAACCTTGATATTACGTACTTTAACACTATTTACGTATGGAGCAGGCATTTTGTGGGACAGCTTTGGTCCAATTTTCGTACAATTCGAACTCAAACATCACTATGGTGTAACGGTGATATATTTGTATGTTTTTTTAAATCGGTTAAAAATTGTGACCTCTAGAGGCACCACCAGCTATAAATGTGATTTTTAGTACAATCAGGGGCAATATAATCCATGAAGTTACGATCCGATATGCGCGAATATTGACAGAAACTGAGATCTTTGGGTTATAAACATCATGTTCAAGTACAATGTGTACGTAATATTAACAGCTAAATATACATATTCTAACACTAATTCTTTTTATCTTCTATTCTTAAAATATCATGGGATAGATCTCATTTAACATCATTATCGAAGAACATAACTCGCTCAAAAGAATAGGATACAACTTCAGAACTGTCTAAAATGTCCATTAACTAAGTCAAATAGCTATTTTTCAGACCGTGTGTCAACAGAACAAATTCAATAAAGATATTTATTGGACACCCTACAATGTACCTGATTTTCAAATTTCCAAGCCTTATGTGTCCATTACAGAAAGGAGAATAAAATTTCCATAGCAGAAAATGATGCTTAATTTATAAGTTTCCTAAGGACCCTCTGTATAAACCCTAAATCTTCCACTGGAGTTAGTGGATACTATACATGTACATGTACATACATTTACCAGTATGTATTTTCAGGAGGACCACCAATTCAATGATTCTTCTGGCATTTTCAAATGACAAGGACTGGATAAAGATAACAGTTACTAGAATCATCACAAATCCCCATTTTAACTTTTAAAAGATATAGTATGAATGCATTTCATCATTTACATGTACATGTACACAGTACACTGTAGCTCTTACAGTTTATAAACAGACTAAAATAAGTTTCTGATGTGGGTATATACTAACAATCTGAGGTTCTTCTCGACCCATGTCCAAAGGCTGTCGAGGGACCACTCTTATGCTAACCCCCTGGTCTTTATGTTAAGTATATGTATGTGTACATATGGTAAGAATACTTACCATAACTGTGTATAAAATTAGCTAGATAGAGATCTAACTCGCGCACTGATACACTTATATGATGGGGATTAACACAAAGATTTGGATGCATACAGTCTGGAGATTTCTCCAATCTCTCACCATCTGTACTCTCGAGAGGTATTGCTTTAAATAAAATCACCATAACAAGGTCCAGCCTCCACACTTTATCCGCTTGTCGTAAACAGTCTATACGACGCATTTTTCCTTTTTGATCTGGATTGCTCAGAACACAAACAGGCGGCCGTTTACCGGTAATACTGAGCACAAAGTCCTCACGACATTCTTGTGTTATGTCCTTCCGTAATTTCGCTAATAACCTGGAAGCCCATTTCTGTTTAACTTCAGCCTTCTCATTCTGGAACAGAAAAATTAAATCACTGTTAAAGGTATTTGTATGATTGCACATCTAATATAATAATATATCATTTGCACCAATCAAATTTAGGCATTCGTATATATATATATATATATATATATATATATATGTATAAAGCTTATCAACTACTGTAGTCTTGAAGTTTGCATAATAGAACAAGTTAAGCTTCAAATTGCATTTATTTTAAGCTTGTTCCACTAGATGAAACATTTAGCTCTCCGAATCATTTAGCTGGACTATTGGGGAATATTCAAATTTCAGACTTCGCCTTAAGATTCTATGATTTCAAATGGGCAAGCACCACAAGTCACTAGTCATATTATGATGAGTGATCAATCTCCTTTCAGGCCACTGCTTCCACTACGAAGTTGTGAATGACATTTGGAAGTTGAAATTTGGCTGAAACATTTCAATGCTAATGAAGACTGTTCTCCAGTCTTTGTATGAAGGTTGAAATGTTGTGTATTTTCAAATTGAAGAGATTTAAAGAAGTTTCAATCATTATACGAAAGCTGTTTTCAAGTAGTTTGTATCAAGGTTCACAATTCAACCTTCATTCAAAAGCCATTCTCCAGTCTTTGTATCAAAAGTTGAATGATTGTGTACTTTCAAATATGAGAAGTTTTAAGTTTCAACTTTTATGCAAAGGCAGTTCTCAATTCCTTTGTTTCTAATTGAAACAAAGTGCATTGTCAAATAAAAAAAGGTTTGAATTATAAAATGTATTTTAGTACTCTACAAAGATACATGTACATTGAGTAAGAGTACCGATAAGTGCCTACCAAAAAATTTCAACACATGTACATGTACACATGTAGGCCAACTCACAAGTAGAAATTACATGTACATGTACATTTAAGTCATTTCAGATAATTGTCTCTATTTGTTGCAAGAAAATCATCCACTTTTTCTATAATTATTCAGTTTTGATCACATCATACATGTAGCCTCCAGGGCTTCCATTAAATAAACAAGAAGAAATATGGTCTGGGATTTCATTATACTCATTATTGATTGAAACAAACTATAACATACATGTACGTCTACATACAAACATAATTTTTACTTGATCATAGATTTAATTCCTTGATAAATGTATTTAACTTCTGAACTCCTAATAATCTGTGAGCAATGGAAATCCAGGAATAACCAGGTTTCACAGACACTTGAAGGGATTAAAAAAACCTTCTTACTACTCTTTGCCTATATATATATATATATATAGTCAAAGAGTAGTAAAAAGTTTTATTTTAATCCCTTCAAGTGCCTGTTCCAGGTTTTCAATAATTAAACCCCAAGAAGAAGGAAATTTTAAAAAAACACTTAAAAAACACTTATAATCCAAATTCTTTATTTGTTCAGTGTAAATTTTAATTCTGTTTCATCGTATTTCTATTATTAAGATGAAAAATATCTACTTCATTATCGCTTTACATGTTAAGCATGAACGTCGAAGTTAATTTAGAATTTTGATACTTCTACCTAGCAACCATCAATATGACTCATTTGGTGTCGCCACTGTGTGCTCAATTTGGCAACTGAGCACCTGGTTGGGACATTATGTTGATACAAACGACTCGCTCTTCGTCAGGTTGAATGGTCTGGCGGAGTGTTAAAACTGAAAACAACATCGAACGTGATATGGTTTGCAAATACTATTTCAAATTTAAGTTAAACAGCATTTGTTCATTTTTTTGGAGAATTTGATTTGATTTTTTTTTTTTACAGTTAAGCCAATTAATATTTATATACTGTTGGTCTATATTCTTTTACTGCTCTAAAAAAATGTCTCTTTATATTTATATACCATCCGAATGACTAGCCACTGTCCATGCCAGACCCCCGTCCTGTATCAATAACAAGGGAGGGAGAACCACGCCAGAAGATATCGGTTATATCATAGAAATATATATCTATGGGTTATTTAACATTGTCAGCTAGTATACACATTGGGCAAAGCTAAGCTTTATAATATTTCTGACATTATTAGTTCCGTTCCTGTGATTTGCGGAGACTGCCATTATTGTAGGCAGGGGCAGTGTCTAGTCGTTCCGATCGGACGATAACCCTTGGCAGCTGTAATTTGTAATAAAATTAGACCGTGGCTCCGCTGCCCAGGCTAAATTTTACCCATGGCTCACTGTATGGCGTAAGTCTGTCTTCATTAGCCCAGTTGGCGTAGAAAAGTAGGACGATAAACCCCCATTTCATTTTGGTTTAATTTAGTCAAAAACACCACTATCTATGAAATTCTGTATCGCTTTATGCAACTTGAATAAAATATTGCTGAATAAAGTTAGTCAGGTCGGTATAATGGAGGCATCAGAAATAGAAACTTCATCACTATCCACATGAACAGATTATCCCAGTCTCCTTTAAAGGCTGTTTTATCCCCACAATATGGGATTTCTAAATTTATATCTTTGAACCATTTCCAGAAAAAATTTATCATTATAAAGTGACATTTTTGTTAGAGCAGTAATAGAATACAGATCAACAGTGTATATAAATATTAATATTGGGATAACTGTAAAAATAATCAAATAAGATTCACCAAATCCTTCACTTGTCTTCAATAAAAAAAAAAATGTTGTTTAGCTTATATTTGAAATAGTATTTGCCAACTATCACGTTCGTCCGATGTTGTTTTCAATTACAGCATCGATTCCCCTGTTGTATGTGACAAGGAGAATGGGTCGCCTGACCAACCTTGTGGGTTTTCTCTGGGTCTTCCGTTTAACTCTCACTGCTAGACCCCTACACTAAAATTGAACCATATATTAGTCCCGAAATGACCTAGTTTGTGTCCTGTGGTCGTTAAACGCCATTTCTCTCTCTCTAAATTTCAGCACCCCGTCCAACCATCACCCAGACAAAGAGAAAGTCATTTATAGCGATATAATGGTCCCGACCAGGTGCGCAATCACCAAATGAGCACGCAGTGGTGAAACCTAACGACTTCATAATGATGGTTGCTAGGCAGAAGTCTAAAAATTCTAAATTCATTGATGTTCATGCTAAACGTGTAAAGCATCAATGAAGAAGACTTTTTTCGTCTAAATAATAGAAATAAGATGAAATAGAATTAAAATTTACACTGAACAAATAAAGAAGTTGGATTATACATTGTCTTAATTTAAAAATTACGTGAATAGGAATAAGAAATTACATGAATAGAAGTTAAAAATTACATGAATAGAAGTTAAAAATTACATGAAGTTAGAAATTAGACGATAGCACGTTAGAATTTTGAATCTAATATACCCACATATAAAGCAGGACATGTATTTTTCCTCAAAATAGGAATAGAGACAAATAGAGTTTAACATTGCATCAATGATTAAAATTATTAGTCTGGAGATAAACAATTTTAATAGTTGTTTAGAATTATGTCTATACGTGTACGTGTACTATATAAATTCAATTACCGGTTTATAAAATTATAAAGAAATTATACCTGTAATTCCTCTTTGACTTTTCTCTCTTCTTCCATGGACATGCGTTTCTCATGTTTTTTGTAATATTTGCGTTTATGGGCTTGTAAATTAAACCAGGTATATGAGAAAGATCTGACGTGTGGCAGTAACGCCTCGATGAATGGATGGAATTCATCCTGAAAATAGACAAATAAGAATGATTACCCATCGTGTATTAAATATTAGCTGTTTATTACCATGACATGTGTTCATACATGTACGTACATGTACATAATTCATATATTTGATATATGGAGATGTCTATTTCAAGTCTCTGATTGTTATTTGGAGGATGTTTAATCCCTTGCAAACTACAATATTGTTAAATCTGGCTCTCAAAGGGAAATCAAAGATCAAAAATTCTGATCAGTATTAACAAAGATATGATGAATTGTTCATTTGTCAACATTCGCCATCCTTTTTGCAGAGATACATTGTATAAACATGAAATTGTCAAAGCAACCTAGCACCACCTACTGTTGACATATTGATTTTTTCTTAATGAAATGCTAAAAAATTAATTTGATTTCATTTTGGTGTGCATTAAAGGGGTTAGTGTCCATTTGAATCAAATCTTTTACTCAAGAGTAGTCAGAACTTCTTTGATTAGCTTAATCAATGCTTCATACATGTATATGTACATGTATGGTCATCATATTGAGCTATTTGCAAGTTTAATGTATACTTCCGTAACAATTCCCGACGTGGTTCCCTCTTGTCAGTGATGCAGGATGGAGGGCCTGACAAGGACAGATGTCTAGTCTTTTGGATGGTATGAAAAACTGAGGTCCAGTGTACACATTGGCATGCAAGAAAAAGATCCCTTGACAGTTGGAATTTGATATAAGAGTAGGCCGTAGTGCTGCTGTCCGGGCAAAATTTCCCTCATAGCACACTGTATGGCATATGCCCGTCTTCATTAGCCCAGTTCGGAGCAGAACAGTAGGAGTAAGAAATTGGCTAGCTAGCCTGGAGGTCACGGATTCGCACCCAATGTTGGCCAAGAAAGTTCATCAGGATTTTCCAGCATGGTTTGCTCTGGTCAGTGGTGCAGGACAGAGGGCCTGACAAGGACAGCTGTTTAGTCGTTTGGATGGCATAGAAAAAACAAGGTCCCGTGTTTGGCGTGCACATAAAAGATCCTTGACAGCTGGAATTCAATATAATAAGAGTAGGCAGTAGCTCCGCTGTCTGGGCAAAATTTTCCTCAAAGCACACTGTACATGCATGGCCCAGTCAGAGCAGAACAGTAGGACATTTAAACGTCATTTGGCATTTCATTTCATTTCCTTTTAATTTTAACATTCTCCTTGTTTTAAAATCAAAACTTTCGTTTGTTTTGATACTGTACTTGTGATCTTGTATGTGTAATAAATTTATAAGGTAGCTTTGTGCTACAAGATGTCAACCAATTTGTATGATCAGTTTACCTGAAGATAGATTTGACCTGTTTTCAGATGTTTATCTTTGGTTGTTCAAAGCTAATTTACACATTTCAACACTCACATGGTATTGTTGTTCGAAGGTGTTTACATCTTAAACGTACATCAATACAATAGCATTAACATGCAACACATTTTTTGTCTTATTCCAACAACAAAAAACTTGATATTAACAAATGTTAGTACATTTACCATAAATGTACATGTCGGACTATATGTACATGTACTGTGGTGCAGAAATATTGTATATGACTTAAACTATTTTTCACACAATATACAAGTGTACTGTACTGTGATTACCTCCTTTCAGGGTCATTTCTGTGCGTTGTACAGGATTTTTTGTGCTACATTAAATTAACCTACATGTACATGTAGTTCTACAAATTGCAATATGCCTTCCTTGTATTAGTTGTAAGTCAAAAATAGTTGTAATACATGTAGTAAGCGAAGATTTTTATTGTAAATATGAGTTGATTACAAATACAAGTTTATGCTACCATGTAGATCCATTGCTTTAGGGAACCTGGTTAGAGGATTTATGCAAACACAAGATTCCTGTTTTGGGGACAATGTACAATGTACATGTAGGCCTCGACATCTTTATTTGTGACACTGACTTTTGCCCTTTATACACCATCCCTGTATCTTTCATTAAATCTGGTTTAAAATTATCATGTCCATCTTGTCCACAAGATCATAAGATCAAGCAACACAATTGATTAATTCACACCTCTATTCTTATGTAAAGTATGTGTAGCTCTTTCGCCAGCAACGTAAATCACTCCCAGAATCGATTGAGCAAAACAATCACATTCATCTTTTATAAACAGTAACATCTTTTAAACAATGATCACATTCGTCTTTCAAACAATGATTAATAATTGCTAAACAGTTACAGTGTAGGCCTACAAACAATTATTAAGTGTAAACGATTTCTTATAAATGAAAGCAAGGACTTTGTTTCTACATGTATATTTATCCAATTTTCTAAATCCAACATCGCAATAATTTTAAGAAACCTGAAAGAGTGAGAGCTGCCACTGTACGTATGTCATCAGCTGAAACATTGGGCTTAGTTCAGTATCAGTATTCATTAGCTGAATCTAAAAGTATGAAAACCAGGGGTGCCTGGGGTTTAATATTACATATCATATAGTTTTCGATTTGAGTCCTTTTGTTTTAGTCTTGAATGTACATTGTTTTTGATGAATTGGTAAAATTGTCATGGCTAAATGTGTGCATAAGCTAGAAACATCAGGATATGCTTCAGAGGCACCATTTACAGTCAGTTTCAAAAATAGTTTTGCGTCCGGGGGATGAGGTGGGAGAGAATACCACTAGGTTACTCTAAGGGTACTCAATATTTTAATGCTTCACTACTAAAGACAAAATAAATTTTATTGAGCGATACAAACTTTTCTTTCGATCAGAAATTACCACCTTTCTACCACACTAAGTGTAATTGACCATGGTACCAAACAGAAAAAGCAGAAATAAGTGATGAATCAGAAAAATGTCTTGCCTGAAGAATGGAAATCTTTTAAGTTTGTAACATGAAAGTAACACAAATCTGCTAACATTTATACCTCCATGTTCATGTTGCCTATAAATGGGCTTTTATGATATGCAGATTAGTATGAAGAACAAGAAAGAAATAGTCTAAATAGTATGAATGGCAGCTTGAATTAGTTCTCAAACAAGTGCTAAGCTAAGTAAGCACTATAAAGTAATTTAAGAAACAGTTGGTCACATTGTTTGACATCTGGGTGAGTATAGGGCAAATATTGGTTCCATTATTTGCCATACAAGGTCAATTATTCTTCCAACGTGAAGCCATCACTGGTTAGTACAAACTAAGCCTTCATCTCAACACGGGGGTTTGAATTTGACAACTGGACTAGCCTAGCCTTGTGAAAAGATTTTTTCCCTACAAAATTTGACCAGTTTCATCATGTCAAAAGTTTATAAATGCCCCCAAAAGCTATAATATTACACAAAATACATACGTGTTCCTCCATGCAGAATTAAGAAAGAGCGATTCTTAATCCGTTGGACGAAGAAGCAGACAGAATAACCAAGAATTAGACTTCATCCTTGAGGGTAACCCCCTCTCTCTTTGGAACCAGAAAAATGTAGGTCTCCCAGTAAGACCTATCGTAAACACGTTTTGCGCCTACGCTGCTACTCTAAAACATAAAGTTACCAATCCAATGGCTACTTGAAAGTTATATTCACTAGAAAACTGTGCAAAAATGTATTGATCTCATTGAAATACTAGAAAATTCAACGAAACTTCTTGCTAAACACTGCAAAGGCACGTCATAACACGATTGTCAGGTGGCAGCCATTTTGAAAAATAGTCCCTCGTATAATACCCTTTATTTTAGAATTTTACCATATCTTATGACTTTTAATTGCTTGTAACGGTATAATTAGACCATTTGGCATCATTGGGTATAAAATATAAGACTAATCCACGATATTAAGGATATTCTAAAAATATTGACATTGGAATCCTTTGGCGAAATGATATTGTCTGCATACCCACCATGGTCATTTTCCGTCGAGGCAAATCGCTACTCCATTACACCTGGGTTCATAACTGCTAATCCGAAATATTTGCTTTGAAACCCAATTATCCAAAATGTGAATTTGCATGTCTTAGTTATTTTTGGCGAGGTTTAAGATCCATTTCGAAAGTAGGCCAGCTTTTTCTCCCACAATATTCTCGATTCGTTAATGACGTCGTAATGTTTTGAAGAAGGCCGATTATTGTTGTCATTTTCCATATTTGGAACGACCGTATCAAGACTTTCGTCTTCCACCAATCAGATAACGTTTTTTAAAATAGTTCGGATGTGATTGACAGGTGTTTGATTACGATAAAAGGATGAAATATGGATCTTTATAAATCCAGAAAGCCCCTTGCCCATGTCATACTTTAAAAAAAATGACGGCTACTACTAATAATCCTAAAAATATAATTATAGAGCATCAAAAGTAATATTTGATACAAAAGGTAAGTGAAAAACGATATGACATTAGCCACGCCCCTAACACGAGGTCTCTCATTCATTGCAAAAATAAATCTTGCTCAGCTGATCGAGAGGAAGGTGGCCAAGAAGAAAAGGGCCAAAAACTACGAAAGAAATTTTTGGCAGGAATTATTACTCTAATACAACTAGGCCGAACGATAGATGATAGTAAAGTTACTTTATGAATGAAAATTCCTTTGATCTGCCAAAATAAATTATTGGCCTACAGGCATCTTCTAAACTGCACTAAAAGAATTTTATTGATATAAATTACAATGCAACTTTTATTTAATCATTTTAACTTTTCAAAAATGAGTACGTTCCAACATAATTTGCGAGCGTTGGAACAAGCATGGTATCAATTTGCAAAATAAAACTATATTTTCACTAAATATATCTTGTAGACACAGATTTACGCGAAACACATGTCCATAGCCCATAAAATGAATATAAGGTTTATTTATAGTCTATGCTACTAACACATGAAAATAGGCATTATCAAGAAACGTGATAGTATGCCCCGTAGGAAACCAGATAACCATATCTATTAGAAGCTGCCGTTTCTTAGCTTGTTTCAACATAAGATATACCGGCACTGTCTTTCAAAAATACACGGAAATGTTGTGTGATCTCTTTTTACTTTCTATATATATAGATATAGATATATATGTATATACCGAGAATCCCACACCTTTATATAATTATTTCTGTTTCAACAGAATAAGTAGAATGAAGAAATAATACAATTCGTGAAAAAAAGAAATACTACAATAAAATGTAAAAACTTTTAAATTGGTGGTTTGTGTATACTAAAGTTGCCTTAAACCGATAATGTATTTTGTTGAAATTGTAAACCAAAAATGTATTTAATAAAAAGAAAATGAAGAATCATTTCCGGTAATCTGTTCAGTATATTATGTGTGGTCAAGAAGTATGTATTTGCCCCAAATAAATAGATGTGGTAACCGATAGATTACGAGCGATAAAGTCCGATGATTGCCGACTAATATACTATCTTTCATATTCCTATCAACGGATTTCATCATGTTTAATTGATATTTATCTGAACATATAAAATTAATGACTGTGAATGTTCGACATTGTATGTCATTTGATTTATTTGAAAGAACTGGTCTATTAAAGATACATTATGGTAGATTCGGTAACGAGTTGGCAGTTCTCACTATAATAGTTAAACACTAGATTATGTAATGGCAATTTGCTGAAAATTTCATTCAAATTGATCCACTATGAACCGAGAACTAAGCGACTGAAATCCCCCCCTAGCCTCGGTCATCATTACTAAAGTCATTACAATAAACATCATGTCTCGATTATCCAATTAATCGTTAAATCGAGAAGGAAAGGTATGCAGTAAATCGGCTCACAATCCACTAAAGATCGCAGGTTAGCACTGCCATCTAGAGTTGATTATGTCCTGGATTGGTTAATTAATGTCTAATTAATAATTTAGATAACAAATGAAATGAAATGGAGTTTAACGTCCTACTGTTCTGCACTACGGCCTACTCTTATATCGAATTCCAACTGCCAAGGGATCTTTTACGTGCACGCCAATTTAGATAACATTTCAGGCCTAAAGAAAGACGGGGGGTTGGATGGCCGAATGGTTAGCACGTGCGTGCTGTATCATACGGCCTGTCATTGAGTCAACTGGGGTGGTTTCGAATCCCCGGTTGTACGTGACAAGGAGTAGGGTCGCCTGTTCAACCTCGTGGGTTTTCTCCGGGTCCTCCGGTTTCCTCCCACTGCTAAAGACCTCTACGTGCAAGCGAAATAATGAAATAAAATTAAAAACCATATGTTAGTCCCGAAATGACCTAGTTTGTGTCGAGTGGACGTTAAACCCCATTTCTCCCTCTCCCGCTAAAGAAAGACCTTCAATAGACAGATTAAGCTCTTGCATAATGTATGTTTAAGTTTTGAACGACCAATGATATACAGAGGCAACATAAACCACCTACTTTATTGATCACATGCGTTATTATTTGTTTTAATTTAGAAAAATATTTTTCTTGCTTCTATTGTTCCAAGAAATCTTAATAATGTAGTTGTTGAGAATTAAAAGGGGGTCGAGATCAGAAATAAATTAAGACGTGAACTGCGTGGACTTACTAATGTGATATCGGTATTGCTGAGGGAAGGGTGTCCAGCAAGGTGAATGTTTAACGCCTTTGGTTTCTATCCGTTACGAAAATGACATTGTTGCCCTACTAACGCAAGTTTTTTATCTTAATATTTCCTTTATAGTTATATCTTTATAATTTGATGTTCTCTGTATATATGCATTTTCTCAAAATTGAATCTGTCATATGCCACGTGATATAAATATTTGAGTTATGCATTGTTTAGAATTAATATTAGTATACACATCTTTGTATTTTACAGAACTTGTCAATACTTTATCATTATTTATAAATAGGCCATTTCGCCGATACATTGTACTGCATTGATATTTTTTCAGCTGCAAAAATATTATTGATGATAAAGTATTTCTATTTTGAAAATTGTGTATGTAAATCCCACGGTTTTGCTTATTTTGACACAAGTATGACAGTTGCCACGAAAAGCGCATATTAAAGCGACAGTATCACTTCCAGCAAGGAAATAAATGTGAATAACCTTTTATACAGTATCATATTCCAAATATCCATATTATACACTCGCCAAATTATCTAAATCCAGTCACGGACTATATCTAACGCCTGGCTTCCACGTGGGCTACGAATTGCCCCGAATAGTGGCAAATCGAAATTCGTGCCGATTAGGCAAAAATATCAAAAAGATCGTTTAGAATCTGAAGAAGCTGTGAAACAGTTACGAATAGTTCACGAAAGAATTAAAGTAATTCGTGGATAATCGACTGAAAAATATGCCGAATGTCAAGGCATTGTTCTACGAAATGAAAGAAACATCTATACGAACTAAAGCGATTCAGTTACAAATGAGTTACGGATATGCCGAATACAGTTACGAATACACTACGCTCTCCACGAATAATGCCGATAAAGCTACGAAAAGTTTACGATATTTGGCACTATTCGTTAAAGAATCGAATAAGAAGCTGTTACGGACGGTAAGGGTTACGAAGGGTTTCGGAAATTCATAGATCGTCCAAGAAAAATTTTGACAAACAAAAACTTTCGTGGTCGATCTAGGAACTGCTACGAACAATACTAATGTGTAAGAACCAAATAAGAATCACTTACGAACTTCAAGAACCGTCTACGATTTATCTGCGAATCGGAAAAAGGTTGGATTCGGGGCGGTTCGTAGCATTCGTAGTCCACGCGAAACAAGGGCATAAAACAGAGCATTTTGCACGAGCATATCTTAGTAATCTAGCTGACAACTCTCCAGATTTGAAAACAACATGAACCCGTGCAGTGAAACATTACTGTTCTGTGTACTAAGTCAAATCACGGCAAATCAAAAATGAAAATGACCGACAACCTTAGATCTCATAAGTGCTATTATTCCCTTCAGTCATGGATGAGAGAGAGAGAGGGGGTATCATTATTTCGCTTGCGCGTAGGTGCTTTTCGCAGTGGGATAAAACCGGAAGACTCGTAGAAAACCCACGAATAATTATTTAGTTTTTTCTAAAGAAGCTCATTTTAGTATAAGAATAAAAACTATTTTCGCTATCCGAAAATAAAAAATATACCCATTTAAAAGTTAGGAAGAATATTCCGATAAATACTGAAAAAAATCCTAGGTGGATAATCAGCTGTTTATTCCAGCCACCGTCTTCATCAGCCCGGTTGGCGTAGAACGTTAACCCCTATTCCAGTTCATTTAATCCAGGCCTTCAATTACATTTTAATACTAGTCCAGATTCAAATACCGTTACTCGAATATGCTACATTTTAAATCATGGAAGAACGCCGTATTATGTAAAGGAACCCAACGCAAGCTGAAATCGAAGGAATTGTCATCATAGCAATTGGCCTACATGTACTCGTAAATTCATTATATCGGTGATTGGCCCACAACACGTTTTAAAACGATAATAACAGACGAAGAAGCGTAAAAAAATGAATTCCCCAATGTATATCGTATCTCATGTTTATCTACCTTTTACTTTCCTGCGATCACCCCCACTGAGAAATCAATTAATATACGGTATGGATATATACTTATAGATATATAAGCATTTAATTAAAATCAAATGAAGTGGTCCGCTTCTTAAATCGTTCAACACCTTCATGTTGATATTGAGGTTAGTGAGGTGCAAGAACGTTCTCAGAAGAGAGAGAACTGTGTCAGGACGGTTCCTCCGAGAACAAGTAGGTCAAGAATTTACCGTTACTTTTCCCCCAAATAATCCACAACTGATCTTTTTCTCTCGCGCTCATCGCCGTGAGATAACAGCAACACGGGGTGTAGAAAAATACCAA